AGGTAGGCAGTCCTCTCCTTAGGAGTGTAATGTTTCTTGAAAGAATTCATGCCCAACAAACTTAGATGTGAAAGTAGGGTGAATGGTTCGAACCCTTTATGCTGTCCACAGCTATAAATTCAGCTTCCAATGATGAACGCTTCTGCAGCTTCAGATGAATTAAATTTTATTCATTGTTGTGGCCATGCAGAGGACAGGTGATGGAGAAATGCTTCAAAATTATTTCCCCCGATTTTAGGCTTTTGTAGCAATCTACTGCTTTAAGGAACTCTTGATCCCTTGGTACGCACCAATTTTTGTAGTTAGTGTATATGTGTGGGTGGTGCATGTGCTCTGAATGCAGGACTGCTTGATCATCGGGTATTGTTCCAAAAGCTGAAATTGTTGGATTCTGCTTTGACTTAATGTTACACTTGAGTCGAGGAAGATGTGAACAATTAACTTTTATTTTCTTACACAATTCCTCCTAAAGTTTAAGAGAAGCCTGAAACAGGACTCAACAGACATGGAACTTCTTCTCAATTGCCACAAAAGTCATTCCTTTTCCAGAGGAAGGACTTGGTTTTCACTTACTAACCAACAATAAAGACAAAGTCTAGATTGAGGCAGGCTCAGTTTACCTTCCCCAGTGATAACACTGAACATTTTATAAAATACAGTATAAAATGGAAGAAACCCACATAGCTAGGGCACCATGGAGGAGGGAGTGGTTATTCCTCAGAAACACCTATAACTCTGGCTGTTGTGAATTATTTAAAAAATGAATAAGAATGCACTTCAAGTATATCTCCCTTTTTCCAATTCAATCTTGGGCAGGCCTTTGAATTTTGCTGTGAAATCTTTGCTCTCTCCAACTTTCTTGCCTGCCTATTAAAATGGCTCTCCTGCCACACTGAACATGCACATGACAATGTTTCTGGTAGGTTTCTGCCATTTTACTTTGCAGTGATGGATCTTTCCCTTTTTTTCATTAACAGTGGAGATCTCAGATTCTCTTCCACCGTCACCCTTGACTAAAGAAGTCACCAAGAGATTCTCCACGCCAGAAGCAAATCCGGTGTCGACAGAGCCTGCCTGGCTGGCCTTAGCCAAGAGGAAAGCAAAAGCCTGGAGTGACTGTCCCCAAATCATTAAGTAAACGATACTGGTTTTGCTCTTTTTCTGTTGTTTATTAATTACTCTCTCCTCTTTATTTGTATTTTCACATGACAGAACCAACTGGGACAAAAATAAGCGCATATCCTGAAGGATGAACATTTTTAACAGTTTTACCCGTTTTTCCTGGCTCACTGCAGATTTCACCTACATTTTAGAATCTTTTGCATCAAAAATCTAGGGACTATGGAATAGAGGTTTAGGCACAAAATTCAAGTTTCATCTCTCTTGAAAGCATACGGATGCTATGTGTTAGGGGTTCATATCACTTTAAGGATCGATGCCGAAATGTTCCTGAATTTTGGCTCTGATGGTATGGATTTCCATTTGTGCTTTTTTTTTTAATACGTTGCTGCAAAGCAGATATTCCAGCCACTTAAGCTGCTAAAATGAATGTAATGCACATGTTGTTTCCACTTTTGAATGGAGAAAGTAATATCATTTACTGATAAATTTATAAATTTCTACAGGATTCTGGAAGACCTGCCTTAGTCCTACCATAGAGTTTGCAATATAGTAGCGTCTCTCAGTTTGGAGCTATTAATGGAGTTAGCTCTCCTGTAATGAGAACCCATCAAGATATTTTCACAAATTCAGTATTTTGTTTTAAAAAGCTTAATTGTGACAAAAATTGCCTTTATCAGCTGCTTCTAACTGGAAATATATATAAATAATTAACATGCTGAAACAGGGTAGCATCAAATATGCATTTTCCTGCAATGATTCTCCAAACCATGCAGAAGCTCTCATGCAAAATCCATTACAATATTTTCACTGCCGTTGTGTGCAGAAGTAAGCTATACACCTCCATCTTTCAGTGATTGGTCGCACGGCACAGATAAAAATAGGATTAAAAGCACATGTGAAGGCAGGACGACCACAAACACTCTTTCAAATTATACATAATTTAAATATTATACAAAAACCCACTTAGCCATGTACTGTAACTATCCCTATGCCTAAATGATTGCATATTAGGAACCCAAAATATTAACAAAAGGAGACATGATTCCAGCTTTGTGAAAATGGGGGGTTTTTGAACTGCAGGAACTAGACTGTTTGGACTTCATTCTTATGGACCTTAGATTGCATATTCTCAGGAAAATAATTGTTTTCTGTACTTAATTAGCACTTTGATTTTCAACATCTGTGCCGGCATATCTGCATGTTACGCTGGCAGAACATGACTTCAGCACTTTTGTTAATGGCATGTTTTAAAAATATGTAGTTGCTGTTAGATACTCGGTACAGGAAGTCGTAGAACAGACTTCAGATTGTAAATCTGGCTAAAGAACATTGCAGGGATAAGTGTAATTTATTTGCATGTAAGTCTTATTCCCCTTTAAATCTTTTTATCTCTAAAATGTGGAGGAAACAGTGATGTGTTTTTATGGTTACTTTTAAAATTGCTTCAAATTCAAGGATCACCAAATAGGTCTACAAGGTATGGAATTCAGATTGTTCCAGTAGATACGAACTGGTTTAAACAGAACTTCAGTTTGCCTGGTTTGTGGATTCTACAGCAAATGGGGTCTTCTAACTATTCCACCTAAAACTAGTTATATTTTTAAAGCCTCTTTTGTTTATAAGAGGCAAAGGTGCATTTTGATTAACTAATGGCTAATTCAACAGGATCCCTCATAGTACCACATTTGTTTTGCCAGAATAATGGAAGAACTCAATAATTAATCCAAGGAACATTTTGAGAACTGCAGTTCTGCTCCAGAGTACATTTTTTAAAGGCAGCAGATGCTGTTAATGAATAGGCATCCTACAGAGGAAACAAAAGGTCAGTTGTGTTTCTGTAAAATTGCAAGCACAAAGGGGTTTTGGCAGTTATGTAGCTGCTACACGAAGCGATGTCCATGTGGTTATTGGGCTATCAGTGTTGTTTTTGGTTTCATATTTAAATTCAAACCATAAGCGTTCCTAAATAACCCATCAATTTCAGGATTATTACAAATGTTTAAGGCAAAAGCAGCCTTTAGGATTTCGTGGGAATCAAGTTCATAAAGAGCCAGTTACTTGAAGAATTGAAAACAGCTCATATGCTTCCACTTAAGCGGCAAAGATTTCAACCAATGTAACAGGTATGTTGAGGCTTTTTGTTTAACCCACGGCACAAACCCATATACCTACGTAATACAAGCACAGATGGGGCTCCTTCTGGCCAGCAGGGACATGATGGGAAAAGTCTGTTTGTGGATGTCCATCTCATGCAAAACTTACTGGTGACCCTCCTTTATTTTAGAGAGAGTTAACTTGCTGACACCAGGAAGAGCTCCTGCTGAATGTTGGGATAAGTAGCACATAGTACAGCCTGTATACAAAGGAAGTACAGGCCTGCCTTGATTGTTGCAGAAGCCTCTTGCTGGTGGCAGAAAATGTTTTTAAAGCACACTTAATCTAGTAGTGCTTAAACTGGGAATTGCATAAACTGCAATTACAACTTTGTTTCCTCAAATCCATTTGGGAATAGGAGAGCAGGAAAGGGGAATGTGGGAGTTGAAAACTGGAGAGTTGGGTGGGATGAATAATAATTTTAGGGGGAAAGGTGCTACTTGCATGATAAAAGGGGGGGGGAAAGACCTACCAAATAATTCTAGACACACTGTTAGCATAGAGCGTATAGTGAGTAAATAGTTCAAAAGCTTCAGAAGCAAAGTGTTTTCAAGCATGAGGGGGTCTAGTGTACGAAAATAGTATTCAGAGGCTCTGATCCAGAGAACCAAGGAAACCAGAAGGCTGTGTATCCCCTGTTCAACAGGAATACCATCAGCACTGATAGCCCTGAGCATACTGTAGGCAGTAAGGGACACCTGGACTTAAGTTGGGAGGAACCCACTTTCCCTTCACTCTACTTTACACATGATCAGGGTATCAGTTGACGTATTGGTTACACTGCAAGGTGTGCTGCCCCTGCAGATATTTCCCCCGTCATTTGATGGGGGAGGGGGGTGTCCAAAGCAGCGCTCTGCTGCATTTATAGGAAGGGGAAAACCATTTCCATTCATGAATCAGTATCTGGATCAGAGTTGGGGGTATGTACAATATTGGTTTGGAAACCTTTTTAGAAGCCTATATTTTCAACATTTTCATTTCATGTAAAAGTCAACTTGAAAATTTTGCACTAAATACCAATGAAGTGTTACTTTGCTTAAGCTCTGCCATAGCCTTTCTACTGAACAAACATGACATTTATTCAAAACGCTTAAAAAAACTGATCTGACCACTATGTAGAATATGGTCTCAACTTTTGGTGGCGGTGGAGTAACTTATATACAAAAGACTTAAGCTATAGGAAGTTAATCATATCCAAGTTCTGTTGAAATTAATAGGGCTTAAGCCAGTTATGAAAAATGTTGTATTGATTTCAACAGGAGTTGGGCATCACTAACGTTTGGGAACAAAATATTATTTCTGAGGTCACAGATGCTTAACCTCTGTTGTTCATATAGTGGTGTATAAAATTATGAACAAATGTACAATTGTGGGGTTTTGTTTTGTGTACTTTTTTAATTTTTCAAATGTTTTAAAGTGCAATTGTTTCTTATACTAATGTCATTTTAATTCCTATTAAATTATAATCTGCTGAAAGTTATCAGAAGATGTACGTATTCATTGTCTTTTTGTTACAAATGTCAGGTTTATCTTCTAAGAAAAGCCTGAATTGCTATAGGTATCTAATTATGTGTTTTTACCAACAATAAAACCTAAGTAAAATGATCTATGACTACGGGATATATTAGTGCAATTTCTCTTTTTGGTTTTTGATCGTCAAATTTTAATGTAAATGGTTAATCACGGAAAATTTGTTCTATTTCAATAAAAAAAGACAAGTGTTTATGTAGCTTTGAAAGTACTTTTTATTTATGTTTTCATTTATGGGTTATTCATTGCTGCTTGTTTTTTTAAGGTTACATGAAAAGGTTTAACAAGAAGTTCGTTCCTGTTGGTGATAATTCAGGGAAAAAACAGTGAGTTGTACTCCCATAAATGGAACTTTCCCTACCCACCCCACCCCCGGTGTGTCCCTAAAATCTGCTTTATGGGCTTGAAGGACTTAGAAGCAGATTAGGATGGCATGGAGAGTTACAGTGAGGAAGACAGGAAAGGGAAGTCATGCCTTGTCTGCTCCCATGACATTAGATACCTCCCTGTGATCTTCACTCAAAAATTCATCCATAACGGTTAGGAGCACCTATATGGACATAGATATTACCTTTAAAAAATGTCCTGTATGCTATGCATGATCTTTATAGCATGTAATAGAAAGAGCACATTGTTTCACAACATTAGCACTTTGATTTTCAACATCTACCTGTTTTCTGGAACAAATGTAAACTTCTGTTTTGCACATTACAGAAATGAGCCAAAGCAGCATTAAGTGTCCTGCCAGCACAAGGATTCCTGCTTAGGCAACAGGGCTTTCCCCCCTTGATTTCCTCTGGTGCTTCCCTCAACCCTCTGAAGCAGGTGTCTGTGCAGGGGAAGAGGAGGCAGAACGTCCTGTTGTGTGCAAGCAGCAATCCTTGTCTTGGTGGGACACTTACCCCGCACATATATCGTATTGCAATATATGATAAAAAGTTAAACAGTGAACCCTTGAACCCTATCAGCTCATCCATTCCTGCAATATTCAGTACAGTACTTTTCTATCACGCCATCAGTGTTGGGGGTTGATGCTGCTCTCAAATAAAATGCTCCAGCCATGTTTTCGAAATGCTTTGTATTAGCAAATCCATAACTTCAAATGACGCTATTGCGGGGATCAAAATTACTCCACATTCTAAAGTGCCCTGGTAAAATATAGTATGGCATCTAACACAGCCATGGTCAGTACATTTTAATATATTAGCCAGTGATGACCATGGCTATTAAAATATTTTTATGTAAAGTACACAAGGTAACTTGATGTCAAGAGAACTCTGTTATGTCAGGAAGCTCGGTTTAAGTTAATAGATGTTTTTGCTCTGAAGGCAAGGTTTTCTATTTTGTACTAGGCCTGGGCAATGTATAGATACATCGGCCAGGGACAGACCACGATGGCCGCTTCACCTGGCAGTATATTGCGGGTGAAACTGCCACTGCTGACTCCCTCTGTCACCAGCGGGCAAGGGAGAAACTAGCTGCAGCAGACGTTTCACCACTGAGTGAAGCAGCCATTGCGCTCTGGCCCTCATACTGCTGACAGAGGAGCAAGCTACATTTGTTCCTCCCTCAGCTGCCTGCACAGGCAGATGGCTCCTTTGAAGTTCTGGGATGCGTAGCTGCCCACCGCTCAGCAGGGAAGTGTAGCAAGCCAGTGGTGGGGTTGGGGCTCTATTACACTTGGGGGGGGGTGAGCGGGTTGCCTCAACCTCCTGGGAGAAAGAGGTAGCTCGCCGGGCTTCCTCAAGTGTAACAGAGCCCCCACCTCACCTAAGCCAGAGGTGGGGGTGGGGTTCCCCCCTTAAACCTCTCTGTTAGGGGCATATGGCTGCCTGCCCCTCAGCAGACATTGGACTCGCTGAGCAGTGCAAACAAGTTGCATTGTCCCTGCCCATGAGGCATTGGGGTGAAAGCTCCTCAGCTCCTGCAGTGAGAGCTGCAGCAGTTTTACCCCACACCTCACAGGGTGGGGCCAACGCGGCTTGTTTCAACATCACGGTGTATCGTCAGATCACAGTGCTTGGCTGGTGGTACATTGTGATGTTGAAAACCTAACACCACCCAGCCCTATTTTGTACAAGCAAAATTAAAAATACCCCGAAAGGGAAATTTTAGACACCATATTTGGTTTTAGAAACACATAAATCAAAGCAATAAATATAGTTATTTCTACAGCCTACAATGATCGTTGTTCCCCATACAACAGGAGATGAGAACACTTCTCCTGGAAGCTTCTCTTCACCTTCTACCAAGCCAGTCTTGGCATTCAAGATCCATATTTTGCCATCTGTGGATGCCACTGCCAGAAGTGTTTCACCTTGTAAGGCAGGATGATGGAAAACAAATGGAATTGCATATACAGTTGATGTTGTTTCAAATTTCCACAATAAATTACCTTCCGTACTGCAGCAGTAAGTAAAGTTGTCATGGGATCCAAAAAATATATCGCTGGAAAAATCTGAAATACATGGCGATGAAAAAATTGGTCCATTGCTGGAAAACTTCCAAATCTGCGTGACAATATCGAGAAAGTAAATAAGTTCCTGAAATTTCTATTACTGTCAGCCAGATGTTTTACTGCTGCCACAAATGAGTGCCAGCCTTTGTACCTCCTCACAAATAACTTTACAAATTATACAATTTGAGGCCTAATCCAGCAGACTCACCTTTTTCATTTCACCCACGCGCATTCATTAAGATATTCAGTAGCTGCTTCACTTGAAGCAGCTATCACAGCTCAAGAAGTACACAGAGCTTTCTTATCACCTCATACATATTTGCATATATTCCATATATTCAGCTGCCAAGTCCTCAACTGAAACCTAAAGTGAAGCACCTCCAAGTATATGCATGTGTGAATTAGGGCTTGAAGATGAAGTCACCAGAGTCCAACTAGAAAACTCAAAAGTGATAGATACTCCCAAGAACTGCAGTTGATAGCAAAAGCAGTCCCCCCACCTACAAAAATAAAATAAAATCGTAGTAGAGACATCCTCTCACCCCACTAAGCACAATGCCCAGAGTGATCTTGAGAGCAAAATCAAGGAAGAAATGCTGTAGCTATGGATAACTCACACAAACTGGGTAGATGCATGTGCCAGACATGACTAAGGCAAAATTTCTAGACGTCCTAGAACAAGTTGGTCTTGGAACCAAGAACTAGGACTTGACCTTATAGTAAATCCTAGATGGACCCAAGGACTTTGGGTGAGATGGAAGTGTTGAACTGACTAGAAACAGCAACGATGGCGCTTGCGAACTCAACATGTATGTAAAGAGACTTCTCAAAGTTATAACAGTCCTTGGCTCAAAGAAGTATCAAAATGCACATGTTGAGATAAATTATGCTTATAAATATGTATTTGGGTATTAAAATCAAAGGTTAAAGCAGAACAGTCTTATGGACTAGAAAGATACTGAAACGATAATCCAGTTAGGTTACCACTATCAGCTCTAGTAAACTGGTAGAAAGCATTATCAAGTGTGCAATCCTATACAGATTTACCTGGGGAAAGCCCCACTGAACTCAATGGGGCTTGCCTCTGAGTAGACATGTATATTGCACTGGGGGGTTTGAATAATCACGTGGCTTCTGCAAAGGTAAGTCCCGTCTCACTAACCTACTGGAATTTTCCAACTCCAATCTGGAAGATACTGCATACATCAACTTTCAAGAAAAAGTATGGAGCAGCTTCCAGCAAGGGCCCCCAGCTGATCTCATCTTTCCAAGGCTTCCATCCTCAGACAGGAGTCCACTTGAGAAGACCTTTGGAGATGCATATCAGGCAGGCTATAAGCTAGCCTGCATTGTGCTTTCAAGGGCATTCCAATGATCCCCACTGTATCAAGTTCTTCCTGATAGAAATGCTACTGGGCTCCACGGCCTGAAGGAGGAATTTGTCCGAACCTGCTGCAATGGTGGTGATAACCTGCACCAACTGTGGGCTCTATGGAAGTAACCGGTGGACCACATTTGGCTTGTGGACCAAAACTTCCCAATCCTTAGTAATGTGATGCACTCGGGTGCAAAAATGACATGAAGGCAATAGCAGACATGCCTGGCCCCTGTGTGAAACAGGATGCTGGACTAGATAGACCTTTTCTCTGCTCCAGTGTGACTCTTACTTGTGAAAAACAGATTTACATAACACAAGCGCCATTGGGCCAGTATGGATGCTAAAAGGTGTGAATTGAGTTAATTCTAATCCAAGTTTTGAAAACAAGAAAAGATAATAAAGACAGGTGCTTACCTTTTCTCCAAAGTGGCTAAAGCAATATAAATTTCCATCCACACATCCTACACATACACAGTCCTTGTTGCAATGTGGTGATGAGAAGATAGGTTTTCCGCAAAAGCTCTTCCAGATTGCGTTCCCCGTAATCTGAAAATGCATGCATGAAATGTATGGTTTTAGTACATCCCATGGCTTCAACTAATGGGAAAATGAAGCAGCTGGCCAAAGACATAGAAGTATCTGATACTGGGAAAATGAGAGAACATTCTTCCTTTAGCATCTGAGTAGCTGCTCCTACAATGAAGATACTTCATTACTTCTAATTCCAATCCATTTGGAATTTGTCACTAACAGTATGAGATATAAGTGACAAATGCAGTAACAAGTGAACTAGCACAGCTCTCCGTGTTTCCCTACTTCACAGGCCCCAAGGTACATATTCTGCCATAAAATGGGAAGAACGTACAGCTGAAACAAGGCAATGCCATCAATCAAGTTAAGCAATTAGGAATGGTTCTCCTGTACTAGAGATATATGTTGCTGAAGAAACTGGCCATAGTTAAACTTGTCACCACCTTACAAATCACCAAACTATTCAAGAAGGGAAATGGTTCTGAACTAAGCCAATGGAATTAAACAAAAAAGTAACTTTTTGATTCCCAAACAAGTTCTGTTTGTGATGATGTTTCTTGTGGTGAGTGTATGCTAACACAACATGCATTGTCAAAACAGTAGGAGGCTCCTGTGGGTTATTTCTCTCATCTCACTGTCTCCCAAGCTACTGTTGCATCTACTATTACCTCTCCCTACCCTGAGTTCTTAATTCTCCATTTGTATTATTTCTGGACCATAAACAGCAACAAAGTTACATACTGGATTTACAGCTAGCAGCAGTCCTCCAAGTGTAGCAATATACAGGTGATGTGGTAACAGATTTAGGTGAGGAGAGGAAAATACAGCTCCAGCTTCACTGTGTAATTTCCAGACACACTCTTTCCTCTGTCAGCATAACAGAAAGACAAATGCAAGTTAATGATTCCATTGCTCAACTAAATGTTAAAGTGCAATACACGGTTTCAAAATTCTGCAAATTGGTACAGTGTTAGCACGTGTTCCACTGTGGAAGAATCTTTGTGCTTAATTGGGATGATACTTATATCCAAAGTGGCAACCAGTTCATTATTACTATTCAGAACAAAAATACGGGGTTCACAGTTCTACCTCATAAACGGCATTAGACACACTCAGCAGCGGTGTTAGGGTTGTAAGCACCAAATAAGCTGACCACATTTAAAGCAGGTCTAGCTAACTGGGATTTTTAAAAGCCCGTAACAGCTGACGGTTTGTAGCTTTCAGTTTCTTACGGAGCTTGAGCTACATTTTACTAACTTGCGTTAAGACTGCAATTCTAAATTACCTAGAAGCTCCACTAAAATCAAAGGGACTTGCTTTGCGCTATATGGATATAGGAGGCATTTTCATTATTTCTTATTGGCCAAACATTCATGACTACTTACATAAATATCTAAAGCGTATACATGGCGGTCATGAGATCCAATGAAGACTACTCCTGTGGAAGGATCCACAGCTGGAGAACTTTTCACAGCATCCTCAGTCGCAAATGTCCAGTGTGTTTCTCCATCACTCCTTCTGAGGACATATACCAACCCATTATAACATCCTGCAAATAATCACAGCCACAGAAAGCAGATATATTTGGATAGGCACTGAATTATTTAACTGTCCACAAAAATACTGAATTTTTGAAGTCCTTACATGCTTATCATTCATTCAAATACAGGAAGTCCATTCAAAACTTCCGTGGGATTCTTTATAAACTGGTCTCCATTGGTGGGCACTGCTTTTCATATGCTGAGAAAACTACTAGCCCATGGTACATCCCACATTTATTGGAATAAAAAAAAGAACTAAATCAGCTACTGAACTATGAAGCGGTCTTAAAAAATCACTAGTTGTTCAGTTGCTGTAAGTTTTGATTAGAAGAGCAGTGGCTAAACTCTTTTGGCCCATGGACCTTATTCACTCTTGGCCAATGATGGGTGTAGCTAAAAGTAGGTATAGCCACACCATGGCCTTGTACATAAATATACAGGACATCTGACCTGATCTGTTTGTAATTGCCCCCTCCCTGCTGATCAAATGATCAACCAGCACCATGTCTTTCCTTGTTTTGTTTCTGCCACTGCCAAATTGGCTAAGACCTTGAGGGAGAAAAGGAACAAAATTGCTTGGGGGAGCAGGTAAGACCTGCAGGTTGAGGGTTAGCCACCCCTTGCTTAGAATGCCAAAGCAAAGAGAAAAGCGATAAATACGTACCAACAACAAGGAAGTTTCCGCACCTAGATACGCAGGCGGATGACTCAATGCGATCTGCAAGGTTTCTCTCCCACTTGACTTTTCCTGAATATAGGTCAATTGCTTGTATCACGTGAGAATGTGATCCAATATACACAAAGGCAGATAATTTTTCGGTGACAACTAGTGGAGATGCATCCACACATTTGCCCAGGTCTGACTTCCATCTGAGATGCAACATTAACTTTTCAGCCGTTTGCCCAAGATTCTCATGTACAGGAGTGTTTAGTATAGAATCATCTTCTGCCATATTTGCACTGCTGACAATTGTTTTATCCCGCACACTCGGCAAAACTTCGCTCTCTCCTGCTTGCTCTGTATTACTGTGGTTCTTCAAGGGGTCACCCATAGACAACAACCGGTTTCCTCGGGTCACGGCAGTAAATCCAACAAAATTTGATTCAACTACTGGGGATCTTTCAGGTTTTAGCTGCACATACTTTTTACTGGGCTCCTCTCTGCTGCTTTCACTCAGCTTTCTTTTTACAGCATTGTTACAGCTTAATTTCAGGTTTTCGCTTGGGAAAACTGTTTTTAAGATATGTCTGTAGACCTCTTCGATGGATCTACTGAGAATAATCTCCAGGAGGCCAGGGACAGGCTTGCCTACCATATGTTCAATTTCATCATGGAACTGTAATGATTTTAAGGAATCCCCGCCACTGTGCAAAAACCGTGACTCTTTTAAAATGCTTGTGGATTCATCTGGGAAATTCAGAACAGCCTAGGGGGTGAAAGGAAGAAGCAAAACATGTAATGCACACACTTTTGACTTTGATAATGCCTCTTTGCTTGCCTTGATGGAGCGGAATGGGTGCGTGCATAGAAACCTTTGGCTTTTGCACAGCTGGAAGGCAGCATTTTGTACCAATGGTTCTGCCCACTTCTACTTCTGTTTTGTTTTGTCCAGTACTGGCACATTGCCCCTGAAAGGTTGCACATGTAGGAATGAAGTCCTTTTTATTTTATTTTATTTTATTTTATTTTATTTTATTTTAATAAAAGTGTTTATATTGCCTTTTATATACTACAATATTAAGGTGGTCTACAACAATAAAGCATAAAACAATATAAAAAGAGTACAAAACAATGATCAAAGTAGCTGGCCAGTCAAACTAAAGTTGATTATCCAATTAAGTTCTGCCCATTAATTTCAGTACGAATAACATTGGATACAACCCAAAATCTTGGCTCACTCCAGATTTTTTTCTATAAAACAGGGCAAAACTTGTTGGGACGAAAAGAAAAGGAAGCAATTGTTATTGCTCCCTTTCTCTTACACTGAAATAAGGAAACCCTTTCTCTGTGCTCACTTTACGCCAAGAACCTGGGTCTGGGGTCTTAACTTAGCCATAGTTCTTTTAGTTTAGGAAATGGTTTTCTGAAAGTTTTGATAGCTTAGATGGCAGCAAACCAATCTGTTTGCTACATTTGTTTACCAAAATTTAAGCCTTCCATGAGGGTGAGTAGGGGAGCGGGATAATTGTTTCCATATACCGTAATTATTGCAAAGCTGTAGTAAAACACCAAATTAATGTAGGGATTTGTAATATATGCTGCACATGCCAAAAAATATTTAGACTATATTCCTCTCCTGCATTCCTAACATGTATGGAAACTCAATTGCTATGATACAGATGCAGCTTAAAACCCTACCTTCCATAAATGCTGCAATCTCTCCCACAATTCATTCTCCTTCAGCTTACTGTCACACCTTCTAGAGTTCAAATGGCTGCCGTAAATCCTGCTCAACTCAGACACATCCATTTTGCCTTTGTACAAAAGAAAAGGTTTTTTTAAAAAAATATATGAAAGGTAAGGATTTCAACATATTTGCTAAGGCTCGAAGTTTCATTAGGTACAAATAGGCATGCACATCTATTTTACTACAACGCAGACCTCAAGGACGAAGTACACATTATGTTACCTACATTAGCAATCATGCTGTGTGTATTTTTAAAATAAAATTTCAGAAGCAATGCAAGGGGAATGAAAGTCACTGGAAGCACAGCATTGCTGGAGGTTTAAGTCTTCCAACCTCAGTTATGATCTTGGTAAACAAATCCTCAACTCACACCTCCCAGCATGACAATAAGCATTAGGAAAAAAATATCACATTAATGCCCACGGGAGTTTCTTTCCTAATGCAATCCATGCCTGATGGAGGAGTGGGGTGGTGGTGATGATGGGGAGGCTGCAGGAGATGTGTATGTATGCATAGATCACCATCCATCACAATTCAGGCTAGCTCTATGCGTTTAGTGAAGCTTAACATATAGCTTGTCCTTTAATCTGTATGGCAAACCAGTTCTGAGAGTGTCAAAACTGTTTCTTGTATGTCTGTTGCTCCAAGAAAAAGGAAAATTAAAGCTCTGAGAATGGCTCTGCTTTTGCTGAGATTCACTAAAGAATTGGACACATTTGGCTTCTACACAACACTTAAACACAACATATACGTATACTGCTTGCAAAGTTACACTGCAATTATAGGACAGACTCCCCAAGGAGACTTGATAAGTGAGATTTCTATGTAATCGTTGCTGTCATGCTTAGACCTTTTTGTGTGTGTTTTTTCCAGACTTTCAAAACTTGGTATGCATGGATGTTTGCACTGTATCGGTCCTGCATGCGTTTTTAAATAATATACTTTCAATTTGAGCTGATTTTTAAAATGGAAGAGTGCTTAATATAAATTACTAAGGACATTTATTTAAACATAATTTATCTTACCATGTGATGTGAATGGTAAAGTGTCAATCAGCAAAACCTCATCTGGGACTGCATGGCTAGGAAGACGTTCTTGGAGTTTCTTTAAAATGTCTCTTTTTTTTAAATTGCCTTTGGGCACAACAAACAGAATTAATTTTTCCAGTTGATACCATATCACAGCACATGTTTCTGCTTGACAGTAGCCTTCCGCAATCTGAAAAATAAATTGATTACTCTGGCTTAATCTAGCAACAATTACAGAAAACTACAACTACAAGCAACATATAAGGAAGTAAATCAGATGCTTCTATTTTCCTCAACTCTTTCTTCATTTTATAATTCAAATCCATAAAAATTATTGCACTGAAGAACGAGCAGAATATGTAATTTGAAAAGCTGGGTGGATGTTATTGCACTGCTGGACCTAGACAATGAGAGATGCATAAGCACTTTTTATTGAACCTCTATTCGTGTAGGAGTCTATAAATATTCCACTTACACAGAATGCTTGAAAGGTAGCTATTTGTCAGCTACAGAGAAAGGCAGGGGAGGTGGGGAGAGAACAACGCTGGCAATGAATACAAATATTTTAATCATGAGATAGTCATATCACAAATTCCTATCACATGATGTGAATGGAAAGTAAATAAATACTGTTGGCTTTGAGTATTGTTTGATTTTTCCAGTATGGCTGAAATAACTATCTTTCGGGGGGGGGGGGGGGAGTCTAGGCTACTATTAACCAGAGAGAATAATTTTAGAGCTTCCAAATGCATCTTCTTCTATTGGGCATCTTCTGTAGAACAATATTCTACACCGTGAAAAGAAGGTATTGAATCGATAGCAATCAAATAAGAGTTACTGAATACTCAATGCTATTTCAGAAAAGTACAAATACGGATGTACAAAAAAATAGAGAGGGATGAGTAGAGAAGACAAAGACAACAGCCTTCCCACTAGTAACACAAGAAGCACAGGGCTCAAGCAGAAAGTCTTCAGTGGGGTATCTATGAAGCCAGATACAAGGCCATGTGCCACCTTCTGAAAGCAGACTGCTTGCTCCTCTTCAATGCCATGGCTATCAGAGGGTTTGTGCCTGTATGTTACTCTCTGTTATCAACATTCAAAGGCAGAATAAAGGTAGTATGCATGTGCAGCCCTCATTCCCCGCCAGAGTTGGTATGGGAATGGGGTCTAGATTTTTAAAGGCAGGATTTTCTTGCATATCTTGAGGAACCCTATTGTCTAGAGGGAACCCTTTCAATCAAGTCTCTTGCCCCGTTTTGCTGTCCAGTGTGTCCACATGAATTACGAACTGGGGAAAGACCATCAAAAGGAACTAATCCCCAGGAAATATGTCACGATTCCATCTTGTACAACAATCTTGCTGCTCCAGTTGCCTATTTCGGACAGTCTTCAAGGGTAGCCCTATGTAGAGTTCATTGCAGTACTCCAGAAATGAGATTAACAGGACAAAGATCATGACCAGGCTCTCTCAGTCTACCTAAGAACTTTGATAGTTAGTTATTTATTACATTACCTGCTGTACATATTCAATACTGAGGCGCTTGCCATGACGTTTAATTTGATTGTCCTTCCGCCCCAAGAAGAACATTTCGGTATCCTTTACTCTTACAAAGTCTCCAGTTGCTCTCATTGTGCCCTTAGGTAGTGTTACTTCATCATCAAGAAAGCAGACACGTTCCTCACCTCCTGTTCAAAAAAAGATCATGCAGACCAAAGTGGTCCACAAGCAGACATCAAGAGCCAGAAAGATGGCTAAAGAGCAGGTAACAAAAGAAAAAAGAAAAAGAAAAAGAAAGCAACAGATATGCCATCCAGCTGGGGGAAGGCACAGGTTTTTTAAAAAACCAAATACTAAAAATCTGAAACATTTACACTAGGTGACTAGAATGGATACGAAAAGCAACATCCTGACTGATTATTTAAAATTTGGCTGATGCTGTCGTTAAAAAGTTGTCTTAGGATAATGACAACCAAAAATACCACATTTTAATTTGGATGTGCCAGTATGTTATGCCCAGCTAACAAGAACAGGAGATAACATGCTAGTTCAGACAAAAAACTATTTTTTAAAACGAATGCCAATCTGCTTCAAAGCACCACTATCTAGGTTATTCAAAGGCTCCAAGTCACCAGTAAATAAAACCACAGGGTTGTTCCCAGAAGTTCTAAACGCAGTTAATAATAAAATAAAAGCCCCGCTGGATCAGAGGAAAAGTCCAGCATCTTGTTTATAGTGCTGGTCAACTGAATGCCTCCAGGAAGTCAGAAACTTTTTTACAGGAGAGTGCTGTTTATGGCTTCCCCTAGGCAACTGGTCATATTTGCCATGGTGAGAACAGAATGCTGGTCTAGATGTACCGCTGGTTTGATCCAGCAGGGTACAGCGCATGATGGAAACAGCCTGCTTGCTCACTCTTCTCCAGCATACTGTCTTTGAACATAGGGGTTCAAAGTAGCTATCATGACCAGCAACTGTTGATAGATTTGTCTAATCCTTTTAAAGGACCATTTAAGCTCATGGCTTTCACCACACCTTCAGGTAGTAAACTCTATAATTAAAAATATTAGATAGAAAATCACCTATGAAGACTTGACCTTCACCTTCTAGAACGGCAGAACCATTAGCATCCTTGACTTCAACTGTTGTTCCAGACAGTGGGGTTCCCAGTGGTACAAGGGAATCAAATCTAAAACCAAGGAGAAAAAAGGGAAAAGTAATGTAGGAGTAGGAGACAGGGAGAGAAGTTCTAAAATATAACATCGAAAGTGAAGAATCCAGGAGTACTCCCAAACTAAATACTTGGCCCTCTTGGAGGAAAGCAACTCTGTCCCGGACTACCAGTCAGAGTTGCATATTTCCCAACCTGAGGCACTTGTCTGGTTCAATTTTCAACTTATTCATTGTCATGTACCCCAATCTAGCCCCTAGACATGTTCAGATTTTCCACTGCCTCCCTGGGATTAGGTGGAAAAGTGTTGCAAAACTATGTCTCATCTGCATGTTGATGACATCTCAGCCCAAACATCATGTAGATGTTAGAAAGCATCTCTGGAAAAAGAAATACGCCAACAACCATTTCTGACAGATGCTTCAGCTCATGTGAATTATTTCTTAAGATTAAAAATGCAACACAAGTACTATTGAAAACATGACTACTTCTTTAAGGTCATTTTATCCAAATGTTAAGGGCCTGCCTTTGAAATTCTCTCTCATATCAAACACCCACAGAAATCCACTAAGATCATTCCATCTACAGAGGATTTGTACTACTAAGCTTTTTATCATTTATTCATCAACCAAAGTGTGCATGCAGGCAGCAAAACAGAATGACATTTCCTACCGGTGATCAGAACTAAAAACCTCCTCAGGAACCTTGTAGCATGTGGCCCAGCAGGAAACTTCCGTAATACCATAGATATTAAACACGTGTGTTTTGTTTCCCTTTCCTCTCCAGCTTCTTAGCACATTCAGTCCAGGAAATGCTTCTCCACCGAGAGCTAAGATTCGCAATGACGTATCAGCAGACAACACTGTTGATTTAATGCGCTGAACTCCAAATCTGCGCAGAAGTGTGGGTGTAGCCTATGCATTATAGGAAATAAGTTTCCAGATAAGTATCTGCCATCCACCAAAATCTATTTCTGTTACTTGTACTACCATATACAACAGAAACAGGCAACTAGAAGCCCTGTGGACAGAATTTAGACTGCAGGAGACTTAGGGCCCCTCTAAGTGAGAATGTCAGCACTGTAACTTTCCATGTACTTTGTGCTGCTTGGAAACTATTAATGTTGGATGAAAAGAGAAATCAGCAGGATCAGTTGTGTAGCTACTGAGAACCCATTACTGGTTCTGCTAGTCAAGGACTATGGTCATAAAGACTAGGTTCTCAATATCTGGACACCTGGACACTGTCTCATGATGCGCACAGTGAGTGATAGGGCTTTAATTCACTGCTGGAAGACAAGCCATGGCTAAGTGGCCTCTTTTCTCTCTGACACAACCCTAAGCAGAAACTCTGCAAACTGCAATTACTCAGTGACTATTCTATGAGTCAATGTCCAAATTTTAAGAAGCTGTAAACAAAGGTTGCATATATCCTAAGTACACATATAGCTCAAATCCATAATATTTACTTGGAAGCAACATGCTGATTATTTTTATTTTTTTAATTTTTTTTACTCATATAATAAAAGCAGGTCAACTGAGTCTAAAGCTCAAGTGGAACACTGACAGAAGCTACACTTGGAAAAACAAACACAGCACATTCCCCCCACCCCATCCTTTTCCTAATGATCCTTAACATGTCAGTCTCATTTTTCACAGTCACTGCACATTTTCAGTGAGAGATTTAAAAATGCACAGAAGCCAAATGACTGTACTGATTGATCATCATTGTATTCCAGTGTTGTGCAGAAGCAGCATTCAGAGCAAACAGTTAGCACTTCTCATATCTTACCTGTAATACTGACACTCTGTGGTGCTGAAAAAGAACCTCAGACAACTCCTGTGGCATCATTTTAATCAGGTTAGGAACTATAAGCAGGGAAGCCCCACTTGCCAGAGCAATGAACAGCTCAATTACAGATGGATCAAATGTCAGGGGAGAGGCCATAAACACTGTATCATCTGGTGTGACCTTAAATACATCTCTAAAGAAAAAAGACACACAAATACCTCTTCAACCATCGCATGCATTTTGGAATCCAAAACTAGCAATTTCACAGATAGACCCCCCCCCCATATCTAACAATGGAGATGTACAGAATCATACAGGCATCAAACAAGCCAATGAAACCCCCTCCCACCAATATAAGAGGGCATGGCAAGTTGAAAATGCTCGACTGCCCCCTACCCACTTTCATTTCCTCCACCTGGAATATTCAATTATTCTGTGGGTCCAGTTTTCTCTCTCCCTTAGGTCTTCTTGTTCTCCAGCTCTGGCAGGATATATATTTGTTTAAAATCTGTCAAGCTTGAATAATTATTTTCTGTAACCTAGAATGTTTCCCAGGCTTCTTTTTTTAAAAAAACTCAACATGAAACTGGAAGGTTTGCAATTGATTTTACTTTAATTACAGGAAAATCCCAAAGCACAATAAAATGTTGTAAAATTAAACAAACCCAGCACAGAATGAGGTTAATTTAAAAAGGACATGGTGGGTGACTGTAGTCAAATTCTTCCTGTCCCACCAATAGCTTGTCTCCTTGTAGTTACTCCCCACCCCCCCAAGATTTTTCCCCTTAGTCATAGTCGCATCTGATATCAGAGCACTCATTTGGGGAAAAGTGTCTGGGGAGAGGGGCTGTGGGCAGGTAAAGCAAATCTGTGGCCATGGGGAGTGTTCTGTGCTCCCCACCCAGCAAACCCTCAGCTCAGCCCACTTTCTATGTGATTGTGCCAGATCCTAAATTGCTGCTATCACAAAAGGCAGGGCGCAATCAACTGCTGTAGGGTACAGTCCAGCCAAAGCCAGGCACTTTCAAATTCCATGTATTTGGGAGAAAAATAAATGAAACCTAAAAGCACCTAACACTGCTGGATTACATCCAAAATGTTCTTAATGGTCCAAAATAAAAACCAGGTCAAGCAGATAAGGAAGAAAAATAATGAGTACCATGTTAGGAAATAAACTGAAATGAAAAATAGAATACAAAAACTAAAGTGTTTCTTCAAGGCTGCCTGTGCTTTTTGCTTTTTTTTAAGAACTCAAAATGGCTTAATGGCTTAATTCACCCATAAGAAACATATGGTTTATTATTTCTGTTATGAAAGCAGTGCATCCAAACAATCAACTGGAATTACAACAAAGCTCTTGAAAAACAAAAATTCTGTTGGTGAGGAGAAAGATAAAAGTTTTAAAGACAATTAGAAAAAAATTTTAAAAGCTAGGTTGTGATGAATATGAAAGCAACATGCCAAACAACAATAGATATTTACTACTTACTCTGCAACTTGCAGATGCAGTTAAATAACTAGCTGAAATACTGTACCAAAAAAAATCCCAGTTTTCCAGGGGATGTTTCACCCATCCATCACTTGGTTTGGTTTGGTTTTTTTACACTTGATTACAGCCAGCTAACTTCTTTCAAAAGCACAGCATTAGAGGTGATGGAATTCTGCTTGTAGTATTAAATCTTGGTGGGATAAAGTGATGAATATTGTGTGAACCAGCCCCAAGAGACACCAGTCTAGGAAGTATCTGCATTGCTTGGGTGATACACCTGTGTTATTTGGGATCTTCAGTTGTCTCTTCCCCCCAACACATCTGCTGATCAAGGAAGTAAAAAACACAAGCCCACAAAAAGAAGAACAAGGAATCTTCCTAATAATTTCTGCACAATTCATTTTTTTAAAAAGAGGTCCATATTCCTGTGGGAACTCATATTTCATTTATTACCAATTTCTCTAACAGCCTTGTCAAGCTGAAGGGGACTGGGAAATCAACCAACAGCAGACACGGGGTTCTCCTGGGAAAATCTGTACTCAAAAGAGACATCAGATCTGAAACTCAACATTTGTTGCAAGGCGTATGAAGTTGAAGTACAGTAGTTTTACTCTTGCAATGTTCAAGCATACCATGCCATCACAAATAAATCAATGGCTGAGGTTTGCATATAACACTTAACTATGGTTTAGTGCTATGTAGATGAGTTTCCATGAGCCTGATCAAATCATCAGGCTCATCCACTCCCACCTCCCCCTGTGCAATGAGGAGGAGGAGGTCTACAGTATTTTGTTTCACTTTTAAAGAATTTGGCGTAACGTTACATATGAACGAAGGATTTTTACTTAAAACTATAATGGTTACTGAAAAAAGCCCATTTCATTATCCATGGTTTGAAGTTTACTTGCTTAACAACTACTGCTTGTTTTAAACCAAATCCCTGGTTAATACTTGCTAAGCAGAGATTCTTTGATAGCAAAATTAAGTTCTCTCCTTCTTGCTGTGAGAGATGGGGGTGGTGGAGTGAGCCCAACAGGTCATTAGAATTCATGGAGGGTCTTCCACATAAACTGCGGTTTAGTCTAAGTGTGAACTGGGCCATTATGTTTGTACAGATGTACATTTTGACATCTGTCACTTATATTGCAATCCCACAGCCAATTCCTTGACAGTAAGACCCACTGAACTCAGTGGCACTTTCTATTCAGTATGCATATATAGGTATGCTGTATGTTCAAAATATGCCAAACTTTCACCACCCTGACAATGTTAAATATTAATTACAAGCATGCTATCAGAGCAAAAATTACCACCAAACTCATTTAAAAAACAAACCTAGAGTTAAATGAAGTCAGGCAAAAAACATGGTGTTATTCTGATACAAGTTCTGAATTCTAAATATTTACGACAAGCAAAATTTGGTGACAGCTATGGCAGAAAGTCATCAGGTATGCTGAATTTGATCCCGTGAAAAAGACAGGCTATAAATGAAAGCAAATAAAGAAATAAACTGGCCTCTAGCTACTCACCTTTATTTTTAAAAATCTATGAAAGGTTTTTTGGGAAAAAGCACTTACCGAAGATGAAGAATATTTGGCAGTATACATTTATGAGGTACACTGACAATTTTAGGGATCCCTGTTGTTCCAGATGTATGGAAAATATATGCTATGGAGTGCTGCTGTCTGACATCCAGCAGGTCTTTGAATGGTTTTGTCTCAAGCTGGTCCAATGCTTGTGCCTCTAAGCCACTTGGCACGGCATAACTTTCATTGTTATCGTTTAAATGTTCAATATTACTGCCCTTCCTTTGGAAAAGAATCAAACCAACTTTTGGTATTTCAAAGGAATTATGGCAGAACAAATGCCCATGTGCTACTGTGAATTTCTGAAAGAGAGAAATAATGGTTTTAACTGAATAATACTCGTGTGTAAATACTGTTGTTATTTTCTCTATAGTGTACTCCTATGACAAATAAAAACCTTTCTAAAGTAATAAGAAATTTGGGATACCTAATCTGACTTGAAAGGAATGAGACATTTTAACCCTAAGGGTGCACCCTAAGAACTCCTCCACAACAAGTAGACAAACCAGGAGTTTGCTACAGCCCAGTGAGTTCAATGGAATTTACTTCCAGGTATACTAGTTTAATAAGGTTTTGAATTTTGTTGATTCTTTCCATCCTGGATAGGCAAATTTTCATTTTCTAAACAGATGTACAAATTAATGTGTATATATTATGCAAAGTTTACATATAAAAATGAAGGTGACTGGGTTTTAAAACTAAGCAAATAAGCATTCAACTGCAATAAGAACCTAAACACCTTGCGGGATCAGACCAAAGACCCAATTAGGCCAGAATTCTGTTCTCACAGTGCCCAACGAGGTGCCTATGGGAAGCCCATGAGAAGGAACTGAGCATAACTGTAGTCTTCCCACTTGTACAAAGACTTCTCCCAGAAACTGGTGTAAAGAGGCATGCAACCGACAACACAAGGTATACTAAGACTAGTAGTCACAGACAGTCTTATTCTCTTTGCAAGCCATCCAAGTTGATGCCATCACTATCTCGAAGATTCTTACTTAGGAGTACATCCCACTGAACTCAGCAGGATGATTTCTAATAAAACATGCAATATTAAGCTGTATGTTTGATAAATGAAAGGTGAGGTGTAATTCAAAATCTCATTTTAATATCCCAATTTAAACATGTTGACAGCTTTTGCACTTACATCAACTCTGTCTTTCTCCACAAGGACATATTGGAAGTTACACTTTTTCATAAAATATGCAGACAAGTTTGGAGGGGCATCTGGATCAATAGGGGAATAGGCAGCTGGCACTTGTAGAATTCTAGAAAAACAAAATACTTAATTTAGCAAGCATTCTAAATTCTAGCAAACACTCTAGCAAAAATTCTCAGCAACCCAAACAGAAAAATCTACATATTCACAGGTTTACATTAAAAATAGTCTTTTTGCTAGATGTTATGGCATTCGGAGTTTACTAACGTAATGAAACAATTACTTTTAGGGCCAACTACATGTGATGCCAGATGCATTACTGCTAATTACATCAGATGTATTTGTTTAAAAATACAGATGTATTTGTTTAAAAAATTGCACAAACTCATCATTTTTATCTGGACAGCACGGTGAGCCAAAGTTTTTTCCTTACTTCCATAACTGATCTCTCCCCCGTGCTGCAATTAGCAAAACAAACCAAAACTTCCCCTCACCATGTATCATGGGCCAAATAAAAAGCCCCTCCTGCACTATTAAATAACCAAGAAACTCTGACATAATTAGTAGCTCCTCCATGCATTTATTCATGTCTAGTGTGACCTTCAGGAACTGCTCCATGTGTTAGATTTCCCCCTGAACACACATAACCTTTGTGAATAGGGTGTGTACATCTTTGCATAGGAAGTACGTATATGACACAGGCTTTAGTTTATTGTACAGGCACCGACCAACTGACGTGTGCTCTATTGGCGTGCGATTGCATACAGCGCTGAACACAGAAGTTACCCTAAAATATCACTAAAAGGGCAGAACAGGAGTGGGGTAGAATGCTTTGCGTGGGTTCTGCCAACATGTGTGGGGGCCCAGAACAGAACCCCTGCCCCAAAGGAGTAAGGAAATCTACTTGGAAATTTCCACAGATCTTTTCTGTCAGGCAAAGTGAAAATGAATGACATACATCATAAATCACAAATGTTAGATTTTTCTAAGATTTTTGCAATTGACCTAAAGGCAGAAAGAAAGCCATTATCAATAAATAACTCAATGGGTGCGTGCATTTGGAGGAGGAAATGTGGATTAGACTCATAAATGCCAAACACATTATAATTCTATTTTCATTTGTTGTGAGATTAGCATGCGAACTGCATCAATCGCTTACCTAGTAACAAGACATCAACTAGGTATATAAATATAACCTATCATTATTTCAGCCATCACTTATATACCTGTGTTTCAAAATAGAATTTCCCAAAAACCCTACTCAATGATTAATTTTTTTAAAAGCTAGCGTCAACTGCTGACAAGTGAAAAATGAACTAGCTAGACTACTCCAGTTATGTTACATCATCCTAGCATCTTAGTTTAACATTCCATGCTTCAAATCCAGAAGTGAGCATTACTACCTGCCAATCAATATTGATAATGTCAACCTGATATCTGGTGGGAAGAGGAGAGTGTGGGCTGGATTCAATTTATTTTCCCTCCATCTCTAAGCAAGTGTTATGAGCTGTACTTTTGGTTCCAAAGACAGTGAGGGGAACTGTGCATTCAACCCCAAAAGCTGGATTCAGCCTGGAAATGTACATGCAAAACTAGTGTACGTGCAATAAACTGTGTAGCACACACACTAACCTGACAAGGGATGTGCTTGTCACTATCTGCTTACACACCCAGCCACCCCACCCTAGATGCATTGGAGCAAACTGCAACTTTTTCTTTCACTTAAAGAAATTGAGAACATGTTACTTAAGACAATTCTCCAAAGGAATTCATACCTAAAGGTACTACTGTCCTGATTCACATAAAAAGTTGGTTGCACCCAACTAAGTCATAATCTGCGTTAACCCACTGAAACCAACAGATTTAAGTTAGTCATGACTTAAATCCATTGGTCTAAATGGATCGGCTCTGAGCATCACTTAATCCAGTACAACTCATTATCTACAACTGCTTCAATTTCACACTTTTATAACTGATTACGCATGGATACCAATAATACTGAGGCTCTAATCTTGTGTTTTGTGGGCAGCTTCACCCATATGATTCAGCAAGCTAATACTGAAACCGAAAAATTTCAAATGTTGTAGGGGAGGTAACTGTTCATAACGGGGGGTGGGGTACAGAATTCTATTGTATGTCCAAGGCCTTGGGTGCATCCTTTTGGATCCTGTCCCACCAAATTAATAGCAGTTTTAGGTGAGCAAAGCTACCTGAAGTAACAAAAGCCCATTATTTTTAAAGACAAATGGGTTTGGTTCATCAGTGTGCTCATCACTCCATCTAGTGGCTTAAGTTACTGAACAAAACAAATCTTAAACTGGTGTGGAGATTTGGTTCAAGTGAAATCCTGTAAGCACTTTTCTAAGAGTAAGACCCACTGAATTCAATGGGACATTCTTCTGAGTAAGCATTTACAGGATTTCTAGAGGGGCAGCTGTGTTAATCTCTTGATGAAAAAACAAGGAAGTGTCATATAGCACCTTAAAGACTAACAAATTATAAGTGAAGTGTACAAGATTTTATCCTGGCCACCAGCCCACTGCACGTTCACCTTTAAACCACAGTTTATCCTGTGCACCAGCCCACTGTAATGCAAACAGACAATTGTTTTAAAAACTAAGCTGGCTTAATGCGGTGACTGTAAAATATTCTATATACAGTATAGTGTATATAACATTCTGTACTCATGCTATACTTATATATTAACAATGTATAGAAATAATACCCTATAATCCAAGAAGGCAGATTTATTCCTGGGTAGCAGTAGAGGCCTATTTCAAATCGTTCGGTGAAATTACAATGTTTCTTCAGGAAATCGGTAAGTTCTGTGGCTAGGTTAATAACTGTTTTGTAAGTGTAGATAACTGGAACCTTATTGATGCATTCATCAAAGCATACTGCTCTTCTCTCAGGATATAAACTGGCTGCAGTCTGAACAATCTCGTGAAGAGTCATTGCCAATATTTATACTGCATACCTGTAAATGAGGAAATAATAATTAAATATTTTTTATTTTTAAAAAAACCTTGTAAAACACAGCATACTCTCAATATAAATTTGAAAGAATGTGGAGGCATGTCTGTTTCACCAAATATACATAATACCCATTTATCAATTCTGATGATTATCCCAATTCCACTTCCAACATTTTTGCCATTCTGAATGAACAGTTGAGATGCTTTAAATATGATCTATTCTTCCAAGTAAGGAGAAAACATGAAAGGTATATCGTAATTTTAAAAGAGAGAAGCATTTTCACAAATGCATATACAAATATTTCTCTCTGCTTATCTAGGGTATTTTAAATGAAACCCTAAACTAATAGTCTTCAACCTATTCCAACCTGGGGCACATTTTTAATCCAAGGAAGGAATCCCCATGTAAATTAACAACTAATTCAGTCAAGGAGGTGCTGTGGGTAAAAGGCCCAACGCTCCATGTGTGGCTGCCAGATGTTTCACCTGCTGCAAAATGCTTTCACCTGGATACTTGTTTGGAGACAGCTGGTCCAGTCCTATTATGTCAGTGGTAGGGAAAGTTTTTCAGGCCAAGGATGCATTTCCTCCTGGTAAATTCTTCAAAGGGGTGTGTGTACACGGCAACAGTGGGCATGGCCATCTCACAGGTTTTACAATACTGTAGTGTCTTCCTAAGAAACTGCAGCTGTCGAAAAGAACAGGAAAACATGTAACCACCAGGCGTTTTAGCAGCCGTACATCAAATACTGTGGTACCTCGGGTTACAGACACTTCAGGTTACAGACACTTCAGGTTACAGACTCCGCTAACCCAGAAACAGTACCTCGGGTTAAGAACTTTGCTTCAGGGTGAGAACAGAAATCGTGCTCCGGCGGCGCGGCAGCAGCAGGAGGCCCCATTAGCTAAAGTGGTGCTTCAGATTAAGAGCAGTTTCAGGTTAAGAACGGACCTACTTAACCCGAGGTACCACTGTAATAGTCACAAGTTTGTTTGGTCGTTTAAAAAAGAGAAACAAAACATGGGAGATAACTCAATAGTAGCATGAGACTCTTACTCCTAGGTCATGGGTTCGAGTCCCGCGTTGCAGAGGGTTGGTTTAACTGACCCCCGTGGTTCCTTCCAACTCCGCAATTCTATGATTATAAAGCACATCCACTTCCTTGTCAAGAAGGGAGAGAGGGGAGCTGCACAACTTCGACCTACAGGAGGCTCCCTCTCCCTATTACTCACGGCGAAACGGCAGCGTTCAGAAAACGAAAGAGCCGCCTTCACAACCACCGGTTTAATACAAGATGGCAGCCGCAGAGTGAACGCTAAGCCGTCGGGGAACCGTTTATTATGCGGCCTGTAACACGGCTTGGCCGGCCCTCGATTTGCTCTTTCGTTCCTATGGCAACTGCGCGCGCACCCACCTGCTCCTTCCTCTTTCCCGCCCCGCACCTGCAATCGCTCGGTCGCCGAACTACAAGGACTGAGCTCGCGAAAGGGTTACTCTGCCCCGCCCCGTACTTAACAGGCCCTGCCGCGATTGGTCAATTCCCCCCCCCCAGGGGCAGTTTCTGTCCTCGAGGCCGGAACTGGAATTCTTCCGCAGCGGCGGCGTCCCGCGATTGGTTGAGGAGGAAGGCCGCATTTTGATTGGGTGGAGGCGCGCACCTTCCCGGCGGCTGGGAGGGCGTGACGCCATACTGTTCTGAGGAAGGGCGTGGGTTGCAAAGGCGGAGGCTGCTTCTGATCTTACCGAGACGCCGTCACTCATCGCCCGTTTCCCCGCCCCCTCCCGGCCCTAGGATACCCGGATACTTTGTGCGCCGGCCGAAGCTTCGGAATGCGGGGTTCCCGCATGTTTTCGAGGCTGATTGCACGTCTGATTGAGATCAAGCGGGCGCCTGGGCTGCACCTTTTTCGGCGCCCGCAAAAAAATAAGTAAATTTTTGTTTAGACAAGCCTACCCAAAGGGCAAAGGAAATTTTGATCTGTTGCAGCATTTTAACTTCGTACATTGTACTAAAGTACGGCTGTGAATTTTTTCTCGTACGTATTCTATTGCTTTATATTTTTGTACACCAGTTCGGGTTCTTTTGGTTTTTTTTTAATCAAGCGGTGTAATAAATAAACTATTAAATAAGTGGTGTCTGGAGTAATTCTTTGCGAGCGTGCGAACCGCTCTGGGCGGAAGAGTTGGCTTTGCTGTCTTCCTAGGTAACGTTTGTCCTGCTGCTTCCCCCTGTTGCATCAGAAGCAGCAAGGAGCATAAACTTAGCAGCCTTCCTTTTACCGAGAGAGGGAGCGCCCCGATGGTCAGTCTCGTTGAAGACATTTACGAATTTTAGCTCTCCTGCTTGGGTCAGAGCAAACACACACTTTCGCTTCTCCTTGGGCAGCCCCCTTCTCCTGCCTCCCCATCCACAAATCAAGAACGGATTCGGACTTCTGCTGGGACCTCAGTCCTTTGCTTTTTTGCTGTCTCCATCCCCACCCCCTATCACTGATCTTGTGCTTGATCCTTGGGAGGTTTTTAAGCAGAGGTTGGATGGTTGTCATTCATATTCCACCTTTTATCCAAGGACCAGAAGGTGGCATTCATGGTTGTCCACTTCCCCATTTGAGCCTCACAACAATCCTCAAAATCACCCAGGGAGCTTTATGACTTGAGTGGGGATTTGAATCCTTGTTTTCCCATTTCCTTTGTTGTTGTTTAGTCGTTTAGTCATGTGCGTGACCCCATGGACCAGAGCACGCCAGGCACTCCTGTCTTCCACTGCCTCCCGCAATTTGGTCAGACTCATGTTCGTAGCTTCGAGAACACTGTCCAACCATCTCGTCCTCTGTCGTCCCCTTCTCCTTGTGCCCTCCACCTTTCCCAACATCAGGGTCTTTTCCAGGGAGTCTTCTCTTCTCATGAGGTGCCTCAGCTTCACGATCTGTCCTTCCAGTGAGCACTCATCCCATTTCCTAGTCCGCTTAATATATTTCCACCTTACTCCACATTCTTGAAAAGATATAGAATTGAAGTGGTGGTATTGTTTTCCACGTGGGCTAGAAGCTTAATAGGTCTCTTGTTAACAGTCTTCTATAGTACCTTTAACCAGTATAGACTGCAGTCCTATAAACTTAACAGGGTCAGGGAGTAAACCCCATGGAATTCAGTGGAGCTCATTTCTTAGTAGGCATATTTAGGAGTGTACTTGCGTTTCTTGTGAAGTGCAATCCCATACATGTCTGCTCAGTTAAGCCTCACTGAAATTAAGCAAGTGTATTGCAAAGTGAATTCTAAGTCTGACAGGAGTACAGTGGTACCTCGTGTTACATACGCTTCAGGTTACACACTACGCTAACCCAGAAATAGTTCTTCAGGTTAAGAACTTTGATTCAGGATAAGAACAGAAATTGGGCTCCGGTGGCACGGCAGCAGCAGCAGGCCCCATTAGCTAAAGTGGTGCTTCAGGTTAAGAACAGTTTCAGGTTAAGAACGGACCTCCGGAACAAATTAAGTACTTAACCCGAGGTACCACTGTATTTGTCAGACATAAAATTTGGAGGTGTATAATTTTCTGGACATGAGGAAACAACGGTGAGGGAAGTATGTGTTAATGTTCCACAAGTTGCTATTTTTCCTTGTTACAACACAGAAATGATACAATTTGAATTACTTTTCAACCAGACAGAAGAAATCTTGGCAGAGGCAGGGAAGAGGAAGAAATGATCCCTGAAACTATCAAGGATTATTTAGGTTTAAAGCTAATATGTACCGTTAACAGGAGTACCGTTAACATTTAAATAACAGCCCAGCAGCAAGTTTATTAGGGAAAATCATGGCAGCCTTGAGTAAACCTCAACTTCTCATCTGTAAAATGGGAACAACCAACCTTTATTTTCTCAAGGGCAATAAGTGAGCAAGCAAGACCCTTAACCTTTAAGAATAGGCCTTTAATACAGTAGAGATATAACCTTACGAAGAAGGGGGCGTACTTCTGTGATAGAATACGTGTTTCTGCAGGCAGAAGGTGCTTGACTCAATCGCTGGCATTTTCCCTTTTAAAAAGGGCTCAGTAGGAGGTAGTGTGAAAAGTCTCTTGGCTGATATGCTTGGATTCTGCAAGATGGACAAATAAAGCCACCTGGTATAAGTCATCTTCCTAACATAGGTACTTCAATCCTTTATATCTTCGCTCCATTTGTTTGGAACAATATTCGTAAAATATGCTATTGCCCATTGGTTCTCTATTAACATGTTTGTGTGTTTGTTCTAGAGAAATAAATACAGATTCCTGTCATGACAAAGTAATATTAAACAGGGTGACTTAGCCCTAGAACCAAGTTGTCTTGAAACTGACCAGAGGGGAAGCAACCCTCGGTTGCATCGTAAGTGGAGTCCTGGACCTGGTGTGAGATGTGTTGTTACAGGAGTCAGCGGCCACAGTGCTGTCAAATTCAACATATATATAAGTGGACATTTGCCAAGCAGGTCTGGTACGGCCACATTTGACTTCAAAAGAGGAAACTTCTCAGAAATGCAGGCATTGATTAAAAGAAGGAAGTTGACAGGGAAAGTAAAGAGGGTGAAATCTGGTGGTGCAGTGCAAAAAAGTGAGCTCTTTTTACCATTCTCCCATTGAGTAATTCAAAAACTGCATTCAAAAACTGGCAAAGAGGGGAGCTAATTTTTGTAATTCTGAAAGGTGAGGTGTATGGTTTTTGCCATAAGGTAAGCCTCGGGGCTTTTTCACATCAGGAAGCAACCAGGAAAAGCAAAGTGCTGAAGAAAGGTTACTGGGTCGCCTGCCCTTCCCGATGTGAAAAAGCTCCCCTCTTTGCCAGTTTTTGAATGCAGTTTCTTTACTCATTACTCGATGGGAGAATGGTAAAAAAAAGGTCACTTTCAGCAGTCCCATGGAAGTCCTGGTTGCCATGGGCATGGTGTCAAAGGGAGACATATCAGACCCAAATGACCTGGGCACTCTGGGAGACCCCAAGATAATTTCAGAGGAGTCGATATCCACATTAAGCCATGCGTCCCATGACCTTTCTTGATTCAAGTGGAAGTGTGTTGTGGCATTTTATGAGTCTTTGTGTGCTGTGTATATAAACTTTCTTCTAATGTGCCTCCTGGCAGCCTTTTCGAACTATCCGTTCTGCTGAAGAACTGGTTAGGAAGGCTGTTCTATTTGAATAAACCAGGTCCCTGCAGGACGTTGAGATTGCTCTTTCTTTCAAAAGAATGGTCACTTTTTGGCACAGCACAGGCCACATTGCAACAGTGTGCTAAACTCTGCATTCATGGAAATTTTTAAGCGTCTTGAAAAGTCAAGGCTTCATGTGTTAAGGCAAGGCTACATGCACAGACTTCTGTGTGAATGTACACAGGCTTCATGCTATATGAAGATTTCCAAACTGACATGCATGTTCACTCTGAGGAGCCATGGGCTAGGTGACACCAGGAACAGGCTCTGCTCATGTATCAATTCAATGCATGAGCAGTGATTTCTGAATTGGGTTAGAATGAGCTGCAATTCTAATTCAACTCAGATATCTAGGTCACCATTTTACAACCACCAAAGAATTATTTAGATTTCATTCACAAAAGCACAACATTAAAAAAAAAAAACCCACTGAACAAAGCAGTAATATATATACATTAAAGAGTTATATATATATATATATAGATATATATATATATATAACACTACCATACATTAAAATACTCTACCAAAATAAGTCCACATGATAATTTTTCAATGTTTTGAGTCTTCTTTGAAGGCTTACATTCAGTAAAAACATTCACTCAGATCACAATTAAGTATTCACAACGAAAACATAGTGAGGAAAATTAGCAAAATAAATCATAGCACTCAGGATGGTTATTAGCCTAATTTCCCCTGTCAAATCCCTTTGACACACAATGAAATCACAATAAGACAGTATATCTATATTCAGGTTTGAATTCGTTAAGGCTCAAGGTATTAGAGAATTTTGGTTTAGTACTTCCCTGAGTCTCCCAGTCTCAGCAACATATTGTATAAAAATAATATTCAGTCTCTTTGGAAGCAAGTTATTACACATGAATTTAGTTACATAAGCAAAAATACAGGCACTTACTTCATTCTTAAACAGAACTCAAACAGCTAGATAAAAATTTCTATGGAAGCATGGAATTCAGAATTCTATGAATTCAGAATTTGTCATGTACAGTCATACCTCTTGTTACGTTTGTTTCAGGTTGCATCCCGAGGCGACCCGGAAAGGGTTACTTCTGGGTTTCGCCGCTCGCGCATGCGCAGATGCACTCATGTTGTGAACAGGCCTCCGGAACGGATCCCATTCACAACCAGAGGTACCATTGTATATAAAACCAAATTTCACATTCCCCCCCCGCCCGCCCTGGTTGAACCCTGTTCAAAAAATTGAAATGACTTAATGGCTCGCAGTTTCTTTCAGAATGTCATTTGTAATAAACCAAGGCTGTGAATAAAAGCCTGAGAAGAGATCAAGTTTCTTGGCAGGATTAGGCCAGCTAAGGAATCAAGAAACTTTGCCGCCCCAAGTTACAGCACAATTTTTGCATTTTATTTCAAGTTCTTGAACAGTCCTCACTATCCCAAATAAAGATTTAAATAAAATGAGTGGTTTGATAACTTCCTTGGTAGCAATTTACGACACACCTTTGGGTGTGATACATCTTGTCAGTTCCAACTTTAATTCAGTGGCAACTGTATTCTGGAAATTCACCATTCTAGCTCTACAGGGTATTTTCCAACAAGGCATGCTATGCAATGGCCAATTTTCCCCGCCCGAAACTTGTTGGACTTAAGGTTGTTTTCATTATCTTGTTTTGCCTTGATGCTTTCTTGCACAGATGATACCAATCCTTCTACCGAAAGATAAACAACACTGTCGGCTCCTAAGAGGAGAAAAAAGACAAAAAAATATTTTTTAAAAAAGGCTGCACCATTGTACACACCCTAAAGATGAAGAAGGTGGTACCCAATGGTGAGGTCCTCTAGCGGATGGAAATCTGTCAGCAGAATAGGAAAGGAGGCAATTTTCGGTGATCTTCTGAAGCACCCTATACCCTCCCTAAATCTGCTCCAGAGGATCTTCCAATCTCTACTGCAGCTTTAAAAAGGGTCGGGCATAGCTGACAATTGTCTCTCTCCCTGTTTCACTGGTAGATTCACTTCTGCCAGAGGGTAGTCACCACCCAAGCTGTTTAACACAAAGAGTGTCCATGTTTCTATGTGTACCTTTATTGACACTGATAGAAAATATAATGTTTTACCTATGTAGTTGGCTAGGTCATGAAATTCGGGCTTATTGGCGATGAGTTCTTCTTTTGTTGGAATGTTTATTCCCATGTAACAAGGAAATCTTATTGGAGGCGAAGCTACACGAACGTGCACCTAGGGAGGAAGGGGGGGAAATGCTATTATGATATTGACACTGTTTCAATTATGCCATTCATTCGTATTATTACCATTATTTATGTAATTTCTATACTGCCCTTCATCCGAAGATCACATAGTGATTTACAATATAAAAACACAAAATGCATATCTTAATAAGCAACAAAAACAATACCCACTTCAACACCCACAATTCCAACAGGGAGCACCAGCAAAATTCAAAGTCACTACAAGGAGGAGTGAGGTCTGATTGGTTGGCAACAGAGCCAATAAATTTGGTTTTGCTCTTAGACTACCTTCACCTCAATCAAGACACTTGAGAGACGATTATAAAGCTGAAACTGCGCCAGTCTTGTCCCTCAGTCAGGTCTTCCTCAAAATCTGACAGCAATACTTTCTTACCTCTTTAGCACCGGATTCCCTCAGTAGTTTAATTATGGGTGAAATGGTGTTGCCTCGTACAATAGAATCGTCAATAAGGACAACACGCTTCCCTCTGAAGTTGTCTGACAGGACTCCAAATTTTTTGGCCACTCCGAGCTGCCTTAGCCTCATGTTTGGCTGAATAAAAGTTCTTCCTACATATCTGTTTTTGCACAGTACTTCAATGTATGGTAGTCCACACTAGAAAAAAGAGACAATGTAAAAGTCAAAGTACCATAGAAAGTGAAGTGGCTAAGATCAATTCTCCATCAACATTCCTTTTCTTTTCTATACACAAAAGAGTTGACTAAGTGGGAACAGTTCAACTACAACAACCAAAGAAACTTATGCAATCTCTTGGAGAAAACATGAACTTCACTGGTGTTTGGGGGATTTCTTTGGAAAATGCTAAAAAGCTATTAATTCACACAGGGCTGGCGGTGAGGGGGTGTGGTAATATTTTTCTCTGACTGTTGAATTTTATTTCATGTGTATTTATAGTCTATGTTAATGCTGTGTTGTTGTTTTTAAAAGTAATTCATTAGTTTTATGTATTTATCTTTTTCTTGTAAATTGGCTTGAATTGCTCTCAGGAAGGCAAGATTGAAAGTTTTAGTGCTACAAGATAAACATCTGTGTTAAAATGTTTTGTGTTACAAGTTGTATTATGTCAATTAATTTTTTTAATAAAAAACAACAACAAAAATATGAGATTTCAGATTAAAGAGAAGAATCAGGCACATTACCTTTTGCGCATATCCAAGGGCTGCTGGTGTTGCAGATTCTGGGACTGTGCTAACCAAATCAGCTTCCACTGGGGCTTCAATTGCAAGCTGTTGGCCGCATCTCCTCCGTACAGAATAGACCATTTGACCTGTGGAGAATGAGAAAAAAACTTGGATTTGTTCTGTACAGTTTTGATTCCAGCATCTTCAACTGATTTTTTTCCTGCTGCCTTTAAAAATCCAAGGCAAGAGTAAAGGTTTAAACCCAGTGTCACGGACTGGTTGGATGGAGAGGAATGCTGAATAGATAGGAGGAGCTAGCAGGGAGGAAGGCTCAGAGCCCGGGAAGTGGCAGTGGGGTGATAATGAGTGGTCAGAGGGAGAAGACTGGGAGGAAGTATCAGAAGCTGGAGAAGTAACAGGGCTTGGCGGAGGAGGAGTCTGTGGCAGAGAGAAACCCAGAATCAAGAGGCAGAAGCTGAGGCAGAAGGGGAGGGAGGCCAAAAGGCAGAGATGAGTCTGGCTAGTGAAGAGGCATGGGTGTCTCCCCCTCCTGCTGTGACAGGCCCCCCCCCCCGGTTTCCCAGAACCAGGAGAGGCACAAAGAAGGCAGAGGAGAAGCTAGCTTAATGCAGGCGCAGTCTCAGATTGCTTGGAAAAAACCTTTGAGACTTTGGCAGCCATGGGGAGGCAGGGACTGTCTGTCTCATCAACTGCTTCATGGAGGCAAGACCCGTTGCTGTGCTCAATAGGCCTGACACTCCTGTGCAGATCCTGTTTTTGCTAATAGTTAACTCTGACTTAGGGATGCGGGTGGCGCTGTGGGTTAAACCACAGAGCCTAGGACTTGCCGATCAGAAGGTTGGTGGTTCAAATCTCTGCGACGGGGTGAGCTCTCGTTGCTCGGTCCCTGCTCCTGCCACCTTAGCAGTTCGAAAGCACCTCAAAGTGCAAGTAGATAAATAGGTACCACTCCGGTGGGAAGGTAAACGGTGTTCCCGTGTGCTGCTCTGGTTTGCCAGAAGCAGCTTAGTCATGCTGGCCACATGACCCGGAAGCTGTACGCTGGCTCCCTCGGCCAATAAAGCAAGATGAGTGCCGTAACCCCACAGTCAGTCACGGCTGGACCTAATGGTCAGGGGTCCCTTTACCTTTACTAACTCTGACTTGCTCAGTGTGATTTACTGCTGGCTCACTCCTGTTACCCAATCTCTTCAGCATTTGCTCTGTTAACAAGGACTATTTCTTTCCTTTTACTGAAATGATTTTTTTAACAATACAAATAAAGCAACATTCAAATAAAAAGTAGGAAGATGTGTGTGACCATAGATATTGTAAAGGGAAATACACTGCACTCATTATGATGCTCTGCAATCTAACCAAATAGTCTCCTCTATTTTATCTTTTTTAAAAATGTATCGTGCAAATGGGCAACCAGGCCATTGGTCCAAAAAATCCTTTTCAACCCAGCTACCCACCCACAAAGTACCACAATACAGCTTCTGGTACCACACTGGAAAAAAACTTGTGTTATTTATTTATTATTACGATTTAGACTAGCAGAAAATCATGAAGATTATTTTTCTGTCCCTGTATAGAATCTGTAAGGAAAGCTCTCAGCTCTCCAAGTAACCCTACCCTGCTCCCTATAGATGCTGAAGACCTAACTGGATTTCACAATACATTAAACATAGCCATAAAATTGATCTTGTGAGACTTTCCTAATGTACCCTCAATTGCTGAAAAATTTTGTCCAACGTTTTTGTGGATCTTGATTCAATTATGTGGGTATAATTTTCTTCAATCTAAAAGAACAACTGATAAAGCAAATTTCATAGCTTGCCTTCAAAGATGCTGTCAGGCCTCGCAAAATACACATATTCAAAAATGCAGAATGCTGATGGATCTCCCGCAGGTCTTGGCACAACATCCAACGTCTGGACATCATATCTGGATATCTTCACAATCTCTCCAGGCATGACCTCACGGTAATATCTGGAAAATAAAGTAAGATATTATAAATCTTCATAAAATTGATCTTTAGAAACATTGCAATTGTAAGAGAATTGGTTATTATAGGCACTGTTGGAAAAACCTGGGGGCATGTGCATGCCTTGGTGGCTGACAAAATCACAATAATATTGTGCATGCAACAATTTCTCAGACATATTAAATAAGTTCAGAATGTGATCTAGAACTAAGATTTTGGAAAATCTCATTTGAAAAATTCAGTTTTCAGTCCTTTTGTAGCTGTGAAGATAATGTTTTCAAGCAGTACTACCTGAAATCTCAGTTGCAAGAAAATGACTGACGCTGTCCATTTGAGCTTAATTCGGTTTACTCTGGAGTATATGTGCATAAGATTACATTTAATGAGATTTCTAGAGGTTAGAGGCAGGCCTTTAGTATCCTATAGTATCTCCTTATCTAGGAGATATTGACTAGGAAAACTAGAACAAATGTGATCAGTCTTGAAAATGTATACAGAACACCAAAGTCAGCTTTGTTGGTGAAGAATTTTAATTTTAATTATCCCAGATTGTACAGATATGCAAGTATAACTAACATTTACTGTGATTTAGAGAAATAAACAATCACAATGCTCCAAATGTTGATCTCACAGAGTAAAAAAAATCCCTGAGTTTCACAAAATAGTTTTGTTAACCAAGCAAAAGTCGAATATTAGAAGTTGACTAATGCACGAGCAAATTGAAAGACATTGGTTTGGGTCACATGCAGTGCCAAACCATTGTTTGATGTTGTTTGAATGCACACAGTGTGATCCCTCCTTCCCCTTACTTTGTGTTGCAGCCAACCACTAACCTATGAGGGTTTTCTTGCTGCCATCCAACCAGGTTTGCAGATCACAATGTGAAACTGATTTGGAAGATAAATGCAACCCACAGTTGGGTGTCTGGTTGTAAAGCTTGTTAAATACCAGGAAATAACTAATTCAGCTGACATGAGAGAGAAGGAGGGAGCTGGTGACAGCAAGGCTCAGTTATGTAACACTACTTATGTTTAGTGTCATATGTGAACTGACTGAAGGTGTCAAAATGTCTTTGGAAAATAGTGGCATTATTAAATCAGTTTTTATCTTCTTTGATAATCTATTTATAGCTGCCACCTTCATGCTTGCCTGATGGCAGACTTGTCAAGTATATTGTCAGTTCCTGTTAGACTAATAGTTCATAATGGAATTAAACATGTCTGCCATTTTCTAAAATCTGGCAACAAACAGGTGCCTTAACAGGGAAATTCCAGGTATCCACAGGCTTCTTTTTGTGAAATATTGGTTTCCCCCTTTTTCCTGTTCCCACTGTTGTAATGTGTCACTTATTGTGTGTTATGTCATGGTGCCATGCATTTTTCTGCATCCATTCCACCTGTAGGCTAGTGGAGGCAGAGAAACATGCAACTTGAGAAGTCATTTTGGAAGTGTTGTTACTTATTACAAAGGATCAAGGGAAGAATTCAAGTCAGGAATGCAGTGTTTACCAGCAATCCCATGTGCAGTTTCTCCCCAAATGGAAAAGATACCTAGCAAAATCTAAATGGCCTTTGCCTTTTTTCACAAACTGCTGGTCATTATTCTGCACGTCATTAACAAAAGATTTTTTGTCATTTTCTCTCCCCAAATTCTAAAGACGCATTTTGTTGCTATCCTTAGAAGTCTGGGGAACGAGAGAGCGCGATTCCATGGCTCTCTGAACACAAAAATATGACGAGTCCTTTTTTAAAATGTAACTTACTTATACAAAAGCATGAAAATGAAAAGTAAATAATTAACTGGCTAATAGTTGGTTGGTTGTCAAAGATCACTTGTCAGTGTTTTGTCTTCTAAATATAGATGGTGTGCAATTCAGCTCCCTTCAAAGCAATGGGTCATTGACTTCAATGGAAGTTTAATTTTCAGACCAACAATACCTTTTCTTGTTGTAGTACAAAATAGCAGAAATAATCTGATTTGACTTCAAGTGTAAGGAAACACAGAATCACAGGACTGTAGAGTTGGGAAGGGACCATGAGGGTCATCTAGTCCAACCCCCGACTCTGAGATTAAGAGTCTCATGCTCTACCAACTGAGCTATATGTAACAAACGAACTTACTCTGCTCCGATAGATAAAAAGCTACACGATTCTGAAGAAACTACCCATCCTTCAGTTTCAGCATTAGTTTTCCCTGTAATAAAGTTTAAAAGAGTAATAACAGCATTAAAAAAACCCTTCCAATTGATTTTTTTTTGTCAAAGGAAAAGTAATACAGAGTTGCAGAATAAAGTAACAACAGTAGAACAGTGTACCAACTTAACTCTGTTACTAGGTCTTTAAAAATCTGTTGCAAATGCTCATTACCTTTCTCAAACGACAACAATCAAATATAATACTGCTGATAATTTATCAATGCAGCATCTGAAAGTATTACTCCAGTGGTGACATTGCTTGTAAAACATCTTATCTGACTGATGGCCAACCACGAGTGATATGACCGTGAAACTCAGTCATGCATTCAACAGTAATTCTGTTTGTTGTAAACTATACTGGTGTTTGCTACAGCACATATTATATATTGCGAAGGGCAGAAATGTATCCCTAAATAGGCCTGTCTGTGAAAGCATGACACAACCATAGCTAATCAGCACATGTCAACTGTCTGCTTAGGAATTAATATTTCCTTCACATTTTTCATGGTTACTGCAAGATGCAACACAGGATGTAACCACAGCAAACACAACTGCTATGTAAAGTGTGACATTGCTCCAACATAAAAACACAAGTTAGTGGCTGATCTAACTACCAAAAGATGTCCCAAAAATTCAGTCTAGATTGAGCTGCTTAGAATTAATCTTTATAGTGTTTCTGAAGATGTACCTATGTAACTAGACACACATTCTTGTTGTATTTATTGGTTGCCTATATGTTCCCAATATCTCAGGTGTTATGGATGAATAATAACATTACTACCCAGAATTTTGCATTTTATTTCAGGTGTATATTATATAAAATTTCATGATGCAATCACAAGAGAACTGAGCCAGAAACTTAAGCAGAAGAAACAAAATTATTTCCTCTATTCTACCATTTGCTTTTTGAAATATGGCAACCCTAGTAATTTGATATAATAGCAACTTGTATTAGGCTTTTATCACTGTTACTTAAGACTGCATTCATTGTAACTAGAACCCTATTTTCTCCTGAGTTATGTCTTTTTTCCACTTTATGTTTCCTCTTTTCATGTAGGATTACTGTTCTTCCACTAAATCCAATGTTTATCTATGTAGTTGAACATTAAAAGCATAAAGAGTACAAGTGGTAAGTGTTTCAAAATGAACATTGATGCAGTTAACTCAAAGCATAGCTCACATATAAACATATCAAATATGATGATAGTGATATATTTATTTATACCCCACCTTTTCCCCTAACAGGAACTCGGTGCAGCTTAGAGATTTAAACAACAACCACCACAACAATTACCCCAGCCACTCTGGGCGGCATAAAACATAATATGAAGTCTTACCTTTTCCACTAATATCACCTACTGGAACAAGACGGCCAATACAGAGTGGACGGTTCCCATAGGGATCACGAACAGCATAGATAATATCTTTATGCATCATCAGAAGTGAGTATGAAGTGGGTGTTTCATTCATCAGATTTTTTATCCTGGAATATGAGAGCTCTTTTAATATACAGTGGTACCATGGGTTACAAACACTACGGGTTACAGACTCCGCTAACCCGGAAGTAGTACCTCTGGTTAAGAACTTTGCCCCAGGATGAGAACAGAAATCGTGCTCTGGTGGTGTGGCGGCAGCGGGAGGCCCCATTAGCTAAAGTGGTACCTCAGGTTAAGAACCGTTTCAGGTTAAGAACGAATTAAGTTCGTAACCAGAGATACCACTGTACTCCTTTGGCTTAGTGCTGCTTATTTCGCTTATTTCCCTTCAAACCAATTGCTTTACCTTGCTACCCAATCTGGGGTGTCGTCATTCTCCAAAGGGGGTGTGAATGCCAGCAGCTGAGTGATCAATTCGCTGTCAGAACTGGTAGAGAGTCCCACTCCATGGCGCATTAGCTATCAAACAAAGGACCAAAATGCAGCATTAATCAAGTATATGCAACTCTCGCATTATCTGTAGAAGAAACATGGACAAGTACATGCATACCTACACCAATGGTCTAGAAAACAGAAGTGACGCGGGCCAATTTCTGCTCTCTAAAATCAAAAGAAGTGGTATCCAAAGGGGAAGGGCACAAAGAGGACATCTACACCACACATTTGAACTGGTTAAACTGTTATCCCTTCTTCTGAGGAATAGTAGCTCTGGGAAAGAAAATGTCAGAGCGGGAGAACCACACATCTGACAACAGGAGTCTTCTGAGCACTGCGATTTTTTTGCAGGAAGTTGTCATTACTTAAAAGTCCAAGCCTAATAGAGCAGTCCTATACATTCAGAGGAGGAATCATGACTGAAGGAGCTGTTTGCACCTTTGGCAAGGGAAGGAAGACTGAGCTACTAAATTACGTGTAGGGATCAGCTCTTCAGTGAGATGGGTACTTTAACTAAATTTGGGATATAATATAGATAAGAGAAAGAGACAATGGGAGGTAGGTGTACATTTATTTTTGCATGTCACTTTGGTATTCCCGCTTCCTCTTCGTATTTCCAGGATTTAAACTGTGAATGCTGTGAAGAATCCTTGGAATATAACATGGTATAAAATCATAACCCTGTTTCCTTCCATATTCAGTAGTGAAAAATAAGCCAATCCTTGGGTCATTCCTTAGTAATCATAAGCAAGTCATGGAAGGGGGGGAAAGTACCTCTCAAAACACTGCTGTAAACTGTTATGCTTATATATCACAAATTGTGCATATGGCAGTGGATGAACTACAAGAGGATAAGAAATCAACTGAAGTGCAAATAAAAGACAACTAAGGATCTGGTATGTTGCAGAAGGGGAAGGACAGGTGTTCAAAATTAGCAATGTGGCTTTTTGGCACTTGCCCTGGGATCTGTGGATGGTCTCAATATCATGAAAACAGTTGTTCACATTTATGCTTATCATACTAATGATTTGTTATTTTGACTATTTTCCTACCGTCAAATATAACAAAAACCTGGTTATGTGCCACTTATAAATGCAAATTTACTATTATGTTCTGCTTCTTCATGCTTAGAATCCTGAATCCTGGGCCAGCCTCCCCCAACCTGGTGCCTTCCAGATGTTGTGGGACTACATGTCCCATCTTCAGGGCTGCCCAAGACCTTTTGGTGCCCCCCATCCCAGCTAGGGAAGAAGGGGTGAGTGAAGATCTACATCACGAACAAGGAGGGAATAAAGATCTACATCGGAATCTGCTGCCCTGTGGATCCTGCCCACTGAGGCAATCACCTCACCTTGCCTCATGAGTGGGCCGGCCCTGCCCATCCTTCTAAACCAATGGCCTTGAGAGCTGTAGACCAAAAGAACTACAGGATGGGAAATTTGTACCTTTCTTCTCAGTCGTGCAGCATTTGTCAGCTCCCCATTGTGAGCTACAGCAATCTTCCCATGCAGAGTTTCCACAACAAATGGTTGACAGTTATCCAAGACAGAGACTCCGGAGGTAGAGTATCTTGTGTGGCCAATTCCAAGATTTGAAATGTACAGCTTCTTCAGACTGTCTTCGCTGAACACATGATTAACCAGACCCATCCCCTGCAAAACAAGAATGGGAAATGATTACATGCTCTTAAGAGCAGTTTCCAATACTGCCCAGAATATTTTAGCAAGCTAAACTTAATCTACATGTGCGCACACACACAAACAAGTTCCTGTCCCCAAACTTCCAGATTGAAGACGACTTGAAAACTTCAATTGGCCCAAAATGCAGCAGCAATCCCTTCACATTTCGTATAAGCCCTGTTTGAAAACAGCTGCATGGATTGCCAGTTCTTTCCCTGGCCCAATTCGAGGTGCTCATGTTAGCGTTTAAAGCCCTAAAAAGATTCAGGCCCCAAATGTCTGAAAGACCACCTCCTTTCCTACAGACCCTCTGGGATGCTAAGATCATAGGAGGTTACCCTCTTAGTTGTTCCACCACCCTCAGAAGCTTAGGGTGCAGCAGTCTAGGAAAACACATTTTCCATGGCAGCCCCTAAGTTGTGGAACTCCCTTTCCACAGAGGTGCATCTAGCACAATACTGGGACACCCATCACAGTGTTCTGTTGCACCAGAAGCAGTTTAATCCTGCTGGCCACATGACCCAAAAAGCTGTCTGTGGACAAACGCCCGCTTCCTTGGCCTTTGACTGGACTTAACAGTCCAGGGGTCATTTACCTTTATCTTTACCTTTACCTGCATCTAGCACCTTCACTAGACACAGCTTTCGGTAAATACTGAAGAGGCATCTCTTTTACCCTTGAGATGTGTGTGCGCGCGTGTATATATATATATACATATATATATATATATATATAAAACAAAAATAAGGTGGGTCCATATATATATGGCCCCGCCTTATTTTTGTAATTTCAGGTTGTTTTAAACAGTTTTAAATACTGCATAATATTTTATATTAATATTAATGTTGTGTTTTAAGTGTATGAAAGGCAAGTAATAAACCGTTGTTGTAGTAGTAGTAGTAACAACAACAACAAATTTTAATGTAATGATCATTTGGCACTTGGAATAGGTAAATAAAGTTATGCTATTGTGGTGTAGTAGCAATAGTTTTTGTTTGTAAACTACTGCCTGGCCTAGGGCAAATCACTGTCTATCTGAACTAACTTTCAAACCACTTGGCTTCACATTAGGATCTCCAGCGTAAGGGGCATTGACCTAATATTCAATCGCTGTGTCCTTAACAGCAGCTTGATCTGCAGAAAATAAACAGGTGAAGCTTTTTAAGGCAGGGACAAAATAGAACTGAGAAAGTTGGCAACTCTACTTTATCCATCACATCTTCCCTGCATTATCACAGAGCACAGATACTGTATAATATAATTTGGCTAGGCTGCATTTCTTTTAAAGGTTTAGTGACTCCATACACATGGTACTCTTGCCCCAAAAAATGGGTACATGCGATGATGTATATCTTTTGCTCACTTTCCCTGCTCCTCTTTCAGGTAAACTGTTGTGTTTGAAGTAGCATGTTGTGCTGCTATACACAATTTATAGCTTAGATACTAGAAACTTATATTCAAAACCTTGTTCAGCTATGCAGCTTCTGCAAGGTTTACCTCAGGTATATATGCAGTGAATGGTTTTTCAGCTTCTCAGCATTATTTTTAACATCTCAGAGTCTGAAACGGAAAAGTTTCTACGTGTGAAAGCCACACCTTCTCTTAACTATATAAACAGTAAACAAGCTTCCCAGTTTACCTTGTGTAGTTTGAATGTATGGGCTGACTCGCCATCACTTGTCACAATCCCAGCACTCTCTTGGCCTCTAGGAGAAAAGCAAAAGCAGATGATGGTACCAAAATGGCATTTATATATTCACATTATCCAAGTGTGGATTCGTATGTAGCAAAAGCAGCACCATCCATACACAATATGGAAGTATCAAAATGCCTAGAGAACATATTTGTATGCAAACAGATAACCTTAAAGGGGGAAAAATCCTACAGCAAGAGAAACCCCATCCTCCCGAATTTCACCTTCCCTTATCAACCACCAAATCCAGGTACAAGGCTTTGGTTCCAGAAAGGAAGTACAGTATTGGGGTGGCATTTGTAAGAAACACAAAATCTTACAAACAAGTTCAGTGTGATAGCAGATACGTAATATGCTTTTGTTTTGTTTTTAATTTGTATTTGTTTCTGCTGACACTAATACACTTTCTTATCTATATTGCACTGCACTGTATTGTGCTTTTCTAAGGATGAAGAAGTGTGGTGGCATTTCTAAAAAGGAATTGCAGGGCTGTGAACATAGGCGTAGCCAGGATTTTTGTTAGGCAAGGTAGGCCTTTTGTTTGGGGGGGGTGCAGAACCTCAGTTAGATATGTATTTTTGTTGATTTTTATTGATGGGGGGGACAGTTGCCCCGCCCCTTGGCTATGCCCATGGCTGTGAAGGTTTTACTTCCCAAGGTGTATCCACATTTTTAGTCCTAGTCTTCCCTTCTGGGAAGGTTCCGCAGGATTTTGAGACAACCGGAACACCCTGCCAAACCTGTTTGCCAGATGTGAGAGGGGCACATACCATACAGTTGTCCCTCTTTTTAGATAGCCCTTGGGCTCTCCAAAAAAGTAAAATAAAAATATTTTCTCTCCAGACTGTAGCTCAGCGATGGGGAACCTGTGGCCCTCCAGAAGTTACACAACTATAGTGGGGTTGCCATACGTCTGAAACTTCCCAGACATATCTGGAACGCTGCAGTCGGCAGTGGCGTTTGGATGGAAAATCTACAAAATGTCCAGTAAAATCTGTACGCATGGCAGCCCATGTTAGCAATGTCATTCTTTGCCGATTATCTGTAAAATTTCTGTCCGGATTTTCACTGTTTGGAATATGGCAACCCTAGACGATAGCTCCTATCATCCTTGGCCACTGGTCACACTGGCTGCAGCCGGTGGGAACTGGAGCCCAACCAATACTGGGACTCGAGTTTCCCCACCCGTGTTGTAGCTCAGTTAGTTGATCCTTTACTGAGGCCATAAAGGTTGCCAAATCTACCAAACATTGAAAGCACCTGGCTTCCATAAAAGAATTGTGGGAACCAAACAGAGGGCCTTTTCGGTAGTGGCACCCGCCCTGTGAAACGCCCTCCCACCAGATGTCAAGGAAACTACCTGTATCTTACTTTTAGAAGACATCTGAAGGCAGCCCTGTTTAGGGAAGTTTTTAATGTTTGGTGTTTTATTATGTTTTTAATATCCTGTTGGAAGCCGCCCAGAGTGGCTGGGGAGGCCCAGCCAGATGGGCAGGATATAAGTAATAAATAATATTAATTATTATTATTATTATTATTATTATTATTAGCCTACATTCATTGACATTTTCACTGTCTGACAACAAGGCATCCCCTTCTTTACCGGTGCTGACTCAAGATGTTTTGCTCCCTGGAACACGGTCCAAATCCCCCATCCCAGGCAGGGACACCATGTTAAATATTGCAAGAAGACCATTTATGCAACAATTCCTGTCTTCATCTATCACCCCACTCTTCAAGGTATAGCCTGAAGCAGGTCACTTTCTCTTGCTGGATTTATGTACAACCCAACAGGAAATGCTTTCACCCATCACAAACCCACAGTGCCAGATTTGCGAAAGCACAAAGAATCTTAAGGGGGCATGGAATCCTAAGGCAGTGAGCAGTTCCCCTACACAGGGTGCCAAGCGAAGGGGGAGCAAAATTGAGACAATTCATAATCAAGACGATCCATTTTGGGGCGCCAAATTTTGGCCTTGCTCAGGGTGCCAGATTACCAAAGATTACCAAAGTGTGTCCCTAGAAACCTTTGTGCATTTGCAAGGACATAAAATATACATGTACCCTTCTCAGGAACAGATGAGAAGACTTGGAAACAACAAACCATACCATAGCAATATCACCTACAATCAGTATCTGCAACATGCAACTGGCTCTACAGGTATTGAAGCATCTTTTAAATTGCTCACGTGTGCATGTTGACAATTAAGTGGGAGAAAACAAACCTACTGCAAAATACTGTATCTACACGGAGCAATGGTGACAGGAATGTATAAAAATAAAATGAAGAGCTGTTTAAAGTAGTTTTAATTATATACAACCAACATTTATGGGCTGGATATAGGCATAACCATAGCTAGAGCAGGCCTGTTGAACTTCATGAAACTCAGGTTAGTCATGATCAGCTTAAGTTCCACTGATTTTAATGGGTCAACTCTAAGTGTGACTAAGTCTGAATTCAATACAATATGTATTTTTATTTTGTTATTTTTGAGAAAAAACCAAAGCTTTTATTTGGAAAAGACAAATCTACTTTTCTGGACAATAAAAAAGACTAATATAGGTTCTCCAAGACTAATTTGGTCTTATTTTTTTGGTTGCTCATTTTTGTGCATTGTTGGTAAACTCAAATAAATGTCACCCACATGAAATTATTAGCATTACAGTGTTACCTCGGGTTAAGTACTTAATTTGTTCTGGAGGTCCGTTCTTAACCTGAAACTGTTCTTAACCTGAAGCACCACTTTAGCTAATGGGGCCTCCTGCTGCTGCCGCGCCACCGGAGCATGATTTCTGTTCTCATCCTGAAGCAAAGTTATTAACCCAAGATACTATTTCTGGGTTAGCAGAGTCTGTAGCCTGAAGTTTCTGTAACCCGAGGTACCACTGTACCTTTAAATCTTCAAAATATAAACTACAACCATTCTGTTTGCTACAAATCACAAAATGCCTAAACATGTGGATACAGAATTTACTTAAACTGCTAAATTTGCCGTTAGACTAGATCAATCCACTGTACGTATAAACATGCCAAATTGTGAATCATAGGCTTATGGCAGCGATCCTAATATACTTGAACGTACTTTGAAATCAAAGGCACTTACTTGCTAGTAAGTATTACAGCACAAGGGTCCAAAGCTATTGCAATTCAGTCTGCAGCATATATTTAGAGTCTCAATTTTCATTTTAAAGCACTGTGCACAACAAGGGTTAAAGAATGCATTTTGTCAAGCAGAAAACAGCTTATTCAGAGTGCCAATTATTAACATACTTTGTAATCATTTGTGCCTGAGCTGCTTTATTTTCCTGCCTCTAATACGGAACCTGCTTATTTGGCAGTTTCTCAAGTTACTCCCCTCAGGCAGCTTGAGCCAGTAAAACTAGATCCTTTCATCTCTGTGGAGCTTACTGACAACCAGCCGTCTGGTTTCCTAGGAAACAAAATCTTGGCTAGAAATAGTGAATCATTTCCAGGTCACTTTCAACATGGAGAGTGGAGCAGGAAGGCACTGGACTGAGGAGGAGGTTAAAGCCTTGTTAAGCGTCTGGTCAGAAAAAAACATCAGAAAGCAACTCCATGGAACACTAAGGAATAAAGGAATATTTATTTACATTGCTAAAAGGCTACAGGAGCTGGGGATCTGCAGAGACTGGAAACAATGTCGTGCAAAGTATAAAAACCTGAAATATGAATATAGGACAGTTAAATATGCCCACACCTCAGGAGATGCTACAAAGACCATGAAGTTTTTCCACGAATTGGATGCCATATTGCAACATGAACCTGTCACACAGTTAACAGAGGACGAAAACGGCAGGTGTTCAGCAAATGACATCATAAATGCCACCAGGGAGAACAATGAAGGTAAAAAAAAAAAATATGAAAATCGTTTCTGTATTATCTTTACCTGAAATAAATTAAGAGGCTGCTAGGGTTCAATCCCCACTTTGCACCACAGATGGCACAGTTGGAAGAACAAACTGACTTAATGCACTCTCTCCTTATCTGTGTGTATGGATGTGTGAAAGGGGGGCGGGGAGGGCGGTTCTGCTCACCAGCTTTTCTATAAATACATAAGCCTGATGGTAGTTAAACCAGCTGCTGGAGCTAGCTAGATTCATGAGGCCTTTGCTGTAAAGGAAAGCAAAAACCTCAGAGCAGGGGCTTCCAAACTTCTATTGCTTTTTAATTGGGATTTATCTGTCACTGTTCATATAATAATATATACATTTTTTGCAGCTATCTAGCTCATACCTAAGGGAAATAATAATTGTGGAACGAGCTGTGCTATTGAAATTGAATTTAAAATGCCGCAGAGATGCATTTATGCTCAGGTGGAATGAAAACAAAAGGGCCAAGGTCGAAAGACACATATTTGTAGTGATGGAAAGATGATGTCCCTTTTTGAAGTAGCAGTTAATGAATATTCCTTTGGATAAATATATATACAGTAGAGAGAGAGAGAGAGAGAGAGAGAGAGAGAGAGAGAGTCTCTTTCCTTTTCACAGTGATAATAAAAATAGCTGTAGTCTTCAGAACAGCTCCTCCTATTAACTTGTTCAGCTGTGAATATCTGTGCCATGTCTGTCGCTCCTCTGTATGTCCCTTTCAGAGCTTGTAGCTCTAAAAAGCGGCTTAAAACGCTTTAAATAATAGCAGTAAGTAATATGCATTGCAAGGCAGCTTAATATGATATGTTTTCCAGAGGCCTGTATGATGATATGTGATATATTTTGCTTGTCCCTTGAAATCAGAGAATTAAAATTGGAAAGGCCAAACGTTGCAAGTATGTTTATTATATATATATAAAAAAGGAAATTTGTATGTAGTTGAGAGACTGGCGGTTCTACAGGAGAGGGTTAATGGGCCTCTCCTGTTTAATGCTTAAAGTTGGTCAAACCTGCTGGCCAGGTCTGGCCAGGCACATCCTTTGTTATGTAAATAACAAGAGATACGTTGCCGTGGAAACTAAATAGTTAGACAATTGCTCCTTGAACGTTTGGAATAGGAAAAGATTGGGGGGGGCAGACCTCCCTCCCAACTAATAATCAGATAATTCAGGTGTCTGTGTGAGAAGACTGCAGTTTAGACAGAAAAAGAGACAGATAGCCAGTTTTAGGCTTACAGGGTGATTTCAGTCTCCTGGAATTCTGATGTCTGAGCAGCGGTATTTTAAAGCACTATCTTATCTTTTTAAGTCCAATCACTGATAGCAGTAAGGCCAGAAACGCCCCCCAAATGCTCTGCAACACATATTTATATTAAATGCAAAAAGGACAAACTCACTACAATGACTTTAAAAAACAAATTTTAAATAATCTTAAATTTTGCAAGGGGGGCATGTGTGACGCAAGAATTGCCCACCCCAAAGAGAGCCAACATCCACTGAAAATACATAAACAACAACAATAAATATGGACAATGAGCATCTGTCCTAGCTAACTCTTATCGGGGGGGTTTTTTCTAGCTTGAAATACAGCCCCAACATCTTCCTGTTCTGCTTTCGCAGGAACATTTTAATCACTGTACGAAACATTATTTTGTGATGATAATGAAGAAAACACTGGCCTCCCCGCACTCTAAAAGGATTATGACTATATATCATATTCACAGAGATTTAATGGAAAATAAACAGGAATTAAACGCTCACCAACTTATTGATATCCCTTTTTTATCCAATAATAATAATAATAATAATAATAATAATAATAATAATTTCCCACTGACCCTCTAAGAAGCTATGGACAACTTGCATTTTATTGGCACAACAGTCTTGTTAGGGAGGTTACTCTGAGATATGGTGACTGTTATAAAATCAATTAATCACCTTGTTGCCTCCCCCATTTTAAGTCCCAGTCTAGTCAACAGGCAGCGAGCTGTTGCACTCCACATAGATTCTGTCAACACAAAGATTTCTCATACAGCACGGGGTGCAAGTGGGGAGGGGAAACAAGGGGAAATTCCTGTCGTGTTGGCTTCTGCTACCACAACAATTTAGATGAACATGGCCAGTTATCTTTGAAAACCAGCCATCAGGCTGCTTTCTATTTTAGTCTCTTCATACATTGTAATTTCCTACATGTTGCATGTAGGAAGTGAGCAGCGAAATAAACACAGGGCTGCATTCACACACAACACTGAGCCATAGTTTAATGCTACATGGATTAGAACATATTTGAATAATTAAATTATTACTTTCATATTTAATAAATTTATTGTAATGCATAAATATTGTGGGGAAAATAGAAGACTGGATCTTTCTTCTAGCTTTTTCATTACTGAAGTACCAGTACATGGGAAGTAAGAGTATCAGTCTTGGCTAACAATGAATTGTGCTGTAGTTTTTATTTCCTTTTAAAACGTGATACAACTTGCTTTGCTTACATGTGTTTCTCGTACCACAGAAATCAATGTCCCGTAACTGCATGGATATTAACAAACAAATATATATATATATATAAATGTTTTAGCTGTTCTTATTTTATCTGTAAGCCGTCTTGAGTCTGGGTCAGGGAAAAAGGCAGAGTATAAATAACTATACAATAGCAACAACAACCACTGCTACTATTGCTGCTGCTACTACTAACAGCACCACCGCTCCAGATTCAATCCTATACAGTGGTACCTCGGGTTAAGAACTTAATTCATTCTGGAGGTCCGTTCTTAACCTGAAACTGTTCTTAACCTGAAGCACCACTTTAGCTAATGGGGCCTCCCGCTACCACTGCACCACCGGAGCACGATTTCTGTTCTCATCCTGAAGCAAAGTTCTTAACCCGAGGTACCATTTCTGGGTTAGCAGAGTCTGTAACCTGAAGTGTATGTAACCTGAAGCATATGTAACCCGAGGTACCACTGTAATCACTTCCCAACTAGTAAGCCCCCACTGGTATTGTACTGCAAAAAATAAAAATAAAAATGCACAGATGCTAAATAGCCTTTCATTAGATGAAGATTGTGTGATCTTGTCCTTTCCTGGCCTACATCATTAAATTGCTATGTAGAAAATACTGGCTTGGATCTAACACTTGGATAAGTGGATGAGTCACATCTTCCACAAATCCGAGGGGGTCTCCTTATTCCCTGGGGTGGGTTTTGGAAGACAGAAGAGGGTGGAAAGGCCCCATCTCAGGAGTAGAGTTCTGCTCAAGATTCTTTGGATTATAACCACACCATCTACTACAGTGGTACCTCGCAAGACGAATGCCTCGCAAGACGAAAAACTCGCAAGACGAAAGAGTTTTTCGTTTTTTGAGTTGCTTCGCAAGACGAATTTCCCTATGGGCTTGCTTCGCAAGACAAAAACGACTTACAAGTTTGTTTCCTTTTGGATTTTCAATGCATTCCTATGGGAAACCGTGCTTCGCAAGACGAAAAATTCGCAAGACGAAAAAACTCGCATAACGAATTAATTTCGTCTTGCGAGGCACCACTGTATCTATCTATCTATCTATCATCTATCTATCTATCATTTATCTATCTATCTATATCTAATGACTCTTTATTTCTGCCTCTTCTTCTTCTTTCAGTTTTACATTTTAAAATGCTGTGTTATGTTAGGGTAAGTTTTGCTGTAAATATTATTTGAAATTAATATATTCAAGGTACTAGCCTGGCTGAGGATATCTGATGACTGTGAATCTATGTTGTAGCGTCAATAGGAAGTTTGCATTAGAAATATCTATAGCAAGTCATAATTCATATGATAATATCTTTGTTGCCTTTCCTATGTATAACAATTCTTTTTTCTCTCCCTCCCCCATCCCAGGTGAAGTTGCAGTTACACTGGAAGAGGAGGAAGATCCTCCTGCAAATCCACTACTTTTTATGTCCCACTGCAGGCCCATTCAACTAGGTAACAAAGGATGGCAAACGAGAGACAGCAAATTCTCTGTTTCTCATACTCATTAAGAATGGAATATTATTGTGTCAGAGGGACAAAAGAAATAAGTTGGAAAGGTTAGGGCATTCAGGGATGGTTTCTTATTGCACAGTTTCTGTGGTGTTTGCTTTAACGTCTACATAAAACACAAGAAAACAAAATTATTTATTTTATGCAACAATTCGGTTCTTGATTGGAAACAAGAACATGGTTTGAAGGCAGAGGAAGTAGAAACTCAACTCAACGTGCAGTTCATGGGCACTGATATAAGGCTATGAAATAAAATTGTCAAACTCTTCTGTTTCATCAGCTGAGATCCAGAGAGGACTATGTGTGAGTGTGCAAGTGCTTCTGTGTGCGCAAGCATAAGGGGTGTGTGTGTGTCTGTTTTTCATTGTTTCAAGAAAAAACCTCTTAAGAGTGCTGCTGCAAAGGTTTTCTGACTTTTCCAGGGCTCTTCAAGAGCCATCTGGTAGAAGGCTTCTGTTGAAGCAGAAGTCAATCTAGTGTGTTTTTGGAACAAACTCTGAGATAGGACTCAGACTATGAATGGTGCTTTCAGGTGCATATCAAACGATAGAAGGAGTAAATTTATTTCTTATGTACTGTGGGTGGTATTCCACCAACAAGTCCTTGTCAGCACAATAATTTCTGCTTGTGCAGTGAGACTTCTCCCCTCCCCTCCCCACATATGCCACACACCCACTCCTCAAATCTGTTCCATAGGGTTGAAGGAACCCCTAGAATGGATTTCGGAGGAGAACTTTCCACAGCATACCCTTGTGCTGCCAGAATGATTGCCTTAGCATTGCACTAAGTTCCACTTAAAATGTTTTGGAAAGTTGTTTGCGCGCTATGAATTTGGACATCTCATAAGATATCTTAACCAAATTTTGAATGATGGTTCCTGAAGTGAAGGAGCAGGTCTTCACCTATGTTTGGATACAATTGGACATCATTTTGAATTAGGGTAGTGCTCTGAATCTTTCAAAATGGTAGTGATTGTTACCACTGATTTCTAAACTGCACTGATCTTTCACACTTTATATTATATATATATATTATATTCTAAAACCATGACCCCCACAGAAGAATGAGAGTACCACTGATAATCTGGTGCCATCATACCCTCCAACATTTCCCTGTTGAAAATAGGCACGTCCCATCCCATATTGATAATTTTACTATTTATATCCCACACATCTTATTGGGTTGCCCCACCACTCGGGGCAGCTTCCAACATATATAAAAACATAATAAAACTTCCCTATACCTTCAGATGGCTCAGGGGTTGGGTAACTCAATAACCCGCCAACATTTCTCCAGTGAAAGTAGGGACATCCTAAGGAAATACGGGACATTCTGGGGTCAAATCAGAAACTGGGACGGCTTCTCTAAATCAGGGACGTCCCTAGAAAATAGGGACACTTGGAGGGTCTGCGCCATTATCTCAGATTCTGTTTCTGCAGTCAGTACAGCTTTGCTCTGATAATGTATGTAATGTTGGCTTTTGTTAAATCAGAGAACTTATATGTCAGAGTTTTCCAAACTTTGCTGGCCTTCTGTTTTTGGACTACAATTCCCATCATACCTAACAACTGGTCCTGCTAGCTAGGGATGATGGGAGCTGTAGTCCAACAACAGCTGGACAGCCAAGTTTGGGAAACCCTGTTATATGCTAAACCAATTTGTTTTCTACCTTGAATTTATTTTTATAACAGTGCCCAGAAGTAAAACTCACTGAGCCTTACTCCCAGGTAAGTGGGTATAAGACTGAAGCCTAAATGTGCACAGGCATTAAAAAGTTCACCAAAACCATTTTTTTTCTCTCTCTCTCTCCTCCCACCCTTTATTTTACCTTATCCTGACCCCATCCCACTCAATGCAGGTAACACATATCTGAGTCTCTCCCCTATTCTGCCTGATGCAGGTAACCCAACCCCAATACTAGATGCGACCAGAAGTCTGCCATACATTCCATCTGTAGCAAATGAAGGAGGAAAACACTGGACTATTAATGAAGTTAGAGCTCTAATACGTGTCTGGTCAGATAAAAGCATCCAGCAACAACTCGAGGGAACGGTGAGAAACAAAAGAATATTTGAACATGTTGCTGCTAGACTCCAAAAATTTGGAATCGACAGGGACTGGAAGCAGTGCAGGACAAAATATAAAAATCTAAAGCATGAATATAAGAGTGTAAAAAATGCCCAATATTCAGGCAACACAAGCAAAAGTATGAAGTTTTTCAGAGAGCTGGATGCTATTCTGGGCCACAGCAATGCAGATAAAACAAGCAGATCGGATAATGATGACAGCGAACAGCCTATAGAATGGGTAGAAACTAAAACAGAAAAGAATTTCAGAGGTAAGAGTTCTAAGCCATCAAAATTAGTTTTATCAGTTTTGCACTAGTAAATATATATACATATGAAAGTTTATATATAAAAGTGTGTTTAATTCAAAGTACAAATAAATTAAAACTAATAATTAAAAGGTCAAAGAAGATAACAAAACAAAACCGTAAGTACAAAAAATAAGAAGGAATGTGAACTGTGATGAGGTTTGCCTAGTGCCCTAAAGAGGATATTCCATTACAAGATCTGAATAGAAATACAAAACTACTGTTTATGATAACTCCAAATGTCAGAAAGGGCAATGATATGCCGATAAGGTAGAATTTGTACTCTTAAAATGGTCTCTAGTGGATTGTATGGAAACACAAGTATTGTTGGGGTGGGGGTGGAGCCTTGGGCCACTGCTACCAAACTACATTGTACCCCCATTTCCTCGCCACCCAGTCCTGAGTAACTTGTGGCTCACTGACATGAATGCAGCCAGCCAGTTGGTTTTTCTGTCTGAAACTGACAAAAACTCTGTGTGTGGAGGATGTTTGAGTGTGTGAAGCACCTGGGAATATTTAAATATCTTTAATTCCCTTTTTAAAAATGGAGATGCCAGAGGTCATTTGCTGGAAACACATTTACAATGTACTGATAAGGCAATGAAAAACACAAGTATTTATAGTATAAATAGTTAGCTACAGTTCTGTGCTTCCTGAACTCCACGTAATACATTTGCAAGAGCATATGATTCAACTGAGAGACAAAACCTTATTTATCAGAATGGCTTGGAGGCCAAAGTAGAGATAAATAGTTATACTTTACGTAGTATTAAGCTAGCAGGGACTAGAAGGGGAACAATAGAGGTTTGTCTAATAGAAAGTCCCATCCCTTGTTATCTTTGCTTCTTTCATTCTTTTCCTCACTCCGGTGTATCTAATTCATTTAAATGTAGGTTGCAAGGACCTTACGGACAAGAGTCCTGGTTTTGTTTAAGTTACTTTGCAGAATTAAGCCACATGGTTGGTGCTACATAAAACTGGATAACTCACTTTTGATTTTCTGGGGGCCATCTAGAAAATGCCTAAGCATCTAACTATTTTTTATTTTATTTAAAAAGCTGTTTCCTTAGAATAATTGCAGTAAGACTCCTTATAATAATTTCACAACCTAATGTCATAACCTGTAACATTTCACTCAGAATTACATGGAGACACAGGTGCGGAAGATTCTGTTAGTAGTATGTCAGGAGATCTGCAGCTCACAGACACAAGGAAAGTGAAAGACCCAGGTAAACACAGAGATACTGTTTGTGAATCCCTCGATTAAAATACAAGTAAAAGATAACTGCAGTAGGATGTCAGCATTTGCATAACTATCTCTTTTTGTGCGTCTAGTGCTCCACAGCGCAGTAGACAGAACTAATTATCTAAATGGAGATTTGGAAGAGCCCATTACCACACATGTGAAGGAAGACATAAAAGAAGAAGTTACTGACTTAGGTGAGCAGCATTCAGTTACAATCTACTAAACAACAACAACAGAAGGTTAAATGTGAGGATGTATGTTAGGTGACAATTTAAAACTGTGAGCCAAGCCCAAGCTTATTCAATGGCCAACAATAAAGGTGGGCAAGGAGGAGACCTGTACAAATCCCATCCGATAGAGTCATAGAATTGTAGGGCCGGAAGGTACCACTAGAGGCATCTAGTCCAACCCCTCTGCAATGCAGGAATCTTTTTGCCCAACATGGGGCTTGAACCCACAACCTTGAGGATAAGAGTCTCATTCTTAGCTATCCTGATGGGGATACTTTGTCCATAGCAGAAACAAAGACTTCATGGAGGTCAAGTGATGAAAAACCTAAAGGGCAATCTTTTGCATGTAAATGTTGCCTGTAACAATAAGCCAGGTTTGTTGGCTTATCTTGGTTTATTGTTAATGAGCATCATGCTCATGCATGCAGCCTGATCGCTTAACACTTTGCTCATCCCCTGTGTGAACAAACCATGAAGCTGAAATTACACATGGCTTGTTAGGCTCTCTGAACCTGGATCCCTGGCTTGGCTCACTAGGCTTAAATCAAGGTTTCCGGATGGCTTATGATCCTGGCTTGTTTGGAACACCAGGATCACCGGCTCAGATGTCAAAACAAGACATGCTTTAAATGTGGCTTCCTTGCATCTCCCACTCATGTCAGGGGAAGGGCAAAGTGAGAGCAACTAGGCTGGCTGCATCTCACACTGCTCAGTCACAGTAAATAGCGGTAAGTCAGGCTTTTCATTACCTTTGAACGTGGCATAAATCATTAGATGTTCTCCTACGGTTCTAAACACTACCTTTTAGACAGTCACAAGTTGCCTTATGTATCATGTCCAATTTGAGTTTGCATCCCCACTCTCACTCCCCCTTCCCCACACTGTTTGTAATTCTGCCCAGGGTAGAGATGTAAAACTTTGAAGCCACCTGGGGTGGGAAGAGAGAAACCAGATGGGGAGAGAGAATCCAATCAGAATGCATGCAATAGGCATATCAACCCTAAATTTTATTTACTACTCTTAAGATCATGCATCCTAGCTGGCAATGAGCACTCAGTAGAATGCTACTGTTTATTATGGTTATGAAGTTTATCTCTTTAGTTCGTATTTGACCAATAATTGCCAGTCAGTGCCTGACCAACACCAAATACGAGTTAAGAGGCTACAGAAGGCCCTTGACTATCTATATTGGAGTGTACAATATGTCTCCTGTCCCTCAAAACCTGGTTGCATTTCAAATTTTCCTACAAACACAGCAGGTTTCTGAGATACTTCTCAAAAAAAAAAAAAAAAAAAAGCATAGTTACTACACATAGTTTACTTAAACAGCCTCATGCTGGCACCAGCAGAGGGTGCCAAATTACTTTACCATAACAACCTATAAATCTATATAATTGGCCCACTCTTCTAATGCAAGAGAAAAAACTATGGGCTTGCCTGTTTGCTCTGTGTGAAGGAACTTTAACTGATGACAGCAAAACTTGGCTACAATTTCAGAAATCCCATGTTGTCAGTGAGTAGGTAAGAAACCAATTTAAGCAATGCCTTTTAAACACATACCAAATTCAGCAATTATTTATCAAAGGTCTTATTTAGAAAAGGATTTGAGTAATTTCCTTTAGTGAAACGCTATGGCTGCCAGTGATCTTTTCTTGCTCAATGTTTGACAGCATTATCTAACAGCCCGAGACCATGGCTTGGAGTTAGATAACGCAGTCACTGACCCCTCTGCACAGCCTTGGACATTTACCTCTTTGCTGGGTCAGCCTCTGCTGATGTAACTGACAAAATGATCCGTCGCATCCTATCTATCACAAGGGGAGCATCATCAAACAGCCAGAAACCAATTACATTAAAGGTCAGCATTCCACCCACTTCGCCGTGATGAAACGCCCACAGCATAGAGAAAGAGGCAAACAATTTGGAATAACTGCGATTGTGCTGCCAAAATGTCTTCCTTCAATTAATTATCTTATTAGAGAATTCTCAGTGTCATCAGTGCTATCAAAAGATGCAGGAGTATAGCTCTACAATATTGGAAGAATTCTGTGTTTTTTCTGATGGTGACTCCAACCTGTTTCAGTCAACATAGGAGCCAACTCCTAGGGGCCAAGGGGTCTTCGGTTCCCCCCAATAAAATACTTGAGGGGGCTACCCCCTGAAGTTTATGGGCACTGCCATTCAAATGATGTGTATGTCCTGTGTCAGGTGATCAATTTTTTTTGTGGGACGGGGCTTACCTGCCCCCTTTTATTCAAGTTGACACCTCTGGCAGTCAATAAAATGATTTTCGCAATCCATTTGGTGGACAGTTTCCCCCCAGAAATGAAAGAGAAGGCATAATAACACACTGGTCCATTTACTAAATTAATGTAATTCTGGGGACACAACCATTTCGATGATCAGGTTTGCTTAGCACAAAGCTGTGAGCATGAGGCTACCGCATTCCTCACCTGGTCCTCCTGCTGCTACATGGCAAGGAGTGAAATCATGGTTTGGCTCAGCATGACATGCAAACCAGGCCTCTTTATGCACAACACCTTCACTTTGTGTGACAGTGTTAGAAATTAGCCAGGTGCATTTTGTGACTGGTGCAGGTTCAGTTGCGGAGATCTCTGGATACCAGGTTGGTGACAGACATCTCCACCAGGCTGGCTCCTCCAACTTCCTTAAGCAGGGAAGCAGAAGAGCTTATTTATGGCATTTATATCCCACCTTTTTCTCCAAGGGGTATATGGTTCGCCCCCCTCCTCAGTTAATCCCTACAACGACCCTATGAGGTAAATTAAGATGTTGTGACTGGCCCAAGGTCACGCAGTGAGTTTCATGACTGAGTGGGAATTTGAACCCTGTTCTCCCATATCCTAGTCCAACACTTTAACCACTACACCACCCTGGCTTCCTAGAATACTTCTGCTATGGGGAAGCTATATAAATTAAGCAGGTACATAAGTATAGGGAAAGCAAAATGTCGCTTAGAGAAGGATCTGAAATATTCTCCTTGAAGCTTGAATTTGTTTTATTCCAGATTGTTTTATTTGATGTTTTAATGTGTTGTAAACCGCTTTGAGGTTGTTTTTTAAAGTAGCATAGAAAGTAAGCAAATAACGACAGCAACAATAACAATAAACATAACGGGGGAGGGGGGAAATGGCACCTAGACATTCTGTTGTGACAACCGTCACCCAAGTTTAAGGTGCCATTAGGCAATTAGCTTATGTATCTGAGTTTCTAACACTTCTTTGCTAGATCCCGATATGTCATCATCACAAAGCCAAATTCTCCCCTCCCCTCCCACCTTGACACCAAACTATTAAGGAAACTGGAAACTCTGTGTACATATCTCATACCTGTGTGCAGTCCACTACCTGCAGGTGAGCCATGAGTGAGAACTGGCCAGGCTACATTGGAGACAACCCTAGGTCTTCCGGTCTCCAGTCTGGCACACTGACTGCATGCTGATGCTGAGAGAGTAAATGCGCACTTAGGCCATATTGGGACCCCATCACATGCAGGCATTAATCCCACATGGAAAGGTTATGTCTAATGAACTATACAAAAGTACCTAGAAATCTCATATGCTATCTTGGACCCAATAATAATTAGTAAATACATTGTTTACTTTGAATTTGCACAGAAATCCCGGAAGACGACGATTCCATCCACAGTACTCCCGAAGGTACAGAGCTCACACACATAAAGCAAGAGCCGATTGATGTAGGTAAGTCAACCATTTGCCACGTGAATTTGTAAACACTTCCATCCTCATTTCAGTACAGAGGTTTTGCTTTTAAAAGATAGTCAGCTTTAACCATTTAGCTTTTTTATAAGTATAACTCAGTGTGCTTCTCATGCAACACTAAACTGTGGTTCAGCGGTATGTGAATGAACCTCAGCAAATCTTCCTTCCTTATCCTCGTTCCAAATCGTCAGGAGGAGGATTTCTGCTGAGTTTTCTTTCAGTTTCAAAAAATCTTGGCGTAGCATTATGTGTGAACCAGTAACCCTGGTTTACAGTGGGCCATACCCACTTCAGCCATGTGACTCTGGGAGCACTGGTCAAGAGCAAATGCGGCCCTTGGGACAAAAATGGTGAGCCACTCCTGGGCTAAAGGAACAAAGAATGGGCGTTTGCAGACTTCACACCTATGATCAAGACTATTTCCAAGACTTAGTTCTCTGTGACAATTTTGTTCATGACCTCAGGGAATTCCTGAAGTGAACTTCCATGGGAAATCAAGACTGAGAGACCTTAAATATGGTCATGCAAGACACCTTAATCTTCAACCCTAAGCACACTTACTAAAGGAGTCAGAGGTACCTTGGGTTACAAACGCTTCGGGTTACAAACTCTGCTAACCCAGAAGTAGTACCTCGGGTTGCGAACTTTGTCCCAGGATGAGAACGGAAATCACGCCGTGGCGGACAGCGGGAGGCCCCATTAGTGAAAACACACCTCAGGTTAAGAATGGTTTCGGGTTAAGAATGGACCTCTGGAATGAATTAAGTTTGTAACCCGAGGTACCACTGTATAGTTATGTGCTGGGCCTCCACGCACATAGACTAAAAACGCTTAAGTGGAGAACCAGAGTTGAAGCTCTGGGACCAGCTGGAGGTTGGAGGTCACATGAGCAGTGATGGTTGTGCTGCCCCGAGCTTCAACTGCTAGGTAGAGAGGCTGAGCAGCTCTCAGGGCTCTTTGGGGATTCCTCTACCTTCACTGAAATCCTCTTTGGGCTCTGGAGAGGGTCTCTTAGTGAGCCACAAGGACTCTCCAACTCTCTCCCATTTCTTGGTATTTATTTATTTATTTATTGGCGCCGCAGGTATATGCGGTCACAAACGAGTCAATTGCACATGAATGGGAGGACACCTGTACATGCCATCAACTTTACTTCCACACAAACATGCACAGAAATGCATGCTGGATTAGGGATCTACAATACAGCACTCTGCTATCTATATTTATTGTCTCTCGACCCCTTAAATCCAGGAACTGATGTAGGGTGAAAGGACTGTAAAGACAAATTTGGTGTCTTTAGGGACAACCAATAAGCAATGTGTACAGATCACATAAATGCTATGGTGAAATACCACATTAAAATTGCTCAGTGAAGGAAACATTGGACTCAATGCAGCCTTGCTTCCATAAAGGGAACACAACATCTGTGCAAGTTGAAAGACGGAATCACATCACATGAGTGCAATGAAATATTCCACACAGTAGTAAAGAGAATGCAAATGATAAAGTATCATGTGAACTGATTCCCTTTCTGCAGAATGCCTGCTCTGTTTTGGACATGTACACTCCATTTGAGGAAATTAGCTGCATGAAATCAGCAGCACACAAATTCCTTTGCCAAAAGAAAGCATAAGTAGTAGTTCAAAAAAAGGGTAAATACTGAGTACTTCAGAACAAGCCAAGCATTCCCCCCCCCCCAGCCTGTTCTGGGCTCTAAAACTGAAGGCTAAACAAAATCTTACAAAGCAAACATGGGGCCCAGACCTGTATTTCATTCATAGTGCAAACATGTAGGCTGGGCTGAAGGATTTGCAAAGGAGAGTCAGCAGGCTTCACCAATTCTTTTCTGCAAATGCCTTCCCCTGGTGCAGTCTGTCATACCTCCCACCAGCTTGGTCCTGAAACCAAAAGCATTTCATGGAGAAAGCCTTCCCTAGGGTGGGAGATATTTGAAGCTGTTCCTCGTTGCAGTCCTCCCCTATAAATGGCCCACAAACTACAATTATTTTCAGAAAAGGGGTGGTCAGGACCATATATTTGCCAACATGATCTCTAATGGTCTTGACTTGGAGAATGTGGTAGGAAGGCACACAGGGCAGCAAGGCCTGGGAACTGCAAGTGTGGGAAAATAAGTGCCACTTCTACTGTGCCGTATGAAGAGAGCCTGGAGCAAAATCTGTGAGAGGACCAAGATATTTGGAACTCACACATCTCTCCACCCAGGCAAGAGCCTCAAGCACCTCCCCACATTACAACAGAGGCCTGTTCTACCCATGCACCAAAATGAAGTGGGAAATGAGGTAGCAGAGATATGAGGTTCCCAGATAGATGGATCCCTGGTTCCTGAATGCTTCTGTGCTGAGTGGCCATGAGACTTGATTTATACAGGCCCAGATTACACCCAACGAGTAGTGAACAAGCTGTCTGTCACAAGTACAAACTGTTGTTTCAAATACTTCCCAAGCCACTTTAGGAAGGTTTATGGAATGTAAAGTTACATTCATGTCCACCATACATACACATGGTGCAATCTAGAACAAAATTGAAAGTACTGTCCATGCCTGGGTGATTATATGAACAAATACTTAATAATAATAATAATAATAATAATAATAATAATAATAATAATAAATTTTATTATTATAATTTATTATTATTATTATTATTATTATTTCTACCCCGCCCATCTGGCTGGGTTTCCCCAGTCATTCTGGGGGGCTTCCAACAGGTGGTTTAAAATACATTAAAACATCAGTCATTAAAAACTTCCCTAAACAGGGCTGCCTTCAGATGTCATCTAAATGTCATATAGTTGTTTATTTCTTTGACATCTGATGGGAGGGCATTCCACAGAGCTGGCGCCACTACCGAGAAGGCCTTCTGCCTGGTTCCCTGTAACTTCGCTTCTCCCTGTAACGTCTAACTTGTGACTATTTCTGTGCATGCCTTCCTCTGTCCTGATTTCAGAAGTTATGAAGCAGTATAACTGAAGCTGCATATATCATATGCCAAAAGCATCTGAATTTGGTTATGCAATCTAAAAGGCTTATGTAAATGTTACACAATTTACATGTCTTGTTCCAAATTGCAACGTTTGCATTTGAAATTCTGGCAAGTAGCGGAAGGGAAAACATATTAATATTAAAAACAGCAACACACACACACACTAAACAACCCCCCCCCCAAAAAAAATATTACCCCAACCCAAGTCCATTGAGCAGCCTCAGCTTTTGTGACTGGAGTCAGTCAAGGCCCTGCCCTGCCCTGCCCTCCCAGGCCAGGTGGGGATAAGGCCTGCAAGGCAGGGAGCAGGTCTTCCAGGACTCACAGCCAATATCATTTTGTTTGGGATAGTTTTAACAGGGAAACAATATTTTCATTTACTTTATACATTAACAGTGTCATTCTGCTAATGAAAGGAACCCCCCAGTTGTTTCCACAGTTCCTGTGTACTTGAGAGTAGGCGAAAATAAGATGTTTCTATTCAGACAGATTAATGTGAACTCAGATGTGAGTTGAATGAAAAGTGGGTTTTCTAGCCTTCCCCCAAATACTGGTGTGTTGTTGTTTTTTATATTCAGCTACTCTGAGCAGTAGCAGCTTCAAACAAAAAGTCATCAAGACACCATTCAGAGGCTTTTTGAATGTTTTAGCCAAAGCGACTAATTGGACTCTGGTGCTCTGGAGTATCCTACACTTGAGAAGCTCAACTTGAAAGACAGATTTCTCCTCCTAAGGGACAAACCATACATCATGTGCCAGAAACCCTTTTGGACATCTATACTGAAATCAAGCGTACACTGTATCATACCAAGAGCATAATAACAGAGCTTGTTATAATCAAATCAGCAATGTAGGCGAATTTGGAAAATAATGACCCTCTAAAAGGGTAAGACAAGGTATCTGTTTAAGGCTGCAGATCTCTGTACACTGAATGGAGAGCAAATCCAGTTGACTCCAGTAGGAGTTGTTTCCCAGTAAGCATGCATAGATTGGATTGGGCTGCACAAAACTCTTAGGTTAGATTCAGACCAGATTACTAACGGTAATACTTTGTGATTTTTAAGAAAGCAGTTGTTTACCAGATGAAATATGAAATTTTGTTACAAGACAACAAAGCCAGATAAGCAGGGTATTATTATTATTAATGAGTTATAATTTTTTAATACTACAAGTGAAAGGGATGCAAAGGAAGAGTGAAGGCTGCCATGGAGCTGCAGATTAAGCCTGACCATGACAGTCCAAGCTATAGCTCCACTCACACACAACTGTTGTGGACATTATTTGCGGCTCTGCCCAGTTGTAGGAACCTCACTGGCTTTTTGCAATGCAGCCTTTTGTAGGATGCCAGGCCTACAGCTGGGCCACTTGGCAGCCCTCTGTCTAGCTTATGATGCTATTTGCCAAAGGCTGCAAGGTGGAGAAATTATTTTTGAAATAACAGATTGTGCCTACATACGATAGTACCTACACACTTTGCATGTTCAGGTCAACATTTTGAAAAGAAGGTAGGGAAAGTTATGGAGAGAATCAAAAGGAGGCATGCTTACCATTCCTGTCTTTTTCTGAAACAGCTCATCCTGCTCAAGAATATTAATGTAGAAGTGTGGGAAACACAGCTTCAAATTTTATTTCGATTATTGCTGTTTTAACTGCAATTCTAGATGTAGATTGATGAGAAAGGCCCAATAACAGAAGCTATGCTTCATTTTTTTAAAAATTGTCTTTTTAAAAATAGATGATGACTCTATCAGTACAACCTCAGAGGACGCATCTGGGTTTTCAATGTGTAAACAGATAACAGGGTCTGGTAAGTGATTGGTCCTTTGCTTTCGGTTGAGGGGCAGCGGGAGGAGGAGGCTGTCAAGTCCCTCCTTCATGGATTCTGGTCCCTGGTCTTATGCCTCTACACATTCCTAGCTCTCAGTATTGTACATTTGTAACAAACAAAATTGTTGCAACATACAGTGTTAACATGCATGTTTCCCAATGCAGAACCTGAATTTTTTTCAAATAGGATTCTAGATTCCTGGGCAGTTTATAATCCTGTTGCTGCCCTGTAACACACTCAACTCTAGTCATTATCATGATTAGGGAATATCTATAAAGTCACATTTAATTCCGTCCCCCCGTTACGTTATATTACATGTCTGAAGGAGCTTTCTGAGACACGAAGACCACAGTTCTAGACACACTTCCCTGAGACTTAAGTCTCGCTCAACTTGACAAAGCTTAATTGCTTCTGAATAACTGGAAAGTTACAATACTTAACACACATGTAGAGAGTAAACCCCACTGAACAAAGTGAGATTTACTTTTGAGTAAACATGGCTAGAGTTGTACTGGCAGCCTTGGATACAAGCTTTGATTCTTTTGGGGTTCCCCACCCCTGCAAAGTAGAGTATGTCCATGAGCAAGAGAAGTACTTATAGCTGTGGCTGCACATCCTCTTAATTCTTCCCAGTTTCTCCTTTGTGAACCAACTCTTAGGAACCATGTTAAGGCGGATGCTCGGATTCTGAAAACCTGGCCGTATGCTATGGTTGGACAATTGGTTCACCACCAAAATGCACTCCAGCCTTCTATGCCCCTCTCGCATATGGATAGCCAATGTCAGAAGCACCATGTTCAATACAGAAAGATTTCTGTACCAAAGTAATACAGTATGCCAAACAAGATACAATATTCTACAGCACACTCAGAAAGCAAGTTTACTCTTCCCATTTGGATCTTTCCCGTGTTGATACACGGTGGATCTAATTCAGAACATTTCCTGTTACCTTTAAAGTGTTTCCCAAATGTGGGTCTCCAGCTGTTTTTGGACTCCAACTCACATCATCCCAAGATAGCAAGACAAGTGGTCAGGGGTGATGGGAATTGTAGTTCAAAAATAGCTGGAGACCCAAGTTTGGGAAACACTGCTTTAAAACAAGGGTAGAGAACCTGTGGCTCTCTAAATGCAGTTGGACTCCAACTCCCATCAGCCCCAATGGTTAGGGATAATGGGAGCTGTAGTCCAATATCTGAAGGACCACAGGTACTTTACCTCTGCTTTAGAAAGGAAAAATAAAGTTGTGGTTGTTTTAGTTTCCGAATATTAATCTATTATTGGTTATTTATTTTATTTTGAACTTTCAGACCATCAAATGTCCTTAAACGAAGCACAGAATCACTTTAGAGTTATTACGATTAATGACACAGGAGCAGGAAAGCACTGGTGTGACAATGAAGTCAAAGCTCTGATAAATATTTGGTCCGATGAGGAGATACAGCAAATGCTTGAAGGAGCAACAAGGAATAAAGAAATATTTGAGGAGATTGCCAGAAGGCTAATGAAGGTTGGAATAGACAGAGACTGGAAGCAGTGCCGCACAAAATACAAAAACTTAAAATATGAGTATCGTGCGTTGCAAAAAGAAAACGACCAGGTTGGCAATGCAAGAAAGAGGATGAGGTTTTACGATGAAATCGACAGCATTTTGAGAAGCCAGCCCTCAGGTATGCATATCTGCAGAACTGATAGAACTAATTTTAGGTGAAGACACCGAGGACATAACTAACTAAAGGAGCAATGTGTAAAAGTTTGTTTGAAATATTATATGCCTCATACAAGTTAATATTACAGGAAGGTGACAGTAAGTTGTAGTTCAATGACCAATAAGTCATATCCTTACAGAAAAATCAGAGCATGGATATACAGCCTACAAACAGACCATTAATCATTTTACTAAGCAGCTGGCAGAGGAAGAGTAGATCAGAGAGACAGGCTTCCCTTTCTCCACCCCCAGCAAGGAAACCAAATGGAATTGGGAAAGAGAAATGCTGATATCTGTTCTTTCTCAATCAACCCACTCACGGAATGGAATTACTTATTGCCTGTAGCTACCAGATAAGCTGAATTAATCTTGCTCACCACTTTACTCAAATCTTGGGTTAAGCTGGAAGTCTGATTAGCACTAACTCCAGTGCCTCGGTTCGCTGTGATTACATTATCTAGGGGTATTGTGTTTGTCTGAACCAGCCCATTCTTTGTAAGAATAAAGCTACAAACAAGTGAAGCTGGAGTTTAGGCATGTGGTAGTGGTTCAGCATTAGCAGACTGGAGCACAAAGTGAGAGATCCACCTTCCCTACTCCAGGTTTTCTGTGTAGATGGAAAAGATTCAGGCCCTCCCTCAAGTTCACTGGCATATTAAGAAAAAACTTGTGGGAAGAGAGACCCACCTCACTTTACACTGAGAATCTGTCTGGCTACATTTTGAACTTGGGCCAACAGTATTACATATAAATAAGAATGGTATTCATTTTGCCATTATACTAATAAAAACTGATGTCCCAGTATGCTTCTTCCTTAGGGCTTCAAGTTGTCTTCTTCGAGCTAACACTTCAGCTGTGTATTTATTATTAGGACCCATCTTTCTTAACATTTTGTCACAGAACACTTCTTGTCTTTTTAAAGAGACAGCTGCAGAAGTTACCACAGACACAGCCCCACTGAGCATCAAAAGAAAAGCCTCTCAGGATGGTAAGAATTTATTTGCATTCTTACACTATTTTGAAGGGTAGATTGAGGACACAAATCCACAAGAGAATAAATCTCTAATGTGTTCATTTTGATCTGTGTCAAGTGCTTTGCGCACACTAAACCTGAAGAGAACAAACATCTGGATAGGACACAAGGATGGATAAAGAAATCTGCCTTTTGTGTGTACAGGTTGCAAGGGATGCTATTGTGTGTGCAGGTAAGCTACGTGACAAACATAGCTATGGATTCATGAGGCTGAATTGTAATCACATGCAACCCTATCCAAACCAGCCCACATCATTCAAGCAGAATACAAAAGATGGTGCACATGCTCCTCTGCCTTCCACAGCAAATGTAAACACTTATCTTCATATGCTGTCTAGAGCCACTGTATACTCTGGTTCATGCCCAAGAAAGTGCCAGGCTTGCACACTCCCTCTTCCCCACCTTACACAGCCGGGTCCATAATGTTAAGACATGAGTCTTCAAATAAAGTCAGCAGAAATCTACCTCTTTGCTGCATTGGGAGGAAATGCATTGGGTGTGAGCCCAGTACTTTGCTTGGACTCATTGGCACTCATGCACATAGCATGAAAAACCATGATTTAGCATTACAGTGGTACGTCGGGTTAAGTACTTAATTCGTTCCGGAGGTCCGTTCTTAACCTGAAACTGTTCTCAACCTGAAGCACCACTTTAGCTAATGGGGCCTCCTGTTGCTGCTGTGCCGCCGCCGCCCAATTTCTGTTCTCATCCTGAAGCAAAGTTCTTAACCGGAGGTAATATTTCTGGGTTAGTGGAGTCTGTAACCTGAAGCGTATGTAACCCGAGGTACCACTGTACATGCAAACGCAGCCATGAAGCTATATAAGCAGCAGTGATTTACATCAATGATGCAACTAACTTAACAAGCAAGCTCAAAAAGACAACGGCATACCAACATAAAATCCCAAAGTTTGCAGAAGTACAAAATATATTTTATTTTAAAAAATGAAAAAACATAACCCCAACATAACCCAAGGAGAACTGAGCATGTTCATGGCCACAGATTTCTGGCCAGTGGGGGGAAGAAACAGATAACTAGGGAGAAGGGGCGTGGAAGGGCTATGGCTGGCAGGCACTTTGCACATGAGCAGTCCACATGGCAACCTTTCGTTGAAGATCTCACTCAGAAAAGTATCCCATGAACCTACCTCTATGAGCTCCTTTGAAGAATGGCAGGATACAATTGTGATAAATAAATGTTACTGTAGCAAGTTAACAAATACATCATTCCATTAGTCTAGCAAGTTTAACAAATACATCATTCCATTGGTCCTCATGACTTGCCTATTGACGCATGCTAGATTCAAATGAGTTAATCTCTTCAATTCAAATTGTCACTAATCGCTTTTTTCCCTTTTATAGACTCCTCACCCATTCAGTTTAAGAGAAGTGTTTCTGATAACTTAACAATTCAGTCGCAAGGTGTGTCTGACAGCATGCATACTGTAATCAAGAGCCGAAGGATGCTTCTAGAGAGATTTTGCAAGCAGGAAGAAATGCAAGATACCAGCAGAACACAGATGAATAGCAGCATCCCTGCAGTGAAACAGGTTGGTTTAATCCCCACCCAAAAGATAAACATGGTTGTTAAAAAAAAAAGTTGCAAACCTCTCTAAGCAGTTTACTAGAAACATTAGCGTTGCAAATAGCAAACAGTTGAAAACAAGAAAAACATTTAAAGAACATGCCAAAAAGAATGCAGCGAAGCTATCTCCCTGATGTCAATAGCCAGGGAGCAGAGAATATAGGTGCTACTACACTAAAAGAATGATTTCTAATAATGATAATAATAATTTATTATTAAGTGCGGAACAAGTATTATGTGGCATTTGTAACAGTGCTGGGTCCACACATCAAAACCATTAAGTGGGCACGTATGATGTCAGGCGATCCTGCCAGTCAGTTGGTCCCAAGCTGTTAGGGGAATTATATACCAATAGCTGAACTTGGCCCAGGAACAGATTTGCAATGAGTGCAGATCTCTGAAGCAAGGGGAGCCCCACATAGGGTGCATTGCATTGATCAAATCTTTAAGTCACCAATGCTTGAACTGCTGTGGTCAGGTTCTCTTTATCCAGGAACAGCCCCAGCTTTTGCACAGCTGGTAAAAGATGCTTAGAAGTAAAGCGACTCTTGGTTGACAGCAATGAAAATCTAGTAGCCAATGATCCGAAATCAAACACACACACCTGCTGCCAGATAAACAGTGAAATTATTGGCCAAACTTAATTGCATAGAAAATTCATAAAAATGAAGAAATCCCTGCTTTCTCCTGTAGTTTTCCCCCAGAGTTGTGCTAGTCTGTTGTTTAAATAAGGAATTAACACAGAATCCTGGCAGAACATTTCATGGATCAGAAAACACACACAAAAAAGCACATTTGACAAAGCCAGTTCAACTTCACACAGTCACTCGTGCCACAATAGTTTTGTAGTCTTTAAGCTGCCAGTGAACTGTTAGTTTTGCTGTTAATTACACAGGCTATCACAACAAAACTGCTCTGTGCTTTGCATTCCTAAAATTTCAAATACTTTAGTTTGTCAGAAGCCCATGCACGTCTAAATTTGTTTCCAGCATCCCACTTTCCATTATATGGTATGAGACTTCATCCTTTAGTAGAATTTCCCATTCTACAGTAATTCAAAGGTCTCAGACGACAGTCTTCTGTAGGTGGTAAAACAGAAAACGCAATTCAATGGAAGCAAGTTTAAAGCGATGCACATTGGGGCAATCTTTTATTCCACATATATGCTCATGGGGGTCTGAACTGACCAGGAATGAGACCTTGGGGTCATTGGGGACAGCTCTATGAAAATGTCAACCCAATGTGCTGCATTGGGTTTGAATAAGGCAAATTCCATGTTAGGGATAATTAGGAAAGTAATTGAAAACTGCTGATATCATGCCATTATACAAATCTATGGTGTGACTACTTTTGGAATACTCTGTACAGTTCTGGTTTCCTCACTTCAAAAGAGATATTGTAGAGTTGGAAAAGGTTCAGAAAAGGACAACCCAAATGACCAAAGGGGTGGAGCGACTCCCCCACAAGGAAATGTTGCAGTGCTTGGGACTTAAATCCTGGACACCACCCTTAATGTCAAAAACGACCCTCTAAAAATCAGGCCAGAGGAAAAAATTGTAGCCGTTTCCCCAAGGACCTGAAAAGTTATGTAGGCAAGGTCAGGGGAGGATTTTTATTCTCCAGAAATGAACTGATAAAGCAACATTTTCTGAAAGCACGAGAAATCTTATCTTTTGAAATGAAGTAACTCTTTATATACTCTACAACAACAGAAAGCAAAAAGGGCCAAAACATAAAGAACAAAAAAACCCCTCTGATAATTATTTATATTTTGCAACAGTGGTTAAAGCGAACTGTGAGGGCACCGCTTCCCTCCTTTTTCCTTGTAACAAATCTCATGGCTCTTCCATTAAAATGTTACCATGCATGCTGCCTGCCAGATGTTCAGATTGGGAGGCAGCCTCGCAAATGTTCTGATTGGGAGTAAGTGCAGTGTGTTCAGAAACTCCCATAGTCTGTGGACATCCCATTCCTGCCAAAGTATTTCTCAAAATGGAGCGTCTGTTGGAAAAAAATTAACAAACCCAAAGCTTGTTCCAAAAGGCATGTTGCAGAACAGCCTGGGTCAAGGACTCACATGACGTCTCACCCCTGCCCCAAACTTTTATTAATTAACATGGATTAAGTGACTGGATCAAGATATTCATAATATCGCTCAGTCTTCTTTCGTTGTTGGACAGCTTAGTTTTGTAACAGGTTTTATAACTCACCAACCCTATCTCATGTTTGCAAGTAACAAAAAGGCTAGATTTGATAGATCAACAGCTTGCGGTGGTTTTGCATAGCAGATGAAGTATGTATGTTTCAGGCATTGCAACAGACAGCTTTTGTATATGAACACATGAAGCATGAATCCTATAAAATATGTTATTAGTATTTAGGCTTTAGGGTACCCCCAAGAACTCCTCAAGTATGTTGAGTTGCATCCTAATGTACAGGCAACTCCCTGTTTGCATGGGAATTGCGTTCTGGGTCACCATGTACAATGGTGGACTGTGCATAAGCCTGCCCCACCTATTTTTCTGGCCACTTCCAGGTCGACCATGATGTGCGCATACACAGTCATTGGATGCACATAAATTGGATGCACATAAATCGGTTATTGCCTGTACATGGTTGAGACCTGTGACATTTTTTGTAGAAATTGGCCTCAACACAAAACTTCAGAAGGACTTACCCCTGTACCCATTATAAGGTATATGGTGAAGCCAAACACTAATTGTTGTGGGAATGTGTCCTAAGGTTCCTAACAGACCAAACCTCAAGTATCGTATTATTTTTAGGAAGGATTTCCTAAACAGACACTGTTGTTGGCTGAAAGGCCTATTCACTCACTTCATGAGACTGAAACCTATGCCATCTTGTATGGAAAAGTTTCTGGACACTTAAGCAAGCATTATTTTTAATGTGCCTTTCTCAAATCAGATGCCTTCAAACTCCCCCCTTCCCCATTTCACTATCTTCAGTTTAATCATATGATTCATAGCAGAACCAATGCCATTTTGTGTGAAACAGCAACATATACAACAGGTAATTTGCAGCATTTTAAGAGGTCTTTCTCCAAATTGCAATTGACTTAATTCAAAAGGGCCAAATTAGATGCAACGGGGCCACTGCCTTTCATTTCTCTGCTCAAGTGACATATGAAGCAAGCAGGTAGTGTTGGCTCTTGGACAGTAAAAGTACCATGCAAGAGCCGTCCCATCCTGTTTCACCGTAACTCAACCCACCACTCTAGGCTCTTTTCTCTGTTCTTGTCTCACTGTCAAAGTGAGAACCAACCATCAGCAGGGAGGTGAAAAACAGGAGTGGGCGGTGCCTGCCTCCCATACACTCTTTTTACAGATCAGATTGCTAGTGCCAATTCATGTGAATACATCACTGTTGCCAAAAATGAAATGTCTCGATGTCTAAAACTATGCAAACGTATTGGCCTGATTATTCATACGTAATACTAAGTCACAGTTTAGTGTTGCGAGCACAAGCCTTGGGCTCATGCACGCCCCCAGATGCCTCTTCTTGCTTGTGAAGCCTGGAATGAGCATTGGGGGCCAAGGGCAAGCCCTGCTAAAACGATAAGGCCCTTCTGCACCTCTTTGGTGCTTTGCTTCTGACTTGCATCACCTTTGTATTCCTGGTTTGTTCACTGATGCTAAGTCAGAATTCCCCAGGTTGAGGTAACAGGGAATTCTGGCTTAATGCAAACCATAGATGAAGTGCTAAAGTAAGGGGATGGGCTGTCTGCTTCAATACTTGTTCTCGGCTTTAAAAATCAAGGAACAATCATTTAAACCAGACCATAATGTTCAAGCCAAGAACTACGGCCAAGGTAATTTATGGTTTAGGAAACGGAAACAAGCCGGGATCATTAACCACTGTTTGAAACTATTTTGTTTTCCTGAACCACGGCTAACGCTAACCAGTTTGTGGTTGGGGAACAGAGCTTAATCGTGAGTCCCTGTTTGGATGGTGTGCATGCTAAACTTAAACCTTGGCCTAGTGCAAGAGAGCAGCAAAGAGGACTGTGGAGCAAAGTGTCTGTGAGCTCCTCTCTAGGAGTCCCCATGCTCTTACTAAACTAAAGCTTGGCTTACTGTGTCACACAAACCAAGCTAGTGTTGTTTCTTGTGCAAGGGGTACTAATCTATGATTTGGCGTAATGTGTGAATGCATCCAAGGATACATTACTCTGTCAAGTTGACATATACTCTGCTACAGAGGTTTTTGACCTTTTTGAGTCCACGGCTCCCTTAACCAACTACAGTCTTTCTGCAGCACCCCTGTTATGTCACCCCTTGCCTGCAGAGCTGGCAGCCTCTCACCCTTTTTCCAACACCCTTCCTTATGGAGTGTTCCCTCAGCCTCCTCTCCTCTCCCCTCTCCTTGGGAGTCTTCTGGGCAGCTACTGCTGCTGCTCCTGGTCTCTGAGCTGCCCCCCCTTGCCCCAAAGAGAGGTGCCTCCCAGAGGCACTATTTGCCTGCAAAGCCTACAGTCAGGTCTGCTTCAATAAACAGCTGTACAAGCCTTGGGGAGGCAGAGATGCAAGAGGGCATTAGAGGAGGAAGGGAAGGAAAGAGGGACAGAGGCCAATGTTGCCCGTGGCGCCTATCATTCATGCCACCCCAGGGTGCCACGGCACATTAAATGGTCCACGCACAAGTATGAAGAGATATTAAGGACTGACAAGTCAGTAGAGAGGAGAAAGGTCAGGCAGCTATGGAAGTGTGAGCTATATGTAGGGGTAAAGGTAAAGGTACCCCTGACCGTTCAGTCACGGATGACTCTAGGGTTGTGCGCTCATCTCGCTCAATAGGTACCCTTGGCCTATAGAGCGAGATGAGCCGGCATTTGTCCGCAGACAGCTCCTGGGTCATGTGGCCAGCATGACTAAGCTGCTTCTGGCGAACCAGAGAAGTGCACGGAAATGCTGTTTACCTTCCCACTGGAGCAGTACCTATTTATCTACTTGCACTTGACGTGCTTTCAAACTGCTAGGTGGGCAGGAGCTGGGACCAAACAACGGAAGCTCACTCCGTCGCAGGGATTCGAACTGCTGACCTTCCAATCGGCAAGCCCTAGGCTCTGTGGTTTAGACCACAGCGCCACCCACGTCCCTCATATGTAGGGGTAGGGCCTATCAATACAGGCATACAACTCACCTCCGGTTTTAGGGTAAAATTAGCGCATACACAAAATGAACTATTATATTGTTCTATTTTTACCACTGTGGTGTGTGCCATTATTATTTTCAGGGTGTTTGGTCATATTTGGCTAGATGAGACAAGCCAATGTTTAGCGAGTATTTTGATGACAAAGCAAGCCCCAAGCAGAGATGTGCAGCGCAGTCCTATGCACATTTACTCAAAAGTCGAGTCCCGCTGACTTTCCTAGGATTTGCATCCCAGCAAATGTGCATAAGATTGCAGTGTTCAGGTGCTCAGAACCTTACGAACCATTGTCAGACATGGTCAGCGCATTGGAAGTGCAGTGCCTAATTAAATGGGTCCTTCTTGATGGAAGAGTTGGAGCTACCGTTGCTACAGTTTTACGTATCTCTCTTCGCACCCCTCTAATTTCCCATGAGCAGCAATTGGGCTACAGTCACACCCTGCATTTAAAATTCTATACCACTTTATAAACAGTCATGGCTCTCCCCTGCCCAAGAATTCTAGGACCTGTAGTTTATTAAGGAAGCTAAGAGTTGTTAAGAGACCCCCCCATCCCCTCACAGAGCTACAATTTCCAGAGTTCCCTCAGAAGAGGAGTTGATTGTTAAAATACTCCAGGATTTGTAGCTCTGAGAATCTTGTGGACTGTGGCTTGTTAAGGGTGCTGGAGACTAGCTCTGTGAGGGGGTAAATCTGAGTTTCCAGGCGTGTTTGGAGGAGGCAATGGGCTTTAAATGCATGGTGTGTTCACAGCCACAATGATGCATTCTGCATAGTTCCTGCCCTGCATCTATATATGTAAAAACATCATGAGATGAACAAGACTGCTTGCATTAACCAAGCAGGAAATTAAGCTGTTCCAAGTGCTTAGGCGAACCAATAGAGTTTGTGGCAGGATATAATGGGAGTTCACACGGTTCTGAGTATGGCAATAATTAGGATCTGGATGCTATGCAAGTTTGATGCCAACCCTGGTTTTGCATACCGCTGCAGTTTTAAACTTACCTGCAACTACCGGACTTAAATGTAGGGAACTGCAGCAAAAAGCGAGGGCCGTAGGATGCAATCCTGCATACATTTACAAAGGCAAAACCCAGGAAATCAATTCCACTCAGCACACGCGTGCACGGAGGTGGGACACGGCTTTGCGCTTCTTTACTGCCTCTCGGCGCAGCCCGATCCTAGGAATCCACAACCCAAAAACCCCAATCCCGCTCCCACCGGTTTAAATGCACTTTCTCCCCAGCAGTTGCATACAGAACTAGCGTGCGGTTGCATGCAACAGTTGCCTTTGTAGGGAGCTTGCCCTAACGGGTGCATCGAGCCCCCACAACTGCGCCCAGGCCTTCCAAGCAACCCACCCTCCCCCCGCTTCCCCAAACCGCCTGCCCACCCCCCACCCCCGCCATGTACCCTACCTGTGCTGCAGCCCCACTAGCCCCAGCGTGATCACATGGGGCACGTCCAGCTCCGTGGGCCACAGGCCGGAGGCGATGCACCCGAACACGCCGCACTCCTCCCGAATCCCCAGCTCCTCGAATTCCATGGTGCCCGAGCGAACACGTGTTGTTGTCAGCGCAGCTGCTTCTGTTATTGCCGCTGCTGCCTCCTGCCGCCGCCGCCTGGGTTTGAGGGGGGGGGCGGAGGAGGAGGAGAAGGAGGCGGCGGCCTCAGAGGCGCGAGTTCCTCTCCGCGCCCACCCCTTGCGCCCGCCTCATTTACATGCATACATGACGAAGGGGCGAAATTCCCCGCCTCGGGGCTGCTCCGCGCGCCCGCGGGGTGGAGTTGGTTTCCCCACCCCAGAGCAGCAGAGCAAGAGAGGTCGCCTTCGGGGCGGGGGGGAGCTGCTTTGTATCTGCCTTTGGACACAACTTAGCTCCCGCTCGCTCTTTCTCTCTCTCCACAAGTTAACTTTGTTTCCCTCTCTCTTTCTCTCTGCGCGCGCGCGCGCTTCTGAGAGCGTGTTTTGCCCAGTGGCTCCGAGAGTGTAAACGGCTGGCTGAAGTGCTGAGGAGACCGCGAAGGGCGGAGGGAGCTGGGCTTTGCGCGCGACGGAAGGGTTCTCTCTCCCCCCCCCCTTATGGAAACGGGGTTAGAGGGAATAAAGGGGCGGGGAGGAGACTTCGGTTTTCGCGCGGGGGAAGGGGGCGTCGGCGGGCGCTCGCCTCAGATTGGAGAAACGCTACCAAAGGGTTGTGAGCGGTGTGTGTGTGTTAAAAACATCCCTCCCTCCGTGGGTGGAGGAAAGGGGGCTGGAAGCCAGGATGTGGCCCGGCGGAGAGTTTTAGGTGGCCCAACCCCTTCCCTTTCCCAATAAGGTGGAAGCATTGGCGGGTTTCTGCAAGCGCGCCCCGCCCCTCTTGGCCGCCCCCTTCCGCCGCTGTCCCCCCCCCTTCTTACGCAGCCCCAAAAGTGCCTCCGGACTCCGAACGCGCTTCTTTTTCGGGTCGCTTCCCTCTCGCGCGTTGCTAACTTGGTTTTGTTCTCTCCTAGGCGTCCCAGGCGGTCTCTGCGATGCCTCCCATACGCTCAGGTGAGTCGCTTCGCCCGCGCTGGCGGAGGGAGAGAGCTGGCGCCTGCATCCAGCAGTTGCCCCTCGCCAGCGACCTGCCCGCCTAGCATAATAATATCCCACCTCCCCGTGCGGATTGTAGGGAAATCGTGTCTTCGGTACTCCCCGGGCTTTGTTTCAAAAGTTTCTTGCGGGAGGAAACTGGTACACAGCCTTAATGTGCGTTATACCTATAGGCAGATTCCTTTTTTCACGGAGGACATTTTCTCCTGAGATTCTTCTGCGGGCGCTGTACAGATCTACTGCTTGAGAAAGAGGAGTTTCAAAAGTTTTATGTTGCTTAGTCAGATTTCACTTCAGTTGTGCTTACCTTTTTGTCAAAAGCTCTACTGATGACTAAGGTGAATAATCCAATGCCCCCCCCCCAGTTCCTTTGTATAAGAAGCAACACTTGCAATTGTGCTGATTTCACATGCCTCGGATTGTGTTCACAGTCTGTGTGTGCTGGGCAAGCAGTTGAAATTTGCTATAAAACAAGGAGTGCATGCAGTTATTTTGATGCATGCGATCCTCTGCATGCTTTCTGTGCAGGAGGTGCAGGTTAAAATGCCCTTGGGCGTTTTCAGAGATATTACTGGAATTTGAGTGTCTGTCTCTTGGGACCTGCAACAAAACGTTGCAGTGTGAAGCGCTCATGCCCAGAGTTCCAGCCAGCCAAGTTTTAATGAACTACATAAGGATCCACATGTGAAGAATGAAGTTTCTATTCTACAATATAATTTGGTTTAAGGCAGGCTTCCTCAGCCTTGGCCCTCCAGATGTTTTGAGACTACAATTCCCATCATCCCTGACCACTGGTCCTGCTAGCTAGGGAACATGGGAGTTGCAGGCCAAAAACATCTGGAGGGCCGAGGTTGAGGAAGCATGGTTTAAGGGATTTATACCGCATCCTTCTGAAGGTTCCCAGTGTGGACGAAAAGTTAAAATTGGAATAAAGCTAATGTTAAAGTAGTAGTAAAAAAGCAGTTATCAGGAATAGAAACAAACAGTAAGAATAAAAGGAATGTACAAATGATTTTAAAAAAGTATTAAAAACCTGGTAATATAAAAGGCCCCTGGTGCTGAAATGACATCAGAGTAGGCCCCCCAGGGAGAGCAGTTCATAATGAGGGTTTTATCAGCAAGTAGGCCCTTTCCTCTGCAGCCATCCTCTGTATGTCAGACGGCAGGAAAATCTAAAGGGCCTACTCAATATCTAACTTTATTTCCAGAAGCGAGTCTGGAAATAAACTGGGAACCAGTGCAGTTTGCAAACCACACATACACCCTTGCAGCTATATTTTGAACTAATTGCAGTTTCTGGACCATCTTCAGAATTGCATCTGATGTTCCGTTGTATGGTTATAAGCAAGTTCTGTCAAGGTCTTGCTCCAGGGAAGTTTTCATAGTCTCTAATATTTGTCTCTTTTATCGTTTTGAATACTGTGTATCCGAAAATGTGAATGCAGCTAGCCTTACTATGAAAGTTGCATGCATATTAGTTGAACTGGGATCCTTGCCATCCGATTTGCATCTGCTTTTGTGGAGGGACTGAGGTTTACCTCACAGTAAGATCCACTGAATAAAGTGCAAATTACTTCTGGGGGGAAAAACATACAATAGGGTTCCAAGATGAAGGGTTGTAAGTTGCTAAGATGCATTGCAAAGCTGCTTTCAGAACATAACAATTTAAACTGTATTTTTCCATCCCCTCCAGAACTTAAACTTGGCAAAAAAATAAATGAGGGGAAAACAAAAGAAGTCTATGAATTGCCAAATCTCCCGGGATGTGTTCTGCTTCAATCGAAAGACCAGATAACGGCCGGAAATGCAGCTAGAAGGGATCTCATGGAAGGGAAGGCCGCAATCTCAAATACAACAACAAGCTGTGTGTTTCAGTTGCTCCAGGAGGCTGGTAGGTGGTGGGAATTACGGAGCTGCATTGGGGAAAAACCACTTACTGGCAAAACAATTTAAAGCAATAAAACCATAATCAGTCACTATGAGGTTACATTGCTTTGCAACTTATGATACACTGTCCACCTGGTAATATGGAATCTAGTATGTGTTAAGTACTATTTTGACCACATGGGATGCATTCTCAAGATTGCAACACCAACATTTCTGGGGAAAATCGCCCATGTAAAAATGATAAAGCTACTCATTCCTTACATGTAGGTTACATGGAATGTCTGTAGCCTCCAGTACCACTGCTTGTTCAGGCAGTAGGCTTTAGCATGTATTTGCTCTTTGTTTGTGACCAAATAAACTTTAAGCAGTTTAAAGCATTCCGCATTCTCTGTTCAAAACGGATGCACCCCTAAATGTATTCATACTACGTTTTGAGTGTTCAAACTACTTCACATACATTAAGTCTTACAAACGCCATAGAAGGTATCCTGGTATTATCCAAATATTTCTAATGGGGAGATAGCAGAGGCTGAGGGGGAAATATTTTAAAGCTACCTAGTAAGTTTGTGGCTTGAGGTGAGAGTTGAAGCAGGGACTCTCCAGCTACTACACCTCAGGTGAGACCAAATGCCAGTGCAGTTGAATATCCACTAGCACAGTGAGGCTTCTCCTACCACCTGGTGTATCCCCCCCATATCTGAAGGGTTGATGGAGGCTCTGGGGCAGATTTTAGGAGCGAGAAAAGAAACTGAAGATCCCATTGCACAGGCAAATTTCTGTAGCATATGTGAGTGTTATGAGTCTCCTCATGCCTTATCTGTGTGTGTGTGTTATTCTGAAGAATTTGGGCCATGATTACAGTCGTGGCCAGTAGCCTTGTATTACAACCTTTGTACATTAAAGTCTGTAGGACAAAGAATAGCCCTTGCAAACTATAGGTTATTCAAAAGTTCTAATAAAACTTGCATCATTATATTAGAATGAGCTTTTTGAACTTGCTTCAGGCCAGTGTGCTGTGAGGAAATGGCGGTCATGAGCAAGCACTTTGGTTTAAAAATTAACTCGATTAGAGCCCTTTCTCCTGCTTCAAAGTGAACCCCCCTGAACCCTCGAAACTTTGCTGGTTTAAACATTGCCTACCTTTTTGGAGGCAAGAATGTCTGTATCTCTTCCAGATTAGTGCTGCTGATTACCAAGCTGAACTTTATGCTGTGCTCCCAGAATATGGGATGGTGTCCCTTTTGGGAAGAGAGTGCTGTGTAAACTACGTCATTTAACCTTTCCCCCCACTCTTCCTCAAAGAATATAAAAACCTAATAAGAGTTGGGTGAACCAGGCCAATGGTCCATCTAGTCTTGCATTCTGTTCTCACAATGGCCAACCAGATGCCTGTGGGAAACTCGCAAGGAGGACATGAGTTTCCTCCCCTCCTCCAGTTTCCACCAACTGATATCTATACTGGCTCTAAAGCTTTATTTACTTTACTATCTGCTCCTTCTCAAAGATTCATAATATTTTCCTGCTACCTGGTCCTTGACGGCAACTAACAGGTTTGAGTTCAGAGAGCCATAGTGGTTGCCAAACATCTTGTATTAACTTGCATGGAATGCTGAGGCTGAAATCCTATGCATGTGGAAGTAAAGCTCATGGACACAATAGGATGGGCTTCTAAGCTAATATGCTTGGGCTTGTTGCTCTATAAAACCTCCTTGGCTTCGAACCATCCATAACTGTACTCCAGACATAAAGGTAAAGGGACCCCTGACCATTAGGTCCAGTCGTGGCCTACTCTGGGGTTGCGGTGCTCATCTCGCTTTATTGGCCGGGTTATGTGGTTTCTGGGTCATGTGGCCAGCATGACTCAGCCACTTCTGGCGAACCAGAGCAGCGCACGGAAACGCTGTTTACCTTCCCGCTGGAGTGGTACCTATTTATCTACTTGCACTTTGACGTGCTTTCGAACTGCTAGGTTGGCAGGAACTCCAGACATTACAAAGATTGAAGGGGGAAAGTAACTTTTCTTTTCCCACTCAAAGTTGTGTCTCCCCCAGCTGCTATTTGCTTCTTATATTTGTCTCCTAACATTGCTTATTTCTGTATGCTTCGCCTGCCAATTTTGTGCAGGTCGAAATTGCTGTGCCAAACTCTTGAAATGTCTTTTCTGCGTTATAGGCGTACAGATTATGTTTTCCCCCACCACTCTTGGATTTAGAAGTGTGTTTCAGTCATAGGACTAATGTGTTGTTTAATTCCCTTTTCAGGAATTAAAACTGCTTTTGTGAGGAAACATAGTGACACGGCATTCATCGCTGCTCACTGTGAAATGATTCCAATTGAATGGGTTTGCAGAAGAATTGCTACAGGTTCTTTCCTGAAGAGAAACCCTGGCGTCGAGGAAGGCTACCGCTTTAACCCACCTAAGATTGAGATGTTTTATAAGGTGGGTAATGTAGATATGGCTTGCTGTAATGGTGGTCATGGGATACCAGACATCAGCTGATTCTAATAGACTTTTGGGAACGACTGAAGTCATTCAACTTCAGTAATATGTTAAAACCGTGATATGGTAAAATTGGTGGTCCGTGCAGGGCCGGATTTAGGTTTGATGAGGCCCTAAGCTACTGAAGGTAATGGGGCCCTTTATATGTCCAGCTGCCCTTTGTCAACAACAAATTGTCACTGTTTTTTGTGTTGAATATATGCTATATGGTAATTTATGGACCTAATAGGTATTTAAAGCCATTTGCACATGTTGCCATGCTACCAGTCCATGCAGAATGTGGGCACCCTATATATAGAAATGAGCAAACCAGTGATATTTTAGGGAGCAGGCTAGCAGGCAGGGCCCATTACTTACATCATAGGAGCCTACACAACTCAAAACACTGTTGCTGTATGTAGGTTTTATTTTATTTGTTTTTTATTTTATATTTTGGAAATGTACATCCAGGGTTTTTTTCCCTTTAATTTTTTTGGGGGCCCCAAGAGAGTGGGGCCCTAAGCTATAGCTTGTTTAGCTTATATGTAAATCTGGCACTGCGTGGACCTCAGGGATCCACGTAGCCCACCCAGGGGGTCCGTGGCACATACCTGTTGACTGGGACATCCTGGATTTTGGGGGGGAGGAGGGGTGCTGATGTGACTCATGAAATATGCATGGTCCGGTTTTGCATGGTGGCACCATTCACGTAACAAAAACTAACACAGAGAAATCAACTTTTTCAAAAGTAGTGGGTCCATGGCTTGACTTTTGAAAAACAGGGTGGCTACAGTACTTAGCTAACTGGGAACCACTGTGGTAAAACTAAACTTCCCATTATAAGTCTCCCACAGAAACATACTTCTTTTGAGAGGAAGAGCAAGATAATGAATGATGGATGTGTCTGTACCGCTGTCAGTCAGAATGATTATTTTGATTGATGGTGGCTTTTAATTGTTAGGTATTGACAGATTAAGGATTTGTTCAAAATAAACTTGTTGATGCATCAAGTAAAAACAATGTACTTGAGTCAATAACACTTTCCAGAAATTTCCAGTTCTTTCCCCCCAAAATGATGGTGTGCTTTTTGAACTGGGTGCCTGGTGGAAATGTGAAGCTGTTCTAAATAAATCACTGTTTGTTTACCAGGATGATGCAGCCAATGATCCACAGTGGTCTGAAGAGCAACTCATTGAAGTTAAGTTCAAGTTTGCCGGCCTTGAAATTGGGCAGACTGAAGTTGACATTATGGCCCAGTCTACTCGAGCCATTTTTGAAATACTTGAAAAAGCATGGCAGCCCCTGAACTGTACTTTAGTGGACATGAAGGTATAATGAAGTAATCTTTTAAAAGCGTGTGTCAATTTGAAAGCAACAATAAATTAGCTAACTTCAACTTTTCCCCACCTTCCTTTGGGATATTATTAGGTTGAGTTTGGTGTGAATGTAGCTACAAAAGAGATTGTTCTTGCTGATGTCATTGATAATGATTCTTGGCGATTGTGGCCATCTGGAGACAGAAAACAGCAGAAAGACAAGCAGGTAATTCTATGCTTATGGTTTGCTTGTTTTTTGTTACTTTTACTATTAAGCCAGTATTCTGAGCGCCTATCTTTTGCTCTTCTGCTACTGCTGCAGAAACTCTGTGCTTGCAGCTTCATAGCCTGGATTGCCCTAAGTACAGTGGTACCTTGGTTCCCAAACTTAATCCGTTCCGGAAGTCTGTTCCAAAACCAAAGTGTTCCAAAACCAAGGTGCACTTTTCCATAGAAAGTAATGCAAAATGGATTAATCCGTTCCAGACTTTTAAAAACAACCCTTAAAACAGCAATTTAACATGAATTTTACTATCTAATGAGACCATCCATCCATAAAATGAAAGCAATAAACAATGTATTGCAGTCACACAATCAATCAATCAGTAGCTGAACTGGGTTCCACACAGTCACAAAAAAAAAGAGCCGCAAAAACTCAAAATAAATAGCAAAAACAGACAGACCTCAGCATAACACTCAAATTGGAAGCATGGCACTCAAATTGGAAGCATAACACTCAAATCGGAAATGGAACACTGTTACGGAGCACGTTTGGCTTCCGAAAACAGTTCTCAAAGGAACACTTACTTCCGGGTTTGCAGTGTTTGGGTTCCAGGTTGTTTGAGTACCAAGGCGTTTGAGAACCAAGGTACCACTGTATAGTGAAGGGACCTTCTTATGCTTTGACCTGTATGGCATATTATAAAGAGAGTGCTATGTTCTCAGCATGGGGCCAGAATGTACATAACATCCTCCGTGGGGCAGAGCTGTGCCACTGAAACTCTGCACTAGACACTTCTCTTCCAAAGGTATTTAAAGGGAGAAAGGAGAGTGAAGGCACCATGAAGCTCTATTCTCACAATGACTGAAAATCCTCTGCTTGGTGTCATAACAGCAAGCTGGCTTTTTGTGTTTTGGCACCATCTTTTAAAACTGTTATTCTTGCTCTGTCGAGAAACGTCCTTATTATCTCGGGCACCTGTTACAAGCTGAATAGGATGCTAACCCCAGCCCCAGCTTTTAAATCCACTGAGGTTTTGAATTTCAACTCTTCTTACCTTCGCACAAAGTGACCCAACCTGTGGGAGTGTGCAGGATTGGCTGCTGATTGTGGGAGTATAGCTTAAAATAATCATAATGTCATGAATTCTGCACATTCAAATGTAATTTTCATAATTGGTTATAAAAAAAATCCAAATAACCCTCATGTAACTAATAAAATAATGGTATTATCATTCCCATGTGAGTAACTGATTTTTTTATAGTGAAATAAATGTGAAAATAATTTTTTAATGTATGGAATTCATTTGATTGTTGTTGCTTTTAATTCAAATTTACCAATGATAAATAAAACACATTAGTGTGATTATGTGAAACTGGTTTGTTTATTAGCACCTCAGTTGAATTAAGATTCAACTTGGCTTGCCTTCATAGTCAGATACTGTAACCAGTGGAATATATTTTGTTTGCTGTTTCTTTTAGTCTTACCGCGATCTCAAAGAAGTGACTCCTGAAGCACTGCAGATGGTGAAGAGAAACTTCGAATGGGTAGCTGAAAGAGTGGAGGTATTGGCGCTAGCCTGCATGAGACAGATAATTCTCTTTGCCTCTCATGCAAGTACTTAAAATTGTCCTTTGACTTTCCTTTCTGCTAGCTTTTGTTGAAACCACAGAGCCAAGGCAGAGTGGTTGTGCTAATGGGATCCACTTCAGATCTTGCACACTGCGAAAAAATAAAAAAGGCTTGTGGGAACTTTGGCATTCCTTGTGAATTACGAGTGACCTCTGCTCACAAAGGACCAGATGAGACACTTAGGATCAAAGCTGAATATGAAGGTAAAACTGATTTTGTTTAAACCTAGAGTGATAGTCATTGTTACTTAGCTTAGACCCATTGAAATCAATTGACAATAACTAACACGGGAGGTTATGTCTATTCCTGTAACAAAACAGTTTTCCTGGGAAAAGGGTGAAGGAAGGCATGCATAGTGTTTGATGCTAGGTATTTTTGTGTCAATTATTAGGTGATGGAATTCCTACAGTGTTTGTAGCAGTAGCTGGAAGAAGCAATGGCCTGGGACCTGTGATGTCTGGAAACACGGCATATCCTGTTGTAAACTGTCCTCCACTCTCGGCCGACTGGGGTGCTCAGGATATATGGTCATCTCTGAGGCTGCCCAGTGGTAAGTACCTGCCCTTGAAACAAATTGCTGTTTGCAAAGAGGCAGTACATTTTTCAAGGTCAAAGCATGCCGTTGCCCGTAATTTGATCAAAACCGCTCACTCCAGACACATTTGTCACTTAATCGGGGCTTACTTCAAAGTTAATGTGCATTTTCTAGGGTGGCTCCCTATTTTTCGAATGCTCTCTCCAGGGAGGCTCGCCTGACGCCTTCATTGCGTATCTTTAGGCACCAGGCAAAAACTACCTCCTTCTCCAAGGCCTGTGGCTAATTAAGCAATCTATGGCCTTTTAATGGGCCTAATAAAAGGTATTGCCCAACTGTAGATTTTAGAGTTTTAGCCATTGTTGTGTATATTCTGCTCAGTCTTTTCCAATCATGTTAATAAGGCATATCTGCTTAATTCTGTGTAGTTTACGACTTGTGTTGAATAGTGGAAAGGGGGGGGGGGGAGCAGGACAGCAAGAGAGAGTCCCAGTGCATTTCCTGAAAACCATACATAGTCTGAGCAGTTAAGCATATTTCTGGCACATTTAAAAAATATCTAGAGCTATCAGGGCTCCAAATATCCTTGACAAACAGAAAAGCGGGACTTTCAGAGTCTTCAGATCTGCATTAGACTAGATGCACTGTACAACTCAAAACTTGACTTAAGTTAAAATTATACATAATGGCTCTTCAGAGCAGTTTTAGAATTGGACCAGGACAAGTTTGAGTAGTGTCGTACTGCCCTCTAGTGGTTTGAAATCTCTTCCCCCCCAACCCACTTTTCTGAGGTTTGGTTATAACTGAAAAATTCAGGGTTTAGCTTAAGTATGGTAACTGCATTTGCTTGCAGTCATATACAGATGGACAGCTGTAAAATCAAAACAAAGGCTATCACTTTCCTTTTTATTTTTAAACAGGTCTTGGCTGTTCCACAATTCTTTCACCCGAAGGTGCTGCCCAGTTTGCTGCTCAGATATTTGGGTTGAATAACCACTTTGTGTGGGCCAAGTTGCGCTCAAGTATGTTGAATACATGGATCTCGCTCAAGCAGGCTGACAAAAAGATGAGAGAATGCAATTTATAAACCGCTTCTTCGTTCTGTGTTCTGCCAGCTATCAGAATATGGCATACCGTTCTTAACTCAAGAACACACTCACCAGTTCTATCATAACCAGATGAGCCTGCAGGTTCCAAGCACATACGGTTAATCTTTGGCTTTCTGAAAGCTGTAGAACTTCACAAACGCTACCAGTATTATGGAGTAGTTTTTACTGATCCATCTCAATAGCTTATTAAACAGAGCTAGTTACCTGTATTGATTTGTAATCCTGAACAGAATGTTAATTCTCAAAGTTTCTATTGAACAGCTAGCAATAACAGCAACTGTCTTAACCAAGATTCTAATTAAGAACCTGTTCAACAATGTGGCAGAGGAAAGAAAGGCTAGCCATTATTTCAAGATAGTATTGTGAAATCTGTATTCGGAGGGAAAGTGTTTACCAAATAGGAATAAAAGAAGCTTTCACTAGTGTGGTATTTTTTTTTTATCTTACAGTACAGTCATACCTCGGGTTAAAGACGCTTCAGGTGAAATCTTTTCAGGTTGCGTTCCGCGGCAACCGTGAAGTAACGGAATGGGTTACTTCCGGGTTTTGCCGCTTGCACATGCGCTCAAAATGACGTCATGCGCAGAAGCGGCAAATCGCAACCCGTGCATTCGTTCTGCTCAGGTTACAAATGGGGCTCCGGAACAGATCCCATTCGCATCCAGGTACCACTGTAGTGTAAATCAAGTAGGAAAACAGTTGTCAGCTGTTCAGTATCACACCTCTCTCAAATCTCTCTTGAATCTGCCTGTTGCTAGAGGGTTATGAATACACTGTCCACCTAGCAATGACTTCCTTGGAAAAGAGTGCTTAGAAGAACAAGGGTAGCCAATTTTGAACCCTGCAGATGTTTTCAATAAGAGCTCCCATAAGCTTCTGCCACCCTGACTACTTATCAGGGATGGTAGCTGCAGTTCACAACATCTGGAATGCACCAGTTTGGCTATGCTTAGCTTAGAAAATATATGCTTATGTATATTGGGCTTCTGAGGGAAAGAGATGGGCCTTTGGTCAAACAAGGAGATGTTTAGATGTGCCTTTGCTGTCCTACTGACTGTAGGGACCAAGACTTGGCAAATAAGCTAACAAAATCCAGAAGCCAACTGAAAGTCTGAAGGGTGAGGAAGATTGCTTGCAGCTTATACTGTGAACCCCCTTATGTTCAACACCCCTGAACCATCCTTGTCCCTGTGCACAAGCTGAGAGGTACTCGGGAGATGGGGAGGCCATAGGTAAAGAAGACTGAGCTGACAACACCCGAAGTGGCTGTGATGCAGCCTGCAACAGCTCAGGGGAAATAGAACCCAGTAGGGCCTCCCTTGATTTGAAACAGAACAATGGGAGCAAGCTGCAGAGACTATTGGTGCAGGAGCAGAAGGAGGAATTTGCTTGGGCAAAGGAGCAGGAACAGCAGAGAAGCTACTAAATTCACTGGATTCATTATCTTAGGTCTCATGGTAGCATCCTCTTCCTGTAACAAAACCTAAGACATTTCCTGTCCCCAGTAGGGTGATGGAGGGACTTTGAAGTCACTGGAGTCCATGGGAACAGTGCAGACATAATAGGCCCACCTGGAGGCAGGGTTCACTACTGACTGGTTTGGTCTGCTCAAACATAAGGGCTGCCTTGTTTTTAATCTCAGCCTCAACAGAATCGTATATCCAGGGCCCTTAAACTTTAAAACATGCTTTTAAAGGCTTGGGTGGCTGCACTTGGGGGATATGGGCCGGGAGTCAAGACTACAAAGCAATAGACCCAACAAGTTAAGGCCACATGTCTGATTGGGCCTTGTTGGCTACTAAGAGGCAGCTACCATGATCTCTCCGCTCACATGCATGGGGCAGGAGCAAGAGCAACAGAAGAGTAAGCTACAGTGCATGCATCGTAGCAGCTGGCAAGGTGGCATGAGAAGGGCTGCGTTGCTTATCTAGCTCCACTTAAACTCCTTTCCCATCATTAGCTTTGAATTAAAGTATAAGCCACCATGTTGCTCTCTGAAGACGGGGAGCAAAAAACCATCATGGCTGACAGCATGTTCCATGTCACCTACTGAATAGCATGTTGTTGCCACCTAGAAATATTTGATGGTAACTCATTCAGTAGCAAAAGACTCCATTAAGAGCAACATCATAGGATGAGTTCAATGCACTCTAAAATTGAGCATACACTCCTGCTCCATCATAAAGGACTTTACCCATTAGGATTGGTGAAAGGATAAAATAATCTCATTCTACTTAGCAAGGATACAAAATAACTGCACGAGATATGAACTAGAAAAAATCTGATCCAGGTACCTGTCTCCGAGTTCTTCCAACAATAAGCAGAGGCGTAACATTATCATGACTCAGCTTGCTGGAATAAGCCCAAATTTATCTTTTGATCTCTGCCTGCAACAGTAGGTATGATGCCAAATTGGGTTGTATCAAGAACTGCAATTGTTCTTAGAACCTGCTCACTGCAGATTATCCAGAAAAGTTGACGCCAATCTATTCCATTGCACTTTCAGAGACATGCATTTCCTGAGATTACTCCCAAGAGATCATTCCATCAACATCAAGTGTGTCCTCTTAATGGCACTCCCAGATTGCAGCAAAGCTATGTATGGATGTGGCCTTAATGTTTCAGGAGTGTATTTATTCATCAAATATATGCCTCAAAACAGTGATATGAGCTTATACAGGAAGAGGTCCTTAATGATTATGAAGTACTAACAACAGAATCCAAAGACTGTTCCATTCCCACCCCAAATATTTTTTTGTATGTTGAGCCAATAAGAGAACATACCCAAGCTGTAGGGATTGGACACTACTGTGATCCATATATAACAATTCAGGTTTCTGATAACTATCCTTTAGGGCAGAGGTGCTATATAAAAAGCCCAACAGAGACAGAAAAAAATAATAGTTGTAAGTTAAAAAAAATATAAGTTTTAGGTTTATTGAAAATTAAATATTAGCAAAAGCAAGAGTTTTACAAAATGATTTCACATACAAGTCAGACAGTCACAAACTGAAAACTACAAAAGTACCTATTGGCAAGCAGAATGCTAACCTTTGCATTGCTGTGTAATAGCGATATGAATAAGGCATGGAAGTCCTATTTGCACCAAATGTTTTTGAACTTTCAAAAACTAGTTAGACCCTTAACTTTTGTAGCAATGCTTCAGTAGTTCCCAAACTTTCATGAGTTGCCTAGGAGGGTATGGTGAGTGAGCTGCAGCTGACTCATGGAGCAAAGAGAAGCAGTCACTGATAGTATTTTCAAATCTGCTCATTTGTCAGAGAAGTTTAGGAATCACTGTTGTATGCTTAGTGCATTAAATCAAATTTTTGTTATGTATTGGAAAGACTAGTGCTCAAAGCAACCACTCCAAAGAGTCATCTAGTAGTCATCTGTATCTAATCCAGTCTTTCACAATGCACAGTTATAGGTAATGTCTTCACAGTTTCAATAACTTCTTGACCAACCTATATTTCAATTGTTCTTTAACATGGCTCCAAATTCATACAATCATTTTTATTCTGAAAGTATGCAAGAAAGTTAACTTGTGCCATATTTATAGTTAAGACACTCACAAAACAAGTTTTTTATAGCAACATTCAATACTACGTTTTAAATACTTTGTGCAAATAGCAACAGGGTGCTGTATCAGAGGCAAGTTCTGATTTGCAAGATTTTGAATGCATCCTTAATATTGTAAACTTGGACATTTTTAAATCTTGCACTTTCCAATGCTTCTTAACTAATCAGTGGAAATACACCATAGGATGATACATTCTCACTTGTATATAGTGCAAATAAAGTAGAATTTTCCCATAGTTTTTTCCGGATTTAATTTTTCTGTGTGCAATTTTAGTGGTGCCCTTCAAGTTGAGGGGGACCCATGTGAAGAACTGATTAATAAAGGAAGAAAGAAAGCAGTTCTGATACAGTTCTCAGACCAGTACTAAAAGTGCAAATGCTGCAAGAACTCCAGCTGTAGTTACAGCGAGAATAGGGTATTGTTTCAGTTAGATCTGGATAGTCATTTGGACTGGTTTCTAGAGAAATACATCAATATATCTTGAATTTTTATTAGTCGCTCTCTCAAAGATCTCATAGACAGCACAGAAAGCTGGTATCTAGGGTCCACAGGCAGGACAGCTAGAAGCCACCAACACCATGCGGGTCCATTAGCCATTTCCTAAAAATAAGGAACAAAAAATTAGAATGTACTAATTGTAACAAATGGCTTACAACACAGATGTAAAATGAACAGGTTCTAGAGATCAAAATACATTGTTTCATTTTCCATTGCCATTATCAACCACCAGGTCCTAGGAATTCAAGATTTCCTGATAACGTAAAATGAGGTGGTTTTATTAGCTAGCTTACACAAAACCAACTTTCAGCAGTAATCTCTGTCTTCTCTGTCTGTGATTGAAAGTGTTTGCCCTAAGCAGCTGTGTCTTACAGCACAAGATCAAGATGGCAAGTGTATCCCTGCTGTAAATTTCACTACCATTACAGTATAGACAGGTTGACACTATCCATCAGATGTTTTAGTTGAAATGTCTTGGACATCTCAAAGCCGCTCGGCAATGCAAAGCTTCAGTCTGCCTGTGCTGAAAGCCACTGTGACAACAGCACTTCTCCATCCCACTAAGGACATGCAGCTTTGTCAGCTGTGTTGCCCATTGCCACAAAAAGTGAACAGCCTCAAAATAGTGTTGAGAAAGATTTATTCCTTAAGTGTAAATAGAATAATATTATAGAGGAAGGAGTTCAAGAACTGGCTTTTTAAAAACCTGGTTTCATTGTCCGACACAACCACATATTTAAAATACACACTGGGCTTTTTGCAGTTCTTTGAATACATATTAATTGGCACCATCTTGGCTTCTCTCTCTTTTAGCTGCTGTCCATTTTTTCCCCTAATGATTACCACCGCCACATCAGTTACTCTACCAATCTTTCTACTGCTTCCTTTACTAACAAAGCAACCCATATCATGCCAATAATTGCTAGACAGATACTGTATGGTGTCTGAATACCTGTATGTTTCCTTCCCTCTCTGGCATTGGACCAAAGTGCTGAAGTATTTGGCTACGAAATTTGTTTCTTAAGCTTTGGAACCAACTGCAAGCTTGGCTATATACAAAATTATGGAGCACTCCAAGTTTCTTCATCTCACCTTCATCTTCAACCTATGAATGAAGAAAGTGCAGTATAGTCACAAAACAAAACAATTAAGCTGTATATGTGAAGACTTTCATAGCTAATTTGCATAAAAAAGCAAAAAATCGTAAGTCTGAGTTCAGTCTATATTTAAAGAGAATGGGAAAAATTCAGTGCTGAAGTAGTTCATAAAAATATTGCCATCAACAGCAAAGCATCTCACACAAAAAACTAGATTGGGTCAATAATTCAAACCATGTTTTGGGGTATCAGCTCCTAGGCCCAAGCCTCCCCCTCCCCACTGCCTTCATGTATGGGCTTAAGAAATTACTGCCTTAATCAATCAATCCAAATGAGAGCCATTACATCTAAACAAGTTATGGTTCCAGGATGCCTTTCAAACTAGGATCAAACAGTGGTCTGCAACCCTATTTGGGAGAGTAAGATGAAACCATAGCATGTTTGTTTGGGTAAAATGGCAAACAGACCAGAAAACAACATATTAAGCTGTGCATAGAAAAGAATGGAGAACATTTGAACCTGTGATTTTTCAAAACCATAGCCTGGAGGATTGTCCAAATAAGCCAGGTCTTTCACATTCAGAGTTCCATGTGTAAGATAAAACACAGAGTTCTCATGAAAGTTCATGAGCTCCAATGTCAAAAGCAATTCTCTATGCATACAAGGGATGCTTGCACCTAAACAGCACTTTCAAGATGAAAGCTCTTATATATGAATGAGATCAATAGTGTTTTAAGACACATTTAATGTAACCTAAAACTATTGAAAAGTGAAAGTAATTTTTCCTTGTTGGTCCTGCTTTTAAAAGATGGATACAAATAGAAATTGTCTCCTCTAGAGGGAGCTTGTTAATTTGTTGCTGGAGCTGATCTGGGGACCTCACAGCTGTATGATTAGGATCGTGAGACCAGACTCTAACCTTGGGGGGAAAAAATGTGTTTACAAGAAGTTTTGGTGCTTGCTTTGTGCAAGACAAGTGCTCTGCTGGAGCAGATGCATGAGAAGATGGATTTGATGACTGTTGCAGTTAAAAACTTTGGACAAACGGCGAATACCCATATAGAAACCATTCAGGAACCAGCCCAGGAATCTGTTTTGATAGGGCAAGCGCAAGGGCAGAAGAAAATGGAGGAGGTTGTTGTTTAACCTCAAATAATACAAATGGAGAGACCCGAGGCCTTGCAGGAGTATAAGCTGCTGATCTCGAAGTTCGAATCTGGAGTGGACCAGGGGGGGTTTGGAGTTGTGAGGGCTCTTAATTTTGGAAAGAATTTGAAATATGCTTTTAAATACTTTCTGGATTACAGTGTTGACTGTGGGGAATGGACTGTGGGGAATGGACTGATCTGCTGAGGAGAGATGGAGATGGAGATACTTTTGGATTGGAGTCCTCCCGAGATCTACTCCCCAATGAGAAAGGAAAGAAAATAAGAAAAAGATCAACAAAAGATAAAGTAAAGGGCAGGTATAAACAAGAAGATCTGCAGAAGGGACATGGAAAAGATTTAAGAGCCTCGGACGTAAGAGCACCAGGTTGATGGATTAGATAAACGAGAAAGGACTGACATAACCCGAGACCAGGAAGAAGAGACGATGGATGAAGATTGGAAGAAAGTTTCAAAATTTATTTAGAAAAGTATTGTAAAATTAATGAGTATTAGAAAAATGTTGGAATGAAATTATTTGGCCTTAGCAGAAATGTCAAAAAGAATTATGAAAGAATATGTTATGGTTAAAATAATTTGGTATATATAAGTTTTAAGTTTTAAGCTTTAGGGTTTTTTTAGGTAAGATAAGGTTAAAATAGATTAAGGTAATTTAAATGACAGAATATTGTGAAAGATGGAAAGGATTTGCTGAGATAATTAATAACCAGAATACAAAAAAGGGAGGTGTGAGGAGGTCGTTGAAATAAGTTAATGAAAGCTAAGGATTTGGGAATATTAGACTTGTTTTTTAATTGTTTGTTTATTTTTGTTTTTTGATTTAGATGTATTGTGTGTTTTGTTATTATTTTTTTTGACACTGGTTTTTATTGATCTGTATTGTTTAATTGTTATGTTTATCTACTTCTTTCTCTCTTTTTCTCCTTTTCTTGTCTTTTCTTTCTTCTTTCTTTGTAACTTTAAAATTCTCAATAAATATCATTTTTTTAAAAAAAAGTAACCTAAAACTATAACCTGCAATACATATGCTTAAAGTGGCAGCTTGACAATAACCCTTTCTTCACGTATCCAAAAGTACTCAAATGGTAAGACCACCTGTTTCATTTGATGTGTGTTCCTTTAAACATTAAAGCCAGAAATTGGTTGGGCTGCAAGGAGAACAATTCCTCCATAGCCAGAATCAACCATACGGCAGAAAAGCAAGTTTTTCAAGCAGAAGTGGACATCTGCTCCCTAATTTTTATTTTTGCAACACTAATCTAAAACATGTCTTCACCTAAAATGTGGAATTAAAACCTCTTACCATGCATTGTAAATTGCAAGTTTCCATTCTAATTAACAAGGGGATGCTAAATGCACATGCTTTATATACAAAGTAGCTTTACATTTGAACAAGTAGGCTATAATCTGTGTATCTGTATATGTTTAGAAAATGCATTATTAAAATCCTGTTTTAAGCAATAAGTGAATGTGAAATCCAATACCTTTATATCTTCTAGATACTCAATGTCTGCAGTGTAGTAGCCATCCTTCATCCCCCTTTGCAGAACTCTGAATCTTCTTAATCCAACTGTATCAACAACAGACCGTCCATCTGGGAGATAGTCAAGGTTTCTAATGTACAGCATGCAGCCATAATCTGCAAAGCTAGAAAAAGAGGCGCTGTGTCAGTATCCACTTCGGAAACACTCTCTCTCTCTCTCTCTCTCTCTCTCTCTCTCTCTCTATATATATATATTTAAAAACTGTGGAACACATACATACCCATTTTTAGGGTCACTGATACACATCCCAAATTGTTTTGTCCCTGTTTCCACACTCCTTCGAATCATCAGTCGATACCTTGGCTCAAATACATGGAGGGGACAAGGCACAGTTGGATAGGCCATAGTGCAAACGAAGATTGGAACATTCTTAGTCAAGCTGAAAAATATATAATAGTATTTTTAAAACCTACATTGCCCGAACAGTTCTCTTTTGATACAGGTAAATAGTAGGTTGTGCTTTGTACATATACTCCCTTAACCTCTTACAAAAGCTAAGCTATAGCACAAGGCCTGAAATCAGTAGGAATGAAGATGTATACAATATGAAGAGAAATAAGGCTTAAGACTCAGTGCTTTTTTCTAAAAAATGTTTAAGGGTACTTTCATTTTGACTCAAGAAAATCATCATTTCATAGTTCAAGTCGGGAAAATAAATACAGTAAATGGACAAAAGTACAAAGATTCACAAAATGTTTGGGGGTATCTGTCCCCCCCCCCCCCGAGAAAAAGCACTGTTAAGACTTATGTAAATAATTTAATTCAAGTTCTTTTAAGTCATCCAAATGGAATGTGGATATTCAATTAGCATAAAAATTTCTCTCATCTGTTTTTGTTGCAATTCTAAACCAGAGTACTATATTATTATTATTATTATTATTATTATATAAAATTTAGACACCACTGATTGTGAAAAACCTTAAGGTGGCTTACAAAAGATAAAGCAGTAATAAAGAAAAAAATCACAACCCTACTTTAAAACATACAAATGTTGAAATCCTAAAACAGATTAGAATGACCTCAAGTTTCTAAGCAATAGCAAAAAGCAACAGGAAAGAACGCTTTTTGATAACATCTATGTGGTGATATGCCAACCATGTATAAAGACCAGGTAGAATATGATTTAGAAAGAAGTGTGTGGGCAGGATGTGCTGGACCCTTCTCACCAGATGTTCCCTCCCCATCCCTTGAGCCAGAATCCAATACTAGAAGCAAATCTGGCTGTGACACCAGAGGACTGGCAACAAGGAGGTAAGCCATGGACAGGGAGAGACTTCACATCCCCTGCTCTATGCATACATTTTGCTCTTAAAATCAAGCCCCCAGTCCTTCCTCTATACGTAATTGGAACAGATCTGTATTTAAAAATAAAAAATATGCCATTATTATGTAGTGCTTGGGCTTGAGATACTGCTACCTGGCTATAATGATTCTTTTGAATCATTGCTGTGAGGATAACACATGATGTTGAGCTCCTTTAGAGGAACTGTTGCAAGAAAAAGCAGGAAGAACCACCTGCACTTGCAAGCGTCAAACAGGTCAGTGTACCTGCTTGTACCAAATTCATGTTATTCAGTTTGCTCTCTTCAGTTAGGTGATTCAGTAACAAATCCATCTACTAGAAGTAGACCGAGACTACACTTCAAAATATGAGGTAAATAAAAACATAGCTGAGGGAAGAAAGCTTTTCAAAAGCAGGCACAACTAAAAAGGTTTAGTACTTGTTCCTAAACTTGTTAATAAGTCAGTTTATAAACTTACCTGGAGTATTCAGCTGTTTCTTCATCATTAATTCTTTTTCTCTCTGATAGCTCAGCAGGTAAATACTTTACTATTAATTCTTCCAGCAGCTGTGTAATTCTATATTGTCTACTTGCCAAATACTAGAAGTAAAAATAAAATCTTAAGTCATTATAGCTTAATTACTGCAAAGATGCTAATCCAAATTATTTTATACTAGCCTTCAATTTCTATATATCAAGCAGAAAACAGGGTGATACAACAATCCTGCGTTGACCACTTTGTTTCTCTTGAACACAGTTTTTACTTTAGAACTTCTCAAATTTTCTTTCAACAGAGCTTTTACTAGGGTTAATTAACATAATTAGTCAATTCAATCAATTAAAAAGTTATGCCTCAATCAAAATTTTGGCCCAATATACGGCCATCCTGTGCAACAACCTGTTTGTAGCATAAACCTCACAATGCAGGTTTCACTTTCTGGCTCTGCCCTTCAGCTAGCTCAACCAGAAGTGACAGTTAAAAGAGACAATTTTTTTTTTTTGCAAGGTAGGCAATGCCATTTCTCCAGGAAGGCTAAGAAGAGAGGCAGCATCAGTTCATTCTGTATGTAATTGTTGGCTGTTGCTGGGAACATATGCTGCCACTCATCTGGGCTAGGCAACCATGCTGTGATCAAGCAAGACTGTTCTTGTGTTCATTATTGTAGAAAGACGAACTTTATAAAGAAAAGTGAGGTATACATTTTTAAATCACACTCAAATCAGCTACCTGGCTTCTGATGGACATAGGAAAAGGGAAGTTTAGGGAAGTTATAATGTTTAGTTTTTTATTGTGCTTTTAGTATTCTGCTGGGTGCTTTTACTATTCAGAGTGACTAGGGAAACCCAGCCAGATGGGCGGGGTATAAATAAAATTGTTGTTTGCTTTTCTCTCTCTGGCAACTGACATCAGTGTACGGGGTTTTTTGTGTTGCCATTTATATGTTGCCTTTCTATGATAAAATAATAGTTAAGGCAGTTTACAAATAAAAATATAAATCACATATACTACCACGTGCACTCACTTTCTATGGCTAATAAACTGAGCAAAACTTAGCAGCCCTAATTCCTACTGATGATACTTTGAACAAAAGAAGCTTCTGAAAACCATTTCCATTGCAGAAAAACATCCGAATAAAGACTTAGCTTCCACCAAGTTTTTATTTAATGAGATATATATATATATATATATATATATATATATATATATATATATATTCTGTATTACAAATACTTGTTTTAGAAGACAGCAATGTTGTGTATGGTAAATATTACCTCTTTTAAGCTTTCTTTACAGAGAGGACACTGAGGAGAATGGTCCAAACATCGTTCTAAACAATTCTTACAGAAAGTATGGCCACAGGGTGTTGTCACAGGATGAAAGAAAAGCCTGAAAAAAAATTCAAGAAGTTAATCATGCTACAGTCACTTTAGTGACAAACATTAAAACAAGTAAATTAAGCCAAGTCAGAACAAAACAAACCATTTGGATGCTTTTATCTTGTAACCACCTTGGCTGTTGTAGGCTTAGAATAATTAAGAAATAAGATTGATCTGTTATTCCTCCTAGCAGACATTTGGCATTAGTGACAATGCATGTTCATTAGACTTCCAAGAAGACAGTCCTCTATGAAATGTCTGTGTGGCAGAAGTGTTGAAGAGCAGCTTTCAATATGTTCCATACATGCATCCCCCAAGATGCAAAAAAAGTGCCAAATAAATGTAGCAAATGTCATGGAGTCATGTCTTGGGCAGTCAGATGCAAACCAATTGCACAGAACCTGTAGGCTTGACTGTTTATGTTTTGTTAACCAGACTTATGTTCTTGACAGGGCTTGACAAGCAGTTGCCAAAACTGTACTTTTGGCAATATTAGGGGGCCATTTGGTTAAACCCTAACTCTCTTGCAGACATTCCCTTATGATGTCTATGAAACAACACATTACTGCCAAAGAGAAATATTTGTGAGCCTTCCACCATGTGTACCAACCTGATTGAGTGAAAAGTTCACTCATTGGAACTAGCCAGAAATGCACATTAATACTATCGTTTACCAATGGTTCCCAAACATTTTAACTGATGGGACTGATGGAACATTGCTGTCTTGTCAGACCACTTACTAATTTTAATGCTTGTTGTAGGAATTGTAATGTGCTGTGTTACATGCAGTATTATTTTAATTGCTTTTGTTATTGGTTTTCCAAAGACATGCCACAGACCACTTGAATTAAGTTCATGCATCACTGGTTGTCTGAGGACCACAGTTTGGGAGCTGAAAGGCTGGCACATGTAGCAAGACACAAACATTGTGCTTCTCTCTTTGCACAGCATGGAGCAATTTGCGCACAGAAGCAATTTTCAGCAGCTTTAGAGCAAGAATCTTAACATAAAAGCTGCCCTAAGATGGAGAAGAGATCAAAGACAAAGATGATCAAATGGGTAATAAAAAGGTTGATTAAAGAAACCACTGTATTACCTCATACACAATGAACACTCAAAGTCTGAAACATCAATCAAATCCTCTGGAACTGGTCCATGATTGAATGGAAAGGTGGCATCCCTTTTTGTAGTTTCTAAATAAACAATACAGGATATTATCAAAGCATGAAATACTGAATTTATCAGAAATCAATATGAATGACTAAATAGTTACCTCCTTGTTTTTTATGTTTATTTCTTCCATCTTCAATAACTTTAACATCTTGTTCTGAAAGGGACCACTTTCTTTTTAATAAAGCACCTTTATCTTGGCTGGAAAGCAGAGGTTCAGAAGAAACCCTTTTTAATCCATCGTCTTTGGCATTTGTTTCTGTTGAGTGGAGAGAATGGGCAGACTGTGCACGATGCAGGCTTCCTCCAACAGGCTCTTGCATTTCTAAATCCTACCAAAAAAACAATGGGTGGGGGGAATGGAATCTTTATCAAATTTCAGATAAATTGGCAACAATATCTGCCAGCAGAATCACAATTTTTTAGATAAACCTTCGTTATCCAGAACAGGCACATTTCCTAGTGCAAAGGGCCACCTTGAAATTTCTGTGGACTACTTCAGAATGTTTCACATTATTAATATGATTTGCAGGGAACTAATAATATCTGGTCCTAGCTGAATATTAGCTGTCATTCTGTATTTCTAAAATTCTACTTCCACTCTCACTTATGAAACTAGGCACATTGTTAGATGGAACCTTACCATGTCACAACTTCCGTGTGTGAATGCAGACCTGGGAGTATAAAAAGCAATATCCTAAAAATACAGACTTGCACAACATTCTACTGTGCTGAAATAGAACCTCAGGAGTCCCTAGACACAAAGAACTGTTTGGAATCCAGAACTCAAGCAAACTTAAAATTCTGGCTCTAAACTGCTTCATTGTTTGTTTAACTTGCACCGCTAAACAACTCTGACTATGGGAGCAGAAGCACATACAGGAAAAGCTTTTTTTTTTTTTTAAAGTATTGCTTCACAATTGTCATTTTAAAAACCATTCCCATAATTTTCATTAGCATATAAATAACATTCTCTCTACAATGTTGAGCATTGTTCTAGATTCTTTCCACATTCCCTATCAACCCTGAAATTTCAAAATTATATGGCATCAAACTAGAATAAGATGAAACAAGAAGCAAGTCAACAGCACAACCTACATATTGTGTATAGCAACATTTGAAATATGTGTGGAAAAAATAATCATTACTTACTGGCTCTGAACTGTGCTGTAAATTTTCACAAGACTCTTCCATTTCAGAACCATGTATAAATGGTTTACTTCGAACATGCGAAGAATTCATAGCAGATTCCTTCAGACTCTTTCTCACACTTTCTGGTGATAACAAATCACACAGCATCTGTGAAATGGACAATATTAAGGAATAAGCCGGCTATTACTAAAATTTTGTAAATCCAATCATCCCAGTCTTCTAACTTTTTAACATACTACAGTGAACCAGCTGAGCTTTTTAAGTAGTTCACCAGGCTTCAGATCTCTGGAAAAATTAACTGTAATGCAAGTTTTGTTTTCTACGTGAACATTGGTAACTTCCTCTTCACAGGAAGTAACTACATTTGAAAAGTATTAGAACTGAAAGCAAAAACTAAGAATTGCTTTAAAATATATAAATACCTTCTCAACTTCTAGTTTTGCCGGAATAAATTCTTCATCAAGGGCTAGGCAGTGAAGAAGGAGCTGTAAGGCATCATCTTTAGACCCAGCATTATTAAGTATTCTTGCTTTCCGAAAGTAGACCTAAAAAAATTCAAAGGTATTTAAATGTTAATCATTTGGTTTGCATCACAGAAAGATTTAGAAGCCTGAGCCTAAGCATATTTCCTTTGAAGTTAGCCCCACTGGGTACAATAGAGCTTTTGCTTCCTGTAGCTATGTATGCCACTGAATTACCATATTTTTCGCTCTATAACACGCACCCGACCATAACACGCACGTAGTTTATAGAGGAGGAAAATCCGTAGGCATGCCACCCGTAGGCATTTCCTCCATAACACGCACAGACATTTCCCCTTACTTTCTAGGAGGAAAAAAGTGAGTGTTATGGTGCAAAAAATATGGTATTTGATTGGGATCTTACAAGTTGCTATAGAAGAAAGCCTCAGTGAAACCAATAGAACCTACAACGGCACTAATGGTTTTAAGAGTTAGTGTAATACCTGATGTTATGCAATGAGACAGAATAACAGCAGAGAACTCAAACAAAAGGATGGCACATCCTATGCATTCTACCATCACTACTTCCTCCAGTCCATAGAACCAATTGGAATAAACAGTATACAGGCATAACACACTCCATTCACTTTTTCTTTCAGACCTTGTTTCACCCTTTCATACTTAGCACTCATCCACACTTCTGTTTATCCTGTGCCTAGAAAGCAAATGCTTATCCCATGCTTTCTAGGGACAGGTCCGAGCTGTTTTGCCTTTGCCCTGCTGCTTTCCCCTGGAAAACCCCCTCTAGTGATAAATCAGAACAAATGGCAATCCACGGAAAACCAGATTGCCATTTGCTCCGATTCAGCACTAAACTGCAGGTTTCCCCAAGGGAAAGCAACGGGTCAAACGTAAGAGTGAACAAGCCCTTAGTCTGCATCATATACGTACAGCTACTGTTGAAAAGCACCTGTTGAAAAGCACAATGCAAAATTGATTTATTCATCCACAGTGTGAATGCAGTTTATATTCTTGTTTCATGCAAAATTATATGTACGTGCATGTGCACATAGAAAAGCCAACCAACTGCAGAACCAGTTGCAGAACTGGGGGTGGAGGGATCATTTAACTCTTGACTTGAAGTGCTTATAATGAAGCTTAAACACTCCTGCCTTTTTATCTCGACAAAGCTTTTCAACTTCTGCACAATTGTGCTTGAAAACATAATTACAAACAGAACAGGGCTTCTGCTAGAAGTGTGCAGTACTATGCCTGCCAAAAGACTCAATCCACGTGGTGAACCTGACCCAAGGTGGGTCAAAACAGCAGTACCACCACCATGCAAATGCATGGGAAAAAATAAATGGTTCCCAAATGCATGCCTGGGATAAAGGTAGGTTTGGGTTTGAAAATGCTGACACAATTTCTAGCATCATGTTTTTGTATTTTTCATAATACAAGTACACTGGATGTGATATTCAATATCAGTCAAACTTAAAAATAAGACCACTGAAATCAATGGACTTTAGTCCATCAACTTTAATAAGTCAACTCCGAGGATGACTTAATAGGCTATTATCTTAAGCATTTACACTTTATAGACTTACCTCAGACCAATTTGGCATTTTAGCAGTAACAGCATTCAGGTCATCCAGGGCATATTTAAATTCTTGGAGGCCAGCATAGGATTCAGCTCTATAAACCCGTAGTATCAAATCACTAGGATCTAAAATAAAAACCAATGACTTTGTCATGTAGCTGAATAGAAACTACTTATGTTTTTATAATCCAAAATACACATGCAGTGCAGACTTAGAAATAGATATGTACCTATGGAAAATAACATTTTCCAAGAAGCCAGACAAAAAAAAAAAAAAAGCTTTCTAAGTTTGAAGAGAAATAGTTCATTATTTCATGCTGTTGATGTGGACAAGCTTGTTAGTAAAGATTTGTGACTTACTAAATGTTAAAATACCCTTGCAAAAAAGGTGATAGTAAAGATCCTGAAAAACCCTAATGCAATTAACCTAACTACCAGAACTATTTACATGCTTAGAGACCAATAAAAATATCTGAATGCTAGTCCAAAGCCCAAACTGAAGTTTAGGTTGGTTTTGTGGACCCAATATGGTCTTAAAATCTGTATAGACATAGTTTGTAAGACAAGACCAGTCTTCCTTCACTCTTCTCCCAAGTTGGGCAGTCTGCAAATCCTTGAACCACCCTAGTCTATAGGATAAGCAAGGGAATACAGGACAAATAAATTAAAGAAAGCCTTCAAAAAAGGACAGAATTCAGTGTTTTCTGTCTACTAGTGTTTTGGCACTGTATTTCAAGACTATGCTTGCAGCAGTAAAGTTTACTTAGGCATGAAAGCAAAGATATTGACTGATTACAAGCTTAAAAGGATAATATTGGCATGGCCAGAGTAGATGCAACATCGGTGAATTTGTAATCACATCTTCCACTCTGAAAGCAAAATGAACTACTTGAAACCACACAGATTGTGGATATCACCTTGTCACATCTAGTTGCCTGTTTAACTCCCTTAGAGCTTGACAGTTCAAGACGACAACACTACTTTTGTGCAAGATGTCAACTTTTTGGTTTCTAACCCTTAAATCCCAACAGTTTGAAATACCTCAAGAGTTTTAGACGCTGACTGGATATGGTCTCAGTTTTCCAAACATCTTATGACACATTTTAATCATGCCCCAAAGTGCATCTAGGCACATCATGTAATTATGAAAGTAGATCAACTGCTTCCAAGTTTTTCTTTTCTTTGATTATGTGGGCAAGGTGCTGAGTAAACATACTTTATGATTATTATTTTGTATTAATGTATGCTTTTTCTAATTACTGTAGAATGAGTTATGATAATTTTTTTAAATCTAGGAGGCAAACGTACCACCAAGGTGACATATTAAAAAATATTTAATTGCTATACCCCTGCTCCCTGTACGTGTGTAAATAACTCCTAACTTAACTCTCCTAAAAGAATTATCCAATTTTCATAAAGGTTTAAGCCCCAATTCTGGGATGCCTTTCTTTCTATGACTTACAAATTCAATTTCAAAAAATTATTATTACTAAAATTAACATGCCACACCAGTGTTTAATAGCTAGTTTGCACATACTGAAAGGGGCCAACACAGATCATATAAAAAGGAAACTAACCCCACTTTGATGTTGCACAACTGAGTGGCACACACAGTCTAAAAGATCAGCTAAGACCTGCAGCATACTGCAGATACTGCCCTATATGTTGATTCAAAGTTGTACAAGTGTCCTCTCATGTGATTAGATTTCAGCTTCCTCTGTGCCCTTTAACAGCTCCGCAAATCTGCTCCAAAGGGTCCCATAACCCTCTAGAAAATATTGGGTGGGGTGGTTTTTAGGGTGGGAAAGAGACTACAAGGAAAAAGAAAAGAAGCTCCTGAGTCATACAGTAGCATTTTCATGAGGTACTGGCTGGAAGCAGACAAGTTTACAACATTAGCACGGTGAACTTCAGGCACTAGGCAGGCCAAGAACCTAAACATCAGAAATTCAACTCCGTGCTGAACTAGAGCATAAAAGTTGCTAGTTTTGCCTATAGCAATGCAGTAATTAATGCTGGTATCTAGCATTTCCCATCCTGTGTATTCATATGCATCTGAATGGACAGTGAGACACTCTCCTAGTACACAACAAGACCAAAAACAACTCAAACAAGTCCAGCTGAAGTCCTTTCTAAGTCTTTATGGCTGTTTATAGCTCCATTATATCAGATGCCCCACATACTACTCAGACACTTCTGCTGATCAAGTCACATGCTGGAGATTAGGAACTGAATCTAAGGTCATATAAATACGGCACAATAGGCCACTTCCCAAATTTAGCCTAGCCTACTGGATGAAAGCATCAAGAGTAAGACTTCTGCACTAGGCCTTGAGGTTCACTCCCATATTCTGACTCGAAATTAAGGACATGTGGTGCACATGCAAACCTCTAACTCTGCAAAGTTTCTGTCTCAAAGCAAAATAAACATTTCATTCCCTGTAACTATCCTTCCAACACACCCATTTTTATTTCAGGCAAATGTCCTTGGTCTGATGTGTAGTAAAAGAAGAATATTAGTCTCTTGAACAAATTAGACAATTTTCAAACAATGATAAAACTTTCATCAGAAAGTAGTACTAACATATTTGGATTAGGCTTTCAAGTTAGAAACTAGGAAGCCCAATATTTTAGCTGGTCATTGCTCTGCATCTCAAAAGTAAGATACCAGGACCACAGAAGCACAAGTGCAGGACAGAATATAGTGTTCTCAAAGAACGAGAATTTAGACGCCTATTATGATTTGAACAGCCAGAAAACCAGAATAGTTACAAAAGGTCACAATCACCAAGCCCAGATTCAACATCTTTCAGAGATATAAAAGCATGCGCACAATTAAATTTTCCTTAGTTTATTTCATACAGTGTTACAAGTAGTACTCAGTATTGAACATGCTGTGAAGTGCTCCCAGAATATTAACCTAGTCATATCTCTAGACCTCCCCATACAAGTCTTTTCTAAACAGTGTTGTGAAAGACTCAACACTCCCATCTGTGATGTCATCAGCATTATACAACCTTTTCCCCTTCCACGCCCCCATCTGCTTATGCAACTAGCCTGCCTCCTGCGAATTGTCTCAGTAACACTTTAGGAGACTGAAAATAGGCCTCTGGTAAAAGTGAATTCATCATAAGTAATTACTGGTCCTCAGTGTTACAGGTTTCACAGCCAAGCCTCTTCTGACCACCACCTCCCAAACACAGTTGCTAAGCCCAAGTGAATGAGTGCTCCTTCACCCATATCTGCATCCCTTCATTTAGAAATACAGGTTTTTATTCAAGGTTCCTATTTTTATGTAATATACTCTGAAAATGGGTTCCAAAATTTAGAAGCTGAAACTTTTTCACTACCTTTCAGAAAATGACAGTCCCATAGCACTTCATCAACTAACAAAGCTAATCCCATAGAATGCATCTTCAAAGATTCCTCTTTGCTTATGCAGTGGTACCTCGGGTTAAGTACTTAATTTGTTCTGGAGGTCCATTCTTAACCTGAAGCACCACTTTAGCTAATGGGGCCTCCTGTTGCCGCCGGAGCATGATTTCTGTTCTTATCCTGAAACAAAGTTCTTAACCTGAAGCACTATTTCTAGGTTAGCAGAGTCAGTAACCTGAAGCATATGTAACCTGAAGCATATGTAACCCGAGGTACCACTGTACAGCTAAATGCCAGCTTTTGGAAACTCTGGAAAAGTTTACAGAAAGAGCATCAGGAAAAACAAAACAAGCATTTTTACCTCCCTACAAAACAAAGGGTAACAGGATACTCACAGCTCCAAGGTAGGGACTCTCTTCAGGTCACTCACATTATGCAAAATAACCAACATGATACCTCAAACCCATAATGCCCCCTAGAAACCATCAGGATTCACTGTTCCACCTTAAGTACTCACTGAAAAGGTGGAAGACAATCTGCAGTATGAGTTTCACTTGTGAAATTCTTGCAAAAAGCCAACTTTCTAGGAACTTCCAAAAGTCCTGCATACAGGTTGCCACCTCTGAGGGCCATGTTAAATTCGCAATCTGATGTGCACAATTTTACTGGAAAACTAGCTACAGTGCGCCGGGGCCTGTTTCACATACAGGAATCTGGATCATGCTTAGGTTATGCAACACTCACTTCCCGGCTGAATGCGTGACTTCAGCTCGCCCAGAAGTATTGCGTTAGGGCGATATGGAGCATCTGGCCTCTTTACGAAAAATGTCCTCTATGCTTGCAAGCCATCAAGTAACCGGCAAGCTTCTGGGTTGAAGCAAGCGTGCACACCTGTGCATGCCTACATGCATGATCCCCACAGATTCCTTCACGGGACCGATTCCAATTGTCGGGAGCCCAGCGCTAGGCACATTCGAGTTCGATCAGGCTCCCCAAAGCGCACGATTGTAGTCAAAGGCCCCTTTTTACCCCACAGGAACCCCCCCCTTCCCACCCACCCCGCTTCAGAGGCCCAAGCAGCGGCCGTGGCTCTTACCCTCTTCGAGGGCCTGGCTGGCGGCTTCGCTGGCTTCCCGCAGCTGCCCTTGCACGAGCATCTCTCCGAGGCGCCGCCAGGTGCGAGCCCTCTTGCACTCCTCCGGGAACCACTTCTCCGCCAGGTGTCCCAGGGCGACGGCGACGGGCGACGAAGCCAGCGGGTCCCCGCAGCGGCGGCAGCGGGCGCGGAGGTGCTCGTGGACGCAGCGGCGGCAGTAGGCGTGCCCGCACGGCGCCACCACCGGCTCGCCGAGGAAGCCCTCGCAGCCGGGGCAGCGGAAGAGCCCCGCCGCCGCCGCCGCGGAGGAGCCGTCTTCCCGGCCGGCGGTCCCCTGCTGCTGCTCCTCCGCCGCCGTCGCCCTCCCTCCGCCGCCTTCCCTCGGCGCGTCGCCCGCTCTCTCGCCGCTCTGCCGGAGGCGGTAGTGCAGCACCAGGCAGTCCACCAGCGCGCCCAGGCGGCGGCGGGAGCTGGGCGAGCCCAGGCGCAGCGCCGCCGAGTAAGTCTCCAGAGCCTCTTTCAGGTGGTTGCCCAGCGCCAGGAGCTCCCCGCGGCGGAGAAGGAGCTCCCGCTCCGAATGGGTGCCGCTGCCCCCCGGCTCTGGGGCCGACTCAGGAACCGGCGAGGACGCCATTTCCACTCCACGTCCGGCTCACCGGAGGGGGTGTGGCGCGCGACCCCCGAGCGCCGCCGCTTCTCTGAGGTAAAGCACCGACGACGGAGCCGGCTGGCGGTTGACGAGGCCGGGCGCGCGCGCGCAGCCCTCAACTCCCTCCTTCCTCTGACAGGCTTTTTCGGACGTTGTTGGCGGTTGAGCGCGCTCGCGGGAGGCTCCGCCCTCTTTTCAAGTCCCCTCAACCGCACCTCGCACTCTCCCCCCACCCCCAACCTTAAGATCCGGATTCTATCTCTCCAACGTGCCCCGCCTCCGCGCCCCCCACCCCACCAACCCTCTCTCTCTTTCTCTGTAAGCGCGAGAGCGTCGCGGGCGACGCCAGGGCCTTACATAAAACGGAGCGTCATCCGGCTTTCCGCGCAAGGCTGACTTGCGATTGGGCGGCGGGCCGCCGCGAGGTGCGCGACAAAGGAAAGGGGCGGGGCGAGGAAATTATAAAACAAGGCCACGTGCTCGCGCTTGTTCCATAACTTTCCTTTGCCGGATAGCAGCGGTGAGGGGCGTGGCTGGCTGGCTGGCGGGATGGTCGGCCCTGATAGGGAAGGGGTGGGTCGTAGGAATTTAGCGCTCCTCCTCCTCCTCTTTTTCTGCTGACCTCCTGAAGACTAGTTTGCATTCCCACGCGCAATGATCCGGGGTTGGGACCTGGGCTGTACACAATGCAAAAGGCAGGGGGGAAATACCCGATGCCCCCTTTTATTATTACTGTATTTTCCTTTACAGAGGTTTTGTAGCAGGAAAAGCTCAACCAGTAGGATTCCTCTTGCCACACACAAGAGCCCTGCCAGAAAAGAGATGGTAGCTCGAGTTGTCCTTGAGAAGGGATGACATCCACATTTCTTTCTGTCTCTCAATATTAGAAATAGGGGACAACATGTGAAGCTGAATTTGGACAGATTCGAAATTGGCAGAAGAAAGTACTTCTTGCACAACGTTTAGCTAAACCACAGAATTTGCATTAGATTCGTGGAGGAAGAAGCTGGCAATGAAAATGTTCCATTGCCACTGTCTGAAGCAATAAAGTGCTACCTCAAGTTACATACGCTCAGTGGTGTAGCATGGGGGGTGCAGGGGGGCCGGGTGCAACATCTGGGGGCGCGTGCTCGCACTCGCAGCTTTCTGCCCCTACCTCGCTCACTCAGGGTTAGGGGGCACAAATTACTTGTCTTGCCCCGGGTGCTCACAACCCACGATACGCCACTGCATACGCTTCAGGTTACATACGCTTCAGGTTACAGACTCTGCTAACCCAGAAATAGTACCTCAGGTTAAGAACTTTGCTTCAGGATGAGAACAGAAATCGTGCTCTGGCGGCGCAGCGGCAGCAGGAGGCCCCATTAGCTAAAGTGGTGCTTCAGGTTAAGAACAGTTTCAGGTTAATAATGGACCTCCGGAACGAATTAAGTACTTAACCTGAGGTACCACTGTACTAGCCACTGATGATTTTTGTACTCAGATCTGTCTAGTTGGCTTCCTGTGAGCATCTGATTGGCGACTGTGAGAACATGGGCCCTTGACCTCATACAGCATGGCTTTTTTTCATGTTCTAAAACTTTTGAAAAAAATGAAAGGTTAAACAACCAGAATGTTTGTTTTTAGCAAGTATCAAAAACATTTTTGTCTGTTATTTGTGTTTGCCGGTAACTCCAGCTATACCTTCAAACCCTTAAAAACAAAATACAAACTTTTTTTTTTACACTTAACTGTATCAGGCCCTTAGGCTTGCCATAGAACAAAGATAGTGTGAACCAAGGATCGACACACCCAGCCAAGCCCAGTGTCCTCTCCTGCACCATAATGGTCATGCATGACCAACTTCTCTCCATGAGAAAGTGAGGAAAAGGCAGGCAAAATTCATCCTGGATTCATAGGTTACCCTCCTCCATCATATATTTTTTCTGTCTTAATTGATAGGCCCTCATTTTGCAGTTAGTATTAAACAACCAGCAGAAAGTTGAAAAACACCCTTTTCTGCTCTCATAGTTTCATTTTACAATTATCTGTAAATTGCTGTTCAAGCAGTCCTCTGGGGGGGGGGGCGGGGAGAGCCAAAATTATCCCCCACTGTGTGTCAAATACTTCTGCAACAGGTACTTGCATGACTATCATGAGCACCTATTGGATAGTGTCTGTGACATTGCTAATGATAATGCACACAGAGAACAATCCTTAGAGGCAGCTTTAATGTTTAACAAAATCTAGCACATGGAAATGTCATGAGGAATATTTGCAGAATTATGTCAGTTGTCACACTTGTACTAAATTAATTCATTTTCATAACTAAATCTGGACTAGTAGGGAGTGTGTGCATATATATGTGTTTACTGGTTGGTTGGTTGGTTGGTTGGTTGGTCAGTCATTCCAACTACGTTAGGACCATACCTGTGCCCAGTCCTATTAAGTATCATTCATGCTTTTTTTTTTTTACGCACTTCATTCTGTTAGTTCTGCCAGAATTCCATTTACAGAGCTCAGAATGCCATTTACAGAGCAATCCCATGGAGGCCGGGTGTGTGTGTCAGTGGTAAATGAATCACCACTTCCTAACCCCTGCCAGGCTCATGCTGACTAGAGCGGGAGGTGGATGGCGATTTCTCCCCCCCCCCCTCTTTTGGATGGTGTAGTTTTTCTCCCTTTGCCCAGGTCAGCTCAAGTGAATGGGGAAGCTTTGGATCCCGTGGAGAACTCCCCCAACATCCCCTCTTCCAAGCCCTACATGAAGAATTATGATTGTATGTATATGTCATAAAGAGAGCAGTTTCTAACTTCTAACCATTTTGCTTTACAATCAGAATACAATTCATTTATGGAGATCTGTCAACTGAGACTGCAGCTTTTCACTCTGTTATATAAAGCATACAAATGGTTTATTTCCTTTGAAGCAGGGTTGCATAATGTACAGGGCACTCAAACATAACCAAAATGCACTCAAGGCTTTTTATCAGGTAAAACAGGCAAGGAGTGCATATTTAAGCATTCTAATTTCCTTTTACATAAGCATTTTTTTTTAAATGTGTGATATAATATTAACTCTTACAAAACTGCAAAAGAGTTCCTATTCTCTGCATAAAAACCAGCTGTTGGACCATATTTGAGAAAATGATTCCATTAGAGAACAAGTTGGCACAGCGTAGACTGCATAGCTGTTTTAAGTCACAGTCACACTGTACAGTGGTACCCCGGGTTAAGTACTTAATTCGTTCCAGAGGTCTGTTCTTAACCTGAAACCGTTTTTAACCTGAAGCACCCCTTTAGCTAATGGGGCCTCCTGCTGCTGCTGCGCCACCGGAGCACGATTTCTGTTCTTATCCTGAAGCAAAGTTCTTAACCCGAGGTAATATTTCTGGGTTAGCGGAGTCTGTAACCTGAAGCGTATGTAATCTGAAGCGTATGTAACCTGAGGTACCACTGTACATTTAAAGCATTATGATACCACTTTAAACAGTCATGGCTTCCCTTAAAGAATTCTGGGAGCTGTAGTTTTGTCAAGGGTGCTGAGAATTGTTAGGAGCATAGCTGTCAAGTGCCCCTTATTTGGCGGGACAGTCCCTTATCCCAGCGCCATGTCCCGCTGCTGTCCCTTATTGATGAGGCTTCATTTGGCTGCTGGCTGGACTTTCTGCCTTTGGCTCAGAGGGGCTCAGAAGTTGAACATACCTGTGTCCGGAAAATCCCTTATTTTGGCTGCTGATCCCTTATTTTCGAGGCTGCTGGTCCCTTATTTTTCAAATCTGTAAGTTGACAGCTATGGTTAGGAGACCTCTATTCACCTCACAGAGCTGAAATTCTCAGAGTAGTTTAACAGTCAATCTCTCTTCGCAAGGAATCCTGGGAACTGTAATTCTGGAAAAGGAATCGGGCTTCATAAGAACTCCCCAAACCCTTAAACTACAACTTCCATATTTCTTCAGGGGAAGCCATGACTGTTTAAGTGGTATAGTGCTTAGATTTATGGTGTGACCTTAGAGCACCTTCAGCCACTCAATTCCTCATTGCAACTGGAGTCTCAACTACAGAGGAGGAGTTGCACAGGGGAAAATTGCAAGTTTCAGATGTATATACCCCACTTTTATTTATTTATTTACTTTTTTATCTGAACAAATTCCCTTTCAAATGTTACCTCTGTAAATGTAACCTCTGGAAACACAAAGCAATTGTGCGGGTGGCTAGGAACATCTTAATGTCCAAAGAAACTCTTGCAAATTGATCTTGTGAGCTGCTGCATAAGCACTGGACCTCCTGGGACCAGATATGAGAATCCTAGCACTGATATTGTGATGCTGGGACCTAATGCCCTCCCAGGCATTGGCCCAGGCAAAGTTGTACAGAAACAGTTGCTCAACACGGCTGGAATTGGCATATGCGAGGGGCTTGTCTGTCCACCCAACCCTTGTGAACCTGTGACATTAATAATCAGGTAATCAGTACTAACTACTGACTGGGAAACTTTAAGGTCCCTCTTCTCCCTTCTTACGGTTCTTTATCTTTAAGACACAGGATTGCCAACCATGCACCCCAAGAGATCTCCTTTGGTTGTGTCCCCTTCCCTCATAGGCCTGCTGCCCATCCTGATCATTTTTATTTATTTTAGTGTTTGTTTGTTTTTAAAGTTTTGTTCTTGGTTTGCTTGTTTTTACTTTTGTGCAGGTGGGGAGGGGGAGCTCTGGGTTTCAGCCACTCAATGAGCTTCCCCCTCTTTCTCCCCAGAATACAGAGGCTCAGAGGCACTCTTGACAATAGGAAAGCAAGGAAGGTGGTATAGCATAAGGTTACCAGATTTTTTTTCAAAGAATCTGGGACACTTTTTTTTTTTAAGAGGGGAAAAATTATTTTTAAAAAATATTTAAATAAATAAATAAAGAAAGAAGTAATATCTTCTCTCCTGTGGTCTCCTCTGTTGCGCTGCCTTCCTCTGGGCCCTGGCCTGCCCTCTTGGAGTGCTAGCTGCCATGGAGTAGGCTTGGGTTGGGCCTGGGCTCGGCCACATCTCCTTGCCCTCCAGGTGCTCTCCTACCTCTCCTCCTCAGCGGCAGCGGCGGCTGGGGCACGGCAAGGTCAGGGCTCCCCTCTTTCTTCTCCTTCCTCTTTCTCTCCCTTCTCCTTCTCCTCTCCTCCTTCTCACTGCATCAGCTCCAGTTTTTACTGGCCCCAGAGCACCATTGGGCAGTTGGCTGCGTGGCCGGGTGCTCTCACTCCTGGCTCGATTTGGGTCACGCGGGGTGGTCAGCGCTTCTCCCAGTTGACACACCAGGCGTTACTGGTTCCCCTTCAGCAGCAGCAGTCTCAGCAGCCTGGAGCCAGCCTG